ATAAATATTTCATAAATCAACATAAATTCTGATAAAAAATTGGTTTTATATTTTTAATTTGATTTATAAATAGTAGGATGGCTACATTTTAATTGTTGACTTTAAGAATATATTTTTGTCGATTTCGGATTCCCTTAGTAATGTGAATAGATACATTTTTGTTAAAAAAACAAGTATAATATTCGCATTCGAAAAACATTTTTATGGTAACGAATAACGAGACACAGTTCTTTAATAATATATCTGCTTGTTTTCGAAAAACTAAACCATCTCATACGACGTGTAATGATAGTAAATAACAAAGAACCACTGAAATATAGTACTGCAGGTGCAATTAATTATAGCCAATAATAAAAAAAAACCGTAGTCCCAGATTAAAAGTGGTAGTCAATGTCAAAATTAAACATTATATGCGTTATTTCTAAAAATGTAAAGAATTTACATCCAACTAGAGCTCTTTAAACATTTGTATGTAAACATCAACAACACGCTACACTGTAGTTTTAGATGTTTTCATAAATACAATTTTCACCGCGGTCCGTTATAAAAACGACCCAATCATTCAGCCATAATACTGTGATCAGTAATTCAATTTAAAACTCTAACACAATCCTGTAAAACATTCTAAAACTGATGGTATATATAAAATGTATGAACCGTTGTCCAAATGTATAAACCGTGAAATTTGTTAAGACGGACAGGAATTTGGAATAAAAAAAAACCCCATGAAAGCAAAGGGATTACATAAAGTAAAATAATTTAAATGCGTTAAAAAGAATAATAGCGAAATAGTATATTTCACAAATACTATATATATATAAAAATTATAATAAAATAGGAAAAAATAAAATTCTAATTTTTCTTTTAAAAAAAAAGTCGCATCCCGGATTAGGACCATTCAGAATATGATGTCGAGTAGTTATTGAAATGTGTTTTATGTACCATTAATACGTGTTTTAAGTTTTCTTTTCTAGAAAATCTTCTTGAACATAATGCACACGAAAACATAAGTTCCACGCCACATTCGAATTGCAAATGCTTTTTTAACGAATATTTAGAATATGTACTACGATAACGACGACCACAACCATTGGGGCACACGACAGGTAATGTTTTGAACTTCCGATAAGCCTGTAAATGTAAAGAAAATTTAGATAATATAAAAATGAGTATGTTATGCAAATAGCTTTAGGTGAATACTAGGAATAAAACCATGAAAGTAAAAGAATTAGGTATCTATTCCATAAACAAAGAAAATGTGTTATTAAATAGGTAAATAACGGAATGGTGTACATCTCAAAATGCACCACGGTTAAAAATTGATTTTGGTGTAGCAACAAATAACAATGCAAATTATCGTTCACAAGAATGTATAAATTATAAATACGGACAGGCGGAATGGATACATTGTCTATTTAAAATATAAAATGAAAAACAAGTTAAATATTGTGTACCTATAGTTTTTGTTATTAAATTCAGTTTTAATTCAATAAATAGTAAACATGAGAATATTAGTGTTTATTAATCAAGAACACCACGTACGACGTTCAGTGTTCGAATTTATTTAGACAAATTTTTAAGATAATTATTTACTTATATTTTATCATAGCTAGATAAATAATTTTTTTTAATAATTGTATAATTTTAAATTTAGTTTTTTTTTTTTTTTTTTTTTCATGTAAAATGTTAAATAACCAAAATTATTGTCCAAACGGAAACGTTTCAATTTTAATAAGGATAGTAATATCATTGATTATACTAGGTGATCAATCTATCGTAAGACACTCATTATCTCGGAAAGTGTTAACTTTTCTCGAAATTTATTTTTAAGAACATTTAAGAAACAAGCTGTTCTAAAATTTAGCATTTACATTATTTTTTGTCGTCCTAATTTTTAGGGGTGAAACGACTACCACCTACTTTCGATTTTCAAATGGCAACCTACATAAGAAATTCCACTTTTAAGTTTGGGTTGGGGGAAAGTATAAACACCAACATTTATTTTAACTACTATTCCATCTATTTATGGAATTTTGAATACAGGTTGCCATTTAAAAATCAAAAGTAGATAGTACTTTCACTTCCAAAAAATAACATAAATGTAAAATTGCAGAACTCCTTGTTTCTAAAATTGTCTATAAAACAAAAGTCGAAAGTTAATACGTTCCTATATAATGAGTGTCTTGTGATAGATTGATCACCCTGTATATATGATAGATAACAGGCGTGCTCACGATAAGTATTGTTATATTATTATTACTATTTGTTATTTTGATACCATGTATTATTGTACAACTGATAATTAGTGATGGTTAATAAATAATGTTTGACTCGTTATCATTTTCTATATTAACAATATTAATCGTAATAATAATATACATATATTATATACATTACATTATTATTATACATATATAATAATAATTAATAACAACAGTTAAGTAGTAACACGGAATAGATGAAATTCCATCTATTCTGTGGTGGTAGTATTGGTTAATTAATATAATTAATAACTAGTGACATTGCGTGATAACATTTTACGGTTGGTTGTTTTTACATTTATTGTCGAAAATCTAAAAGGCCTAATTAAGGAGTAAAGAGTAAAATAATAAATATAATATCATTATTTGTCTAAATAGGTTAACATTTTTAGCTCTCCATGGAAAAGTACATATATATCCTTAAGAAGTTTTTGATACTTTAGCTCAAAAATTAAAAAAAAAAAAACAAATCTTGTTTTATAAATATATTAATTAAAATAAAAATGGTATAAATATGAAGTATAGTAATAATAATACGTATCGAAATTTAATGTACATTCTATTGTTATTAATTTTGCGTTGTAACATAAACAAAATAATATTTTTTGTTTAAAATCTAGATAATCATGTATTTATTTTTTATATTTTATATAGATAAGTTTAACTTTTCCTTAAATATATTTTCTTGAATTATTTTAATCTTTAACTACAAAATTGTTTGGTTATATAATCCAAAGATTGGTTATTCAGTGTTTTATGCACCGTTATTAAATGTGTTTTTAAGCATGAGTTTCTTGCAAATTTTTTTAAACATATTGCACACGAGAACATACGCTCCACACCACACCACATTCGAATTTCAAATGTTTTCGTAATGTATATTTTCGAGGCAGTCCACTATAACATCGACCGCAATTATTTAGGCACCATACTGGGTCAGATAAGTATTCTATATTCTTCTGTATATCTGTAATAGTAATTAGAATAGATTTTAATAAGTTATTATATGTAGTCAATTTAGGTAAATATTTTTAACAAAAATAGTACACAATACTAAGAAAATTATTTGATATTAAAAACATAAAAAATATTAATCTGTTACAATTGTTACATAGTCTAATAGTGGTTTTTATGTTTAGTAAAACATATGTTTTCTTAACATATATTACTTTTTAGCAAATAAGGCGATATATGCCAAACAACAAAAAATGAAAGTTTTTTAAAACTTGAATTATATTTAATACCTACAATATTATATAAAATGCTAATTTAGTAATCGTTTAATAAATCTGATCTAATATATGAAAAAAACGAATTTAAAAAAAAAACACCGCTTTCTTTACTAGCGGATCAGTATTGTAAAAATACAAGTGATTAGGAATACTAATATAGATGATAGGTATCAAGCGTTTATAAATTGTACAAACTTATAAATAGAATAGTATAAACAGTAATGTACATTTATTATGTATTTCATAAATTAACTTTTGATATTAATTTTATTTTTATTTTAATAAATAACAAACTAGAAAATATTAAAATTCTCTTTCCTAAAATTAAACACATTCAGGATTTACGTTGGTTTAAAATGTGACATCAAATTTAGTGTTTTATGCACCGTTCCTAAATGTGCTTTTAAGGTTGTGCTCCTAGCAAATTTTTTTAAACATATTGCACATGAGAACATGGGTTCTACTCCACACTCGTATTTCAAATGGCTCCTTAATGACCATTTTCGATTTTTCCCACCATAATAACGACCGCAATTATTTGAACACCAGACTGGGTCAGGACAGGTTTGCATATTATTCTTCAGTATATTATCTGTAAATGTAATCAATTTATGTTATGTAACTCATTTATATATTCAATATTTAGAATAACAATATGATATTAGAACAAATAAAACAATGGAAAGGTAGTATGGTAGTATGTTCATTTCACAATATATTTTAACAATAAAAAGCAGACATATAATCCGCAGCCACTACTACATAACGTTAGGAAGATAGAATAATATAGGACTTATACTTTACTAACTTTGATACTGAAAGAGTATAATCATTACGATGTTATTTATTATTAAAAATAAAAATATTTCAATTTTTCACGTGACATCTCGGACATACGTGCCATGGATTTGCCATCCTTAGTATAGATTATAGAGTAACGATAAATCATAGAAATTAGAAAACTTGAAATAATTAATATCGTTAGACCATACGAGACCGGTTTTTTCTAAATTTTCCATATAAGAACTAGCAAAAAAAAATTCAAATTAAGTATTACCAAGCGGAAAATCAGTATCATCAAAGGTAAAGTTTGAATACTTTCTATATTAAACATAAATATGTAGTCAAATTAGATAAATTAATACGTGCATTTGCAATGCAATTGATTTAGACAAATACTAAACATAAAATTTCGAAGTATTTATAAACAAATAAAATGTGGTTAATAATAACTCATTAATAGAATGTTTAATTTCGCAAAATGTACTATAACATGTTCTTTATTGATTTTTGTAATGTAACAAATAATGCATAAACCACGTGTTTCGTGACACAAATAAACTTACTTATTCTATATTCAATTAATTAAATTATAATCTTGTAAATGGAAGATAGGTAGTATATCCGTTTATTTATATAAACACAAAAATGTATAAAAAAAATCGAAATAAATTACATATCCATTTTTACCAAGTTTTCATATTATTACAAAGGTATAAACGCTTAGTACTAAACAAAATTTGCATTTAATACATTTCTATGCTAAGTAGAAAAGAACAGCATCCTGAAATTATGTTCATTGAGAATGTATTGACAAGCTGTTCCCTATAAATATTATTTTATGCACCGTTCCTAAATGTTGTTTCAAATTTGAGTTCCTAGCAAATTTTTTTAAACATATTGTACACGAAAACATAGGTTCTACTCCACACTCGTATTTTAAATGGCTTCTTAATGACCATTTTCGATTTTTTCCACCATAATAACGACCGCAGTTATTTGAACACCAGACTGGGTCAGGATAGGTTTGCAGATTATTCTTCAGTATATTATCTGTAAATGTAATTAATTTATGTTATGTAACTCATTTATATATTTAATATTTAAAATAACAATATGACATTATACCAAAGAAAACAATGGAAGTTTAGTAGTAAAGTTAATAACCTAAAAGCAGTATGTTCATTTCACAACATATTTTAACAATATAAATCAGACATATATTTCGCGGCCGCTGATAATGAACTTTAGGAAGTTAGAATAATATAGGGCCTATACTATCCTAACTTTGATACTGAAAAAGTATAAACATTGCGACATTATATATTATTAAAAATAAATACATAAAATAATTATTTCAATTTTTCACGTGCCATGGATTTACCATTCTTAGTATAGGCTAACGATACATCATTGAAATTAGTAAACTTAAAATTATTAATGTTGTAAAGACCATAAGAGATCGGTTTTTTTTAAGTTTTCCATATAAGAAAAAGGAAAAGAAATTTAAATTTAGGTACCACTAATCGGAAAATCTGTATCATCAAAGGCACTGTAGAAAGTAATTGGATCATTTTTACTAGCCAAAAGAGTATTCCGAAAATAATAAACCTTACATACCTAAATGAACAAATAGCTTTGATACACTTAAAAATTAGAATTTAAAATTAATATAAATAAAAAGACATCCTAGGATAATGGAGACGGGAGCAACCACTGTTGTAGGTAATTTAATGTATAACTTTATGCAACGATAAACCATTGCTTACGAAAAAACGATTCTGGGTGGAATTTAGTTGATAGTGATGCTTTGTCAACAATATACTTTCATTTCTAGTGAATCATTTTGAATATATCACGATATCTAGATGAATATATCATATGCCCAAGAATGTAGGCACAACGCCACATTTTAGTCTCAAATGATTTTAAAATTATATTTGGAAAATGTTTCCCTATAATGACGACTACAACTATTCGGACACACGACTAGGAAAGGTAATGTTTGAATTCTTTCTATATGAAACCTAAAAATGTAGTCGAAATAGATACATTAACAAGTGCATTTGCAATGCAATTGATTAGACAAATACTAAACATACAATGCCGAAGCAAAATAATTAATATTTATAAACAAATAAAATTTAGTTAATAACAACTCAATAATAGAATATTTAATTCCTCAAAATGTACTATAACATGTTGTTTATTGAGTTTTGTAATATAACAAAAAATGCATAAACCACTTGTTTCGTGTCACGAAATAAACTTACTTATTAAACAATTTTGAAATAATTTTATATTCAATTATATTATAATCTAGTAAATAGAATAAAGGTAGCATACCCGTCTTTTTTTATATAAACACAAAGATGCATAAAATCAATTAAATATAAAAAACAATAATTTAAAAATGTATAAAAAAATCGAAATAATTTATTTCAGATGCTTATTTGAAATAAATATAGTAAACGAATTACATTCCCAATTTTAACAAGTTTTTATAATATTATAACGGTATAAACGCTTAGTACTAAACAAAATTTGCACTTAATACATTTCTATGCTAGGAAGAAAAAAACAGCATCTCGAAATTACGTTCATTGAGAATGTAGTGTCAAGTTGTTCCCTATATATATATTATTTTATGCACCGTTCCTAAATGTTGTTTCAAGTTTGATTTCCTAGCAAATTTTTTTAAACATATTGTACACGAGAACATAGGCTCCACGCCACATTCGAATTTCAAATGTTTTCGTAATGTATATTTTCGCCGCAGACCACTATAACATCGACCGCAATTATTTGGGCACCATACTGGGTCATCTAAGTATTGCATATTATCTGTAAACGTAATCAAAATTTGTATGTTATGTAACTGCTGAAGGTAAATATTATGTATAACAATTTTAAATATATTAGAAATTAAACCAAAGAAAATAATTCAATTTTAAAAGTAAAATGATAAACCAGAAGTGACATGGATACTCCACAAAACATTAAATCCATTAAGTGGGTAAACTCATTATCACGGGCAGTAATAACTTTTTTTTAAAAAATTCCATTAATCGATTGAGTCTTAGTTTAAATAAATGTGGCTACACCAATAAAGATAATGCCAAAGTGTATTTATAGGTATGTGATAAACTGATAAATAATAAATACACCTTGGATAATACTTTAATTATTATATTATTAACATCTGTCGATGGTGTCAATTTATTATCTTTGCACAAGTTTAAAATGTTTTAATATATCATATGATTTATATAGATTTTTGAAAAAATATATCGAATCGACTATCGGTTTATCAGATGTAGGAAGAAAGTGATATCGGTCCAGCTTTAATAAATATGAATAAAAACATAAATAATAGGTATTAAATTTAAAGTACCTACTCGAAAAACTTATACAAATAAATTATCATGTAAAGTCTACACCGTGAAATATTTTATATAACATAAATAAATACAATTTGATTTAATAAGTTCAATTTTATTTTAAATAATTACAAACAATATACTATTGAGACGCTACACCAGTGGAGTAATTATGGAGAGGATTTTAAGGATAGAACTTTTTAATGTAATGCACTTTAATTTGTCTATTGCAATCAAAAATTGATTTTGAGCGGAGTAATATTAGAAGTTATTTTTTTTTTGAAGTTGACTTGTATATCCCAGAAATCAACAAAAATAAAAAATGTGAATGTTAAAATATTATGTTCTTTTAAAAAATAACGGATATCTGTTGGGTATATGATGTCAAGCAGTTATTGAGTATTTGGTTAGGTATTATATTTTAACCTTTTGTTACACACATATAGCATACGGTAATAAAGGTTTTACGCCACATTCAAATTTTAAATGTTTCTTTAAAATAACTTCTTACTTAGATCAACAATAATAACGACCGCTTTATTTAAAACATCAGTCTGGATCAGTTATGTTTCGTGTTACTACCAATTTAGCTGTAAACGTAACATAAATACATAAATAAACACATGCGCAAATTATGCAATTATTTTAGGCGAATATTTGAAATAAATAAAAAAAAAACATGAAAGTACAGGAATTCCATGAAATATAGAAAGAATAAAAAAATGTTTTTATTCAATAAATGGTGTATTATATTTTGCAAATAGTATTTTAACAAATAAAGTAATAAATATTATTACGGTATTAAGTATAAAGTACTCAAACAAACGTTACACTACCTATATAATACATACTTTCTGCTCTCTCAAAAAAAAATTTATGTCCCGGATTTACCTATTGTTATGTTGTTAGTTTGGGTATCTATTGATTCCGCCAATTACACATTTTTACCTGTAGTTATCTGTTTTACTTCTTAATTTTATTAAAAAATACACTCACATATTTTGACTTAATTATGTAACGAATAATTATTCAACTATAGGTACATACATAAAAAATTGATACATTACCGTTATAATGTGCTAAAATATAAATCATAACACAACATTTAAAATTACTATACTACCTATATATTTATATTGATATAACATTTGCATAAACGACCATTACTAGTCATCGAACTGATAACGTCGTAATCGGTTCGATATGTTTGGCTGTTGCAACAACGACTTTTATCTTTCATCGATTTGACAAATAATCTCTTATCGATACAATAAAATGTATCGTATCGATAAGTTGAAGGCCCGATTGTGGTTCGATAAGTAATAAAAACAATTACAAAACTTTATTGAACCGATAATACGCTTTCATATTTTATGTCCATCGCCTGGTGTCGCTAGTCACTACTTGCCTATTTGTTGGTTATTGACAATTTATTTATCCTGTGGATACACATTTTTTTTTAATTTGTTATTTATAATTTGTTATTTATTTAACAATCTAACTAAATACATCATCATCTGTTTACGGTTGCATTGTATCATTAAAAGAAAAGGATGATAACAAATAACGACCTAGTTATCATTTACCTAATGAATATATCACACTACCACGACTTTGGTAAGTTATCAAGTAATTATATTTATGTTCAACATTTTATGTAACAGTACTAGCAGTACTTAACTATATAGAACCAAAAAAATATTTATACAATAGTTTACCGAATCGATAGCACACCTTATCGAGTTATTTTTATTGATCGTTTATCTAACCCGGCATAAGTAATGCATATATTAAATACAATTAGTGTACTAATATATATATATTATTTAGGTATTATTGGAAAGTATAAAAAAAAAAGTTTATTATAATATGAATCCAAGTCGTATCGTAATAATTACTTACACTAAGTCAAATGTAAGTGTATTTTTTAATAAATTTGTAGGAAGGGGAATCGATAAGGTTTTTTTAAACTATATTACCTGTACTGGCGGAATCGATGTAACTTTTTCCCAAATACAAATAGGTCTGGTGGAATCGATGAACTCCCGATGGTTCAATGTTTATTGATAATAATGTTCAGCTGTTGAATATATTATGGACCCTTGCTAAATGCGATTTTAGGCTGTATTTCACAGCAAATTTCTTTAAACATATTGCACAAACGAACTTAGGCTGTACGCCACATACAAATTGCAAATGTTTCTTTAATGAATATTTAGAAAATAAACCACTATATTGACGACCGCAACCATTCGGACAGACGACAGGTAATGATTGATAATTTTTTGATACATCTGTAAACGTAAAAATAATAAAAATAATTTAAACATATACTATAGTGAAAAAGCGTATGCTCCATATGCAATTGCTTTAAGTGATTACTAAGAATAAAAAGAAACCATGACAGCAAAATAATTACCTAATCCATAAACAAATAAAATGTGTTAAATAAGCTAAACAACGTTATGGTACTTATATTCATTTAAGAAGTTTAAGATGGGTCGATACTATTTTTTATCAACATCTGATATTTGTTATAGTTATAAAATCGATATTATAAATCAAAAATTATGAGTTGGTAAACTTAACCGATTACATTGGTTAAAACCCAGATTTTTTAAGGCATTTTTTTCACATTACAGAGATATTATAAATATTTGGCTCAGAAAATACAGGGTTATATAGGTTAAAAAAACCGATATTGAGTATCGGTTATGCGTATATTTATTTTATTATACACATTTAATTAAAATGTCACTTCTTAAAAATTAAAAATACTCGTAAGAGAGCGTCCACACTTATGGTGAGAATTATTTTAGGTAGGTGCCTGTATCTATTCTTAAAAAATATAAAAATATATTTTGAAGGAAAACAAAATTTCTCAAGATGTATATTGATATTAATATAACAGTACTAAAATAGTATTTGGTATAATAACACCAATATAACAAACAAAAAATACATTTTTATACTCTTATAGAAAAAAAAATTATGTTGAACTCTTTAGTTTTTTATGCACCGTTTCTATATGTTGTTTTAAATTTGAGTTTCTAGAAAATTTTTTTGAACATATTACACACGAGAACATGGGTTTCACACCACACTCGAATTTCAAATGTTTCTTTAATGACATTTTTCGGTGTTTTCCACTATAATAATGACCGCACCTATTTGCACACCAGACTGGGTCAGGAAGGTTCTTCAGTATATTATTATCTGTAAATGACATCAAAATGGATTTTAATAAATTTGTATATTTAACAACTCTTTTAGGAAAATATTTTAAAATTCTATTATTATAACGCAAAGCTATTATTCTGGCCTATGGGGTTTTAATGGTAAGCAAATTATTAGTATCTACTTACGTTTAATGCATTATCAGTCAGAAATTAAATTTGAATCAATATTCAATAAAACAGCATATTTTACTATGGTAGCAGGTCACATCCCCGTCAGACATTTCCCAGTCCGATTAATATCCCTGTCGGACGTTTCCCCAATTAATCTCAAGCCTCTTTTTTTTCTTGAACTAACACTGCCAGTATTTCATTTTATACGTATTTTTATATTTAGTACATTTTACGTATTCTAAGGCCATAATAAATAATTGATTTAGAAAAAAAAAAATAAAATTACAATAAAATATTTAATACACAAGACCGAATAAGATTATCAGCGGACAAATATATTATTGTAAGAATGATGGCTGTTGAAAGACTGTTTATAACAAATTACCATTACACTAGTATGTACCTACTTCACTGTTTTTATCTAAATTATTTCGGTATTGTTATGGATATGTTTTCGCATAGGCCAAATACAGCTAAACAGGTCGCAACTTATTCATACAATAATATCAACAGATAAATACTTGTTTTTAGTTTAAGAAAAAAAAAAGTACAGATTTACCAATCTTATAATAATATTACACCTATATTATACAATTTGGTAAAATTCACTTATTTATTGTTTATGGGTTTGTTTGTTTGAGGTTAATTGGACGGGGAAACGTCCGACGGAGAAACGGAGACGGGGATGTGACGATAAACCTTCCACTATATTGGCTAATGAATATCATTGTACCTACGATTTTAGATTCCGAGCGTAGCAATGATATGTAGGTATTGATTTTTACTGTAATGCGTCTTTTTTCTGTTTGAACAAACATTTTTCTAATAGATATTCTCCAACTAGTACATTGCGGTAGTAATTTCTTTATACATCCTTATAATTTTCTAAAAAGGAGAAATGGTTGACGTTTCATAATTTATACGTTTTTAAACCAGTCACAGTAGACGGAAATATCTGTTACCGGTGTACTTCTATTTTATTAATCGTTATCTTGTGTTTAATAACATTTATTTACGATTAAAAATCGCTGATAGTAATCGGTTTTTAGTTGGTGTTCGGGTGCAATCTCGTATCCACGCAAATTTAATGAAAACATTATTACTATAATTACAATATTTTTTGTCACTTTATCACATGCAAAATATCAATAATGTACACTTTTATACACATATTTTATAGATCTAAATTTATGTATACATTTTTGTACTTTGATAACATATCCGTTCTCTAGTGAAAACTTACAACGCGTATGTTTAGGTGTAAAAAATAATATAACAACATTTAAACGAAATATCCGATTTTATAACTATGGAAAAAAAAAAAAAAAAAAAAAAAAAAAAAAAAAATTAAAAATTAACAATCGTAACAATATTTCATAATTATTCGGCCCTCGTCCGTGCCATAAGGTTTCAATTCAATAAACATTAATGGTACTTTGGTACTACAATAAATTCAGGTCGGGCTCTAAGACTTATCATCAGAACTCCGGAATAATGTGTATGCACAGTGATTAACCATTCGATGCACCATTGTTAAATGTCGTTTTAAGCCTTCTTTTCTAGTAAATCTTCTTAAGCATATCGCACACGAGAATTTAGGCTCCACGCCGCATTCGAATGTTAAATGTTTTTTCAAATTATACTTAGAAAACGAACCAACATAGTGACGGCCACAACCGTTCGGACACACGACTAGGTCGGGTAGCGTTGGGAAATTTCCCGATAAACCTGTAAACGTATAATCAAAATAAAATGAATGCATGAATAATTAATATATAGAATATGCGTTGATTATGCAATTGATTTAGGCGATTATTACTTTAAACAAGGATTCAGCATTAAAAAAAGAAACTAAAGGAATTATTTGAGTATAATAAAATAATATATCGAAATGTATTACACAGTCCAAATGCAGTAGGTAATACGGTGAGAATTAATGGCGACGACTCTAGCGCTTCAGATCGGCTGCATCGAACCGGTTATAGTAACTAAATTTATTGCATGTGATTTGTTTATTGTATAATCAATGATATTAAAAATACTCGTATATTACAAAAAGACACTATAATCATGCAAACAGATTTTATATTTCAGATGATAAATAAGTAACCGGAAAATAAATCCTAGCAGCATATATACGTCATTTTGTCCCTTATATAAAAAAAAAAAAATTGCGTCCCGATTTTACGTTCAATGTACCTAAAGATGCCCAATAGTAATCAAATATTTTATGAACCATTCCTAAATGTCGTTTTAAACTTTCGTTTTTAGTTAATCTTCTTGAAAATATCGCGTACGAAAACATCGGATTTTTGGTGCATATCAAATGTGGTCTTCAATGTTTATTTTAAACTATCGTTTGTTCTCATCTGCTAAAATGACAACCGCAATTTGTTCAATTTTTTTTTTTTTTTTGGTAATTTTCTTATCCTCTCGTAAACCTGAAAATTCAAACAAAACGTACATTATTAAACGTATAAATAACCGGTATAATATAAATGCTTATTTTGGAGAACACTTCAGACGGTAATCGCATGTAAAACCACACGAATAATAAGTATTACTTAAAATCAAACAAACGGCACAATAGTTTTATTACTATTGAAAATGCACAGGTGGTATATATACGAGATTATAAACATATTACAAATTTGAATAAAGTAAAAATGAAAATAATTAATTTAATATAATGTAATTGTATAGAGTGAAAGTTTAATATTATATGTTACAATATTGAATAATATTCAACAGGACTTAATAATAAATAATATTGCAGTTCTACATCGGACTAATAATGGAATTATGAGTACAAATCTATACATGCTTTTAAAAAACGAAAAATAGGTATTCTCGTTTAACGTTTACTGGCATATATTATTAAGTGTCTTATGCACTGTTACTAAATGCCGTTTTAAACTTTCATTTCTGCTAAATTTTCTGGAACATATCGCACACGAGAACATAGGTGCCACGCCGCATTCCAATGTCAAATGTTTTTTTAAATTATATTTTCGCCCTCGCCCGCTATATTGACGCTTACAATTTGGGCACGTTACCGGGTCAGATTCTGATATTTCTTCTAATAAATTCAGAAAATCATCTGTAAACGTAACTAAATTAGATATTATAACAATAATTGAGTTTATCCATGATATGCAATTGCTTAGGCAAATACTTTGAGTAAAAAAATAACACATACAATTTTAGAGGTTATGTATGTTAAAAAGATCAAAACTAATCTGCAACAAAGTTTAAAACCCATACAGCATATGATATTGAAAAACGTAGGATAATAAAAATTATCGATGCAATGGACATATTTTTCGACAAAATCTATAAAACAATAATAATTACCTATTTAATATTTGTTATAATATTTCAACATACGTAACGACTGAAGCTATACAATTAAGTTTTGGTCAATAAAAAACAGTTAAATATTAAGAAACGTAAACAATTATGACCGCTTATATATATATATAAGGTTTTACCCCACCGGGGATGGACTGGGTGTACTTCCGCACGGGTAAAGTACTCAGGAGTATTTGAGTGGCTTAAAAAACAATATATTTTTTATATTTTTTAGCTTTAACCACAAAATGTAACTCGCTTATATCAATCGACATTTCAATCTTAATTTAAGACGAAATTGATGTTATTAAATAGCATACATTAAGGTATATATTTGTACAGCAATAAACTCAATTTTTGGCTTTATTATAGGTCTCTTTGGAGGTTAGAAACTACAGTATAAGTACAGCAATATTGATATAAACTTCTAAATTTGATATAAAAATACAATTATCATTATCAAAATTTTTAAAATAAATTGTTTTTAGGTATTCATACCAGTCCACATCATAAAATGATCTTATCGACCCGAATTGATTTTTCCGTTCATTAGTCTCCCTTCCTCTACTGAGTCTACCCCTGTACTCCACCCATGCCAAAGTACTCATTACACACCCTAGCTTCAAATATTGTTTTAAAGTGTTTATTCACTTTAACTCCTATAATAATGATATCAAATATTTGAACACGTTAGCCAGTTGGATAATGTTTCAAGATTTCTCGATAAACTTATAAACGTAATCGAAATCGATGTAAAAAAATGTAGAATGTCGTCTCAGTCCAAAGAAATTATTTGGACACATGACTAAATTGGGTTCCGATATTTTTTCTTAGTTCGCTAAATTAGCTGTGATCGTAATTCAATTTGATATTAAAAAAAGAAATAACTTAATGTGAACAAAATTATAGGTTTAATAAGTAGTACTAAAACGGAACGGTACTTTTCCAACACCTATTATAACACAAATAAACAACGGTTATAATTTATAAGTATAATACTTATAATGTAGAACACCAATACATTTTCAACGAAAATAATTGATTAAATATTTATCAATTTTATTATATATGTTACGATATTTCGACATTCATGATAACTTGTGTTATATACAAGTCTTTTAAATTCAATAAATTACAAATAGGAAAATAATCGAGTACCAGGAAAATCATGTCCGCTATTTATAAAACTTATCGAATAGTATTTATTGATCGTTTATTGTATAATTATAAAGTGTTTTATGAACCAGTACTAAATGTCGCTTTAAGCTCTCATTTCTAGTGAATCTTTTTGAACATATCGTGCATAAAAACATAGGTTCAACGCCACACTCTAGTTTCAAATGTTTTTTTAAACTCCTTTTTCGCACAGGTCCACTATAATGACGACCACAATTCGGGCACAAGATCGGGTCAGATTCCGACATTTCAACAAAATTTGCCCAAATATCTGTAAACGTAATTAAAATAGATATTAAAAAATGCTATAACTAAAAACATTAACACTCTGAATGACGAAAAAAGCAACATTAAAAATGTAATTGGCAGTAAAGCGAAACTGTACTTTTCCAACACCTATGAAAATAAAAATAAGTATAACAGCGATTGTAAATATAACCTATTATTAATTATAAAGTTGTAATGTAGGTAGTAGGTGTGAATCGACTCAACAACTGATTGAATATGTATCGATTCATTTAATATTTGCAACAATTAATTCGATATTTATGATAACTTATGTTTTAATTCAATAAGTTATAAACACAAATATAATAAAGCACCATAAAAATCATGGCCAATTTTTATAAAACGAATCGTGTTATAATTGATTAATATTTATTGAGCGTTTGTTGGAAAGTTATATGTTATATGCACCAATTTCGAATGTCATTTTAATCTACTATTTCGCTGTAGTCCATTATTATAACAACCGCTATTAGGGCACATATAGGCGTAGTAACGGGATTGGCTTCAGATATATCAAAATTGTTTACCAATAGATCTGTGAAAGTAATGAAGAAAAATATTTTCAAATTCAAAAAAATACAAATAAAGCAAATGGTCTAAATAAAAATAAAAAAAATCGATACAATAAACGTAAGAAAGCTTATTATTTTAAATTATAAATAAACAAAATTATTTAGCACCAAAGTGGGATTTCGCAAAACATACTACCACACAACAATAAAAATGTATTTATTGCATTATTCTATAAATCACGAAAACCAGTTGAATAATTATTATATTTAATTGTGAGTTTTGCTTAAGATTTAATAGCAAAACCAAAAATAATGCCACACTATTAAAATTCTAACGGTTTTTTAAACTAAATCAATGTACTACTCACAACATAATTCATTGTTTTATACGCCTTAATAGTCGCTAATTTTCATTTTTTTTTTTTTTTTTACTACTTCAGTAATGTTTGAAAATTATAGAACCTCGATGATTCTGTAAACGAATTCAAAATCGATAATAATAATGTTATTCAGTTGCCGAAAAGGTATGATATAATATGAACAATAAATAGTGTAAACAAATGAAATATGAACTTTAGTCTAAAAACCAAATAGAATATTTTCCCTAGTATATTGCATTACTACAAATGATTAAGGTTATGCATATTTGTACGTGATATTGGGTAAATAGAGTAAACTCAAAAAATATTTTTAACACTCGGTGTTTAGTTTAATATATAGTATACACTGAAAAATATAACCTATTTTATAAATTTAGACATCTTGTATGAAATTGAAAAAAATACCTAGAAAAATATGTTGTTCAACATTTAAAGGCATTGCCATTATTAAATATGTTTAGTTGTTTTATGCACAGATATTAAATGGTATGTTAAGTTTGCACTTCTAGTGAATTTTCTTAAACAAATTGCACACGAGAACCTAGGCTCCACTCCACATTCCAGTTTCAAATGTTGATTCAAAGTGTTTTTTCGCCTCCGTCCACTGTAATAACGACCACAATTATTTGGACACATGATCGGGTCAGGTAATGTTTGAATAGTTCCCGATAAACCTATAAATTAAACCAAAATCAGTATAAATATTATAAATATTATTCGGTTGCAAAAAAGGAATTGTATAACGACTACTTATATAAAGTGCACCAATTAAATGTGTTTGCTATAGCATGAAAACACAATGGTAGGTACATTTTTAAAACCTTGTTCTAAAGCGTATGATGGACGACAGGTATGCCTTAATAGATTAGTATACAGTAATGACATACAAACAAAATTATATATTTCAGTACTGAAAGCCCAAAAGTAATGCAGAAGATAGTTTATAATATTGGAAGACTATTAAATTTAAAAAATAGTATAATGTAAAACATTAGTGGTGTATTGGTTAATAAGTACCTACATAATATATATATATATATATTATGCCTAAACTCAGATTAAGTGGGCAGCTTTTATTAAACAAATATTTAGTTACAAAAAAAGTGTTCTCGCTTTGCTCAAATATTAAAATAAATAATGTGTAACAAGACGCATCTACAATTTACAAATTATAAAACCAGTCATGTTTTACATTATAATAAAGTAATAACAAACATTTAAATATATTATTCATTATTATATTTTCCTTAATTTATTTTCTAGTAGTATAATATGGTATAATATTTCTAGTATAAACTAGTAAAACTAGTAGTAAACACGGTCACCGTATAATAATAGATAATAATAACAATACATTTATTATGACAGATTATTAGTAAAATAATTCTAAAACCATATTCAATAATATACAAATATAATAATACATATTAAATAAAATAATTACTAAGTAAGTTGTTTTGTACATTTTGGAAATTTATTATTGAAATGTGAATCAATTTGAAAAGAAAAAATGCATAATTTAATAGTGATACCAGTAATATTAAAACATGATAAAATGGCGGTTACTGTGTATTAAAATTTAAGAGTCAAGCATATAGTTTGTACCATAAGTTATTCGTAATTATTAGAAAAACAATACAGCTAATCAAATAAGGACTTTCTTACTCATAAATTAGACAACATTTTTTTCATAAAATATCCTATTCTTGTTATTTGAAAAAAGATTTCTGGTAGAAAAATAATATAATCTTACAAATTTTAAATAATAAAATCTTTGCGCCAAAAAAATCTTATTCTCATCTTTTTTGGATTTTCCCATTACTATGAAAACTACTTTAGATATCAAAATACGCTATCTCTGTTAGTGGTTAAACATTAAAAATAACCAAATCAATCGTCATTGCACAAATGAAAAACAATGAAATCAGTAACGCCCCGGCGAGCCGAAATATTTGCCGTTTTACCTATAATTTTCTTTCCGGTTTTTCCCAATTATTTTAAAAACACCTTGGAAAATCAAAAAATAACCTCTTTAATGCACCAATTAGATAAAATTCCATTTCAGAAAAGTTGTTAACATGTTTACATAAAAAAATAAAAACGCACACTACCTATAGTAAAACCAATAAATCTCTCGCTGCATTCCAAATATAAGGAATATTATTATTAGCTATTTTCTATGTCACCAATCTCAATATTGCTATTTGAATTTATATTATACATTCCTTTCTATATATAATCATGTCCACTCGTGTATTGTCAATGTTTTACAACATATAACACAGTTATTATTGTTGAGGCGCCCCCCGCCCTTACAGCAGGCACCCTGGACGTAGGACCTGGTCGCGAACATAGAACGCCAGCCCTGTTTAAACCCCCAGACACCGATAGAATTTCAATAAACTGTCGTCTAAAAAAAATTAACTTAAATATACCTTTGAAATATACATATGATTTTTTAGGATATCCTCCTATAAAAATGTTGAAAATCCGCCACTGTGACTACCTATGTTATAAAATTGCGTTATAATTCGGTAAAAGGTAATCAAGAAAATAATAAAGTACCGGGACAATTATTTTCTCTCAAAAAATAATAAATAAAAAAACAAATAAAAAACAGTGTCCTTGATTAGCATTTATTGATAATATTTCAATCATTCAAAAATAAAATTTGATGCACCAGTCATAAATGTAGTTTTAAGTTTGCACTTCTAGTGAATTTTCTTATACTTATACTCCCACATTCCAGTTTCAAAAGTCTTTTTAAAATGATTTTTCGAAATAGTCCACTATAGTAACGACCGCGATTATTTGGACACATGTCAGGGTCGAGTAATTGACGAGTTTCCAATATATAAACGAATTTGATATAATTATTATAAACAACGTTATTTAGTTACAGTAAAAAAATGATATCATATTATCTGTTGAATGGGTTAACTGTAGTATAATAAAAAATAACGGTACATATTTCTAAAACGGATTATGAGAGTACAAATAATATTGAAGTTATCTATTTATTTATTTCGTATGGCTTACACAAATCAAATTGAAGTTATGTCATAATTCAGAATCTAAACAAAAAAAATAATAAAAGCGGCTCATTTAACGTGTATGTGAAATACATGGCTATTATTGAATACAATTATAAAATACTTTATGCACCGTTCCTAAATGTTGTTTTAAGTTTGAGTTCCTAGCAAATTTTTTTAAACATATTACACACGAAAACATAGGTTCTACACCACATTCCAATTTCAAATGTCTTTTTAAAGTAATTTTTCGATACGATCCACTATAATAACGACCGCAATTATTTGAACACATGACAGGGTCAGGTAATGTTTGAAGACTTCCTGATAAACCTGTAAACGAAAACGAAAACGAAATAGATATAATTATTATAAAAACGTCATTCAGATGTAGTTAAAGAATTATATTATAAAAAATTATTAAATTTGTATACTGTAGCATAACAACAAAATGGTACACAACCTAAAATGTATTATGACACTACAAATAATTGAAGTTAAACCATATTATTATAACGCATAAAAGATTGATATTAGGTAAATTAAGTACTCAAAAAAAGACTTCTAAACTCAATTTATAATTCAAAATATAGTATAATACTCTAAAATATAATTTATTTTATAAATCAGCACATGTTATAGCTTATAAAGAAAAAAAAAAATTACAATAGTAGGTGATTAAAAGATTTAAAAAAAATTATCTGTAACATTGAAAAATCATTGAAAAAAAAAATTAAAGAATTAAAAATAAAAATGTTTGTTTACATTTATTAGCAATACTTACTCACTATGGCATACAAGGCCTATAATTATAAAATGTTTGATGCACTGTAACTAAATGTTGTTTTAAGTTTGTGTTTGTATTAAATTTGTTTAAACATATTGCACACGTGAAAATAGGCTTCACCTTAAAACACCGTGTCAAGTGTTCTTTTAAAGTAGATTTTCGCCTCTTTCCACGATAATAACGACCGCAATCATTTGGACACATGAGTGGGTCGGGTAATTCTTTAGGATACTCAGATTGATCTGTAAAAAAAATCGAAATCGATATAATTTGTGTAAATATTTTTATTCAGTTGTAGCAACGGAATTGAATACGAATAATAATAATAAAAAAAAATGAATAATTTCCCAACTATAGCATAAAAACAGAATAGTAAATTTTACAAAGCATATTGTGACACTACAAAAAATCGAGGTTGTGGTATATTTCAACGTACGTATATTTAATAGGTATTAGTTAAATTAAGTATTAGTATTACAAAAATACTTTAAAACTCACTGTATAGTTCAATATCTAGTAGAATATAATAGTAAAATGTTACATAGTTTATAAATTAGAGCTAGTTATAAACATATTAAATGTTATAGAAAAAAAAAAATAATAAAATGAAATGATGTTAGGTACTTATTTAACATTTATTGGTAATACATTGCAATCATTGAACATAATTCTTAAAATGTTTCATGCGCCATTCCTAAATGGTTTATTAAGTCTTCGTTGTTAGAAAACTTGCTTAAACAAATTCTACACCTGAAAACAGGTTTCACCCCATAACACCGTGCCAAGTGTTCTTTTAAAGTCGATTTTCGTCTCCTTCCGCGATAATAACGACCGCAATCATTTGGACACATGATCGGATCGGGTAATATTTGACGATGTCCCCATAAACCTGTAACGTAATCATAATTAAAATCGATGTGAACAATAATAATCAGTTACACCCAAAGAATTTATACACACAATAAAAGCAAATGAAATAAATTAAATAAAAACTGGTGGTATCGAATTTTAACACTTCGACTAATATGGTGTTATAGGTTACATCGATTGTCGCTATATAGTGTATTAACTACACTGTATGGGCTTGGTACAAATAATAATAGTTCGCCTTACCCGGACACCGTACCTATATTCTGCGTGCAAAAATACCTACCGGTCGACCCGTCTACTTGATGCGTAAATATGTATGTAGCGACCCAAAAGAAGTGAACGGGATTACCGAGCAAGACTAGTAAGTACTAATGTGTAATGGGTGTCAAGTGTGTTCTCAAACCTATAGGTACTAAGGGAAATTAGCGGTAACACAATTATTAGTAACTATTTAGTATTTTTGTGTTTTTGGAAGGTAAATGTACAGAAATAAAAATTATAATAATTCACTACAATACAAACAATATTCAATAAGTAATAATTAAATCAGCCCTTGTTGAGCCACAATTAATAGTAGGTATATAAATACGGTGTTACCAAAATAACACACAAGACACAACTATATTAATAAATTATAATACAAAATTACTCACAGTTAATACACGGAGCGCAGACTGGCTAGCTGCATACCTAGGTAACGCGACTCAGGTAACATTTTTATAATATAAAGTGGCTATACGAGCCAAACAATATCGGCGGCTATACGAGCCGCCGATATTGACGGACGGAGGAAAACGAACAGCAATGGTTTAGTCGGGTCATCGCCCAACGTTACTGAACAAAACTTCTATCATTCGCGATAAAAACATTAAAACTAACATAAACTAATTTACTTAATAACTAATGGTGTGCGCGGTCGGTATATAACAAAATTCTAATATATTTATACATTTGAACACCGAGCTCGGGATACCTACCCGGCAAGACGACACTGACCCACCCACGCACGGCACTCTTCAACATACAGAGTATCCCACCGTGTTCGACGGATTTTTCTAACGCTGTTAATATTAAATTGTGTTCGATTTTTTTTGATTTTCATTCGGTTTGTTTTAGAGAGGGACTTCGATTTGCAGAAAAATTAAATTTTTATTTTCATCTCCTAAACACACACACACACACACACAAGAAAAAAAAAACTTTATTGATTTTCAAAATATCTATATTGTAAAAAAATTTATTCTAAAAATTTTGATGTATCATACATTCATATCCGATTAATAATAGCCTTTTTTAGTTTCTAGAAAATAGGAGTAAACAATTAATATTCAATAGAAGGTAAAGAATTACCATGCTGATTTTAATTTCTTATCGCATAACGTGTTATTTTATTGAATATTAATTGTTTTCACGCTTAATTAAAACGACTCTAACTAAGAAGTTATTCATCGGATATGAATATGTGATACATCAAAGTTATAATAATAATATTTCTTACAAAATAGCTATTTTGAAAATTTTTGAAAATTTTAGGGGATGAATATAAAAGTTTAATTTTTCTCCAAATCGGTGTGTCCCTCGAGCACGATGGGACACACTGTATACAATATACATGATAGGTATAAAATGTAATCGAAAAGACTCAAAATAAAATACTATCAACTTTATTATCCTGTGAAATATTAGATTATATTTTATAAATTAGCGCAACTTATACGTTATTGGAATATGAAAAATATATACATATATTGTTTGTTTAATTCTAATGAAAATTAAATTAAAATTATTAAATTTTTTATGCACCCGTTTTATAAATAGGCTTTTAATTGTGTGTTTTTAAGAAATTGTTTTAAACATATCGCACACGATAACATAGGCTTAATACCATACTCCAGTTTTATTTCTCTTTCCGTGAGTCACGACATGTTTGATAAATGTATAATATTTAATAATACTTCAGTAAACGAAATCGGTATAAATAATTTTATTCAGTTGCAACAAAGGCATTTAATATAAACCATAAACAAATTAAATGTGTTAACTACAACATAAAAACAGAATAGTGCTCTCCAAAAGCGTAACACTCACTGCTTAACTTATATTCAAGTTTATGAAAAATTATAACACATAGATTATAAATAATACATGAGCAAATATTTTATTTTTTTCAAACATAAATTTTTTTACTTTTTTTTATTGTATTAAAAAAGTTTTTAAAAAATGCAACACATTTTTAAATTTAACTATCATAACTAATATTTAACTTTGAAGGATTACCTAGCTACAGGGGATTTAGCTATTAGGATTGTATAGGATTTAGGGCTATTTTTATTTTCTAAGGTTTAAAACCAATTATTTGTTTTAAACAGCTTACCCTGGATGGAACTAATTTTATGTATTAAGTAAAGAAAGTATGCTCCAGAAAAACTTATAATTTCAGAGTATAATAATTTAAATACACATTAAAAATACTTTGCAATTTTAAAATATAAATTATCAACGTAACTTCAATGTTATTGAAAAAAAAAACCTGTTAGTTTAACGATTATCGGCATACAAATTAATTTTAAATACAATTATTCAATGTTCTATGCACCGTTCCTAAATGTTGTTTTAAAGTTGTGTTCCTAGTAAATCTTTTTGAACATATTGCACACGAGAACATGGGCTCCACACCACACTCAAGTTTCAAATGTTTTTTTAAACTACTTTTTCGCCACGGTCCGCTGTAATACCGACCGCAATTATTTGGACACATAACCGGGTTGGGTAATGTTTGAAGGCTTCCCAATAAACCTGTAAACGTAATCAAAATATTTGTAAACAAGTATGTTTAGTTATAGCAGTTATTTAAATATTAAGTATAAAAAAATAGCATAAAAAAAGAATGGTACATTTTCCAAAGAGCAGTGGTCAGGAGTAGCACGTTATTTGTAGGGACCCTACCAGAAATACAATTGAGTGACACAACATAGCACGATGTAATAATTTCCATGTAGCGAAAAATGAAAACCATTTAAATACATTTTGTATATTATTTTGAATGAAGTAGGTCCTTCCTGGTCTATGATAAGAAAAACGCATTTAATAGTGTAGTAATTTAAAAATAATACATATTCAAATAACATGTTGCTAAAAGTAGTAGAACTGTACCATATTATTAACGTGACTGTTATGCCATATCAGCTGTACTTCATGCTTTGTTTAAATTTGACACAATTTTACTATTTTCGTGTACCTAATAGAAATGAAAACCACTTTATGAATGAGTTAAAATACTATACTACATTAATTACATGCATATGACCATAAACTTCAATAAAAATAAAGTAGCAATAGCGGGCTACATTTTTTTGGCAAGTATTTGTATCGATAGCATGCCGATCAATACAGTAAAGAGTGTTGTAACACTACAAATGACCGAGTATAGAACATATTATACCGAATAGATGATATTCGGTTATGTGTATTTAAAGTCTACCCGAAAAAGACGTCTTATAAACTCTAGAGTATCATATAATATACAATATAAATTAAGAAACATAATATTAATAAATCTGTGCAACTTATGTACAAGTATTGAAAGAAAGTTGTTTTTTAGAGTTTATGGGCATTACATTGCAATCATTGAATACAATTATTAAATGTTTTATGCACCGTTCCTAAATGGTTTATTAAGCTTGCGTTCCTAGTAAATTTTCTTAAACATATTTTACATGAGAACATGGGATCTACACCACACTCTAGTTTCAAATGTTGCCTTAAAGTATCTTTCCGTCGTTTTCCACTATAATAACGACCGCAATTATTTGGACACATGACTGGGTCGGATAATGTTTGAAGACTTCCCGATAAACCTGTAACGTAATCATAATCCAAATCAAAATGAACAAAATTAATCGGTTATAACCAAAAAATGTATACATAAAGTATAAGCAAATGTAATAAGTTAAATAGCAAAAATGAAGTATAATACAAATTTTAACAAATTGAATAGTAACGTTTCGAATAAAATGGTGTTATATTATAGGTTTTATCGATCGTATGGATGCTATGATATTCACGTATTATAATGTATGCATGAAAGGTATAAGTTTTATAAAATACAATCAAACAGATTCAAAAAATGATACAGTAAAATACTGTAATTATTAGATAACATTTTATGAATTACCTAACTATTATACGTTAATAAAAAAATCACTTAAAAAAATAAAAAAAATATTGTTCGTTTGATGTTAATGAAAATTAAATTAAAATTATCAAATGTTTTAAGCACCCATTTTAAATGTGCTTTTAAGTGTGTTTTTCTAAGAAATTATCTGAAACATCACACACGGGAACTAGACTCAACACCACACTCGAATTTCAAATTTTGTTTTAAAGTAGTTTTTCTTCTCTTTCTATTATAATATAATATCGAAATCAATTGTTTGAACACCAGACTATCAGGTAAGTATTGCATATTATCAGTTATATTTTAGTTTATATGTAGACATAATCAAATAGATTTTAACAAGTATATATGTAGTTGATTTGGGCAAATATTTTTTACAAAAATAGCACACAAGACTATGAAAATTATTTTATGTTTAAAAAAAAAAATATAATCCGTTAAATAGCCTAATCATGAGTTTTACGTTTAGCAAAGTATATATTTTGTCTCGTCAATAAAGAAAGTATATGTGAAATATCGAAAACATTTTTTCAAAATTTAAATTATATTTAATGACTAAAATATTTTATAAATGCATTAACTATTTAGTAAATTTTATCAAATTCATAACAAACAAATTTTTAAAACGACTTTTTTTGATTGCAGGCGTATATAAATTGTAAAAACTTATATATATATAGAATAGTATAAACAGTAATATATAATTTGTATGTATTTTTTGAATTCAACATACATTTTGATATTAAATATAGTTTTATTTCAATAATTAACAAACCAGAAAATATTAAAATGTGATATCAAGCAGTAACTTAGTATTTTATTACCGCTCCTAAAAGTGATTTTAAGGTTCTATTCCTAAAAAATTATTTTAAACTAACATGTTAACCACTCGAAAACATAAGTTTTACGTCATACTCGTACTTAAAATGTTGTCTTAAAGTATTTTTCTCAATTTCACTATAATAACGATCGAAATTATTTAGTCACAGGGGTTTGTTAATGTTTGAAGATTTCTAATATAAAATTTGTAAACGGAGTCGTTGTATCAATGACATTAATTGCATAAAAACGAAAATAAATTAAATATTTTAAATAGTATAACAACGCAATGATAAATTTCCCAACATCTTATTGTAACAATCAAATTATTAAGTAGGTATTTTAAGTATATTTGAAAGAAATGTAAAAATGTATAAACTGAGTGACCAGTATCTATTACGTAAAGTTTAAACCTTGAACAATTTTATTAAATTTCAAAAACCAGTATGACTCGTGTTATTAGAAAATCAAATTTCAATTTAATTATTGATTGTAAATGACAAACAGGAAAACAACAAACATGAACATTGAACAATGCATCCGAGCTGTAACAGTCTGCCGCTAGGTGAATCCGAAATAAGTCCTTGGATTCGTGTTGCCAAAATGTATAACTCTTTTTCAGTATCACCCCAGTTAAAATTCGTTTCGGCTTGACGGATTTTTTTAAAATGGGTAATGAAAAGTCTGTGAGCATATAGGATTGGACACCGATACTTTCTTTCTTTTTCTAACTGTAAAGACTGTTAGAGGTTAAGTTTAAAACCGATGAAATAAAGGTACAAGTTAGACGCAGTCAAAATATTTAACCCCGTGAATATTTGTGTAATAGTAGATTTAGTTGAAAAACTATCAATTGATTAAATATTCATAAATTTATTGGATTTATTAGACACAATACAATATTTCTACGACCTATAATACTAAAGTAGGTTTTATTATACAAATTTCAATTAATGATCAACAAGAAAAAAACAGTTTTGTCCGCTTTAAAAAAAAAAAAATAAAAAAAAAATATCACTTCTGGAATAATAAATTATAAATTAAGAAACGTTTTATGCACCATTATCAAATGTCGTTTAAGACCTTCGTTTCTAGTAAATCGTCTCCAACATATTCTACACGAGAACTTAGGTGCCACGCCGCACTCTAGTTTTAAATGTTTTTTAAGATTATTTTTTCGGTTTTTTCCGCTATAACATCGACCGCAATTATTTGGACACATGACTGGGTTGGATTCCGGTACTCCTATTAAGTTCCCCGAATAATCTGTAAACGTAATCAAATTTAATATTAATAAAAAAACAAAATTATTCAAATACACCGAATAATAAATATAGCATACCCACGAAAAACTATCTATTGCAATGTCTCCTGAGATAATAAAAATGACCTGATTCTGTTTTTTTATATTATTCTCAGGGATAAGGATTACAAATATTCATGTATAAATTATATTTTTATGTTTGGTAAACAAATTAAAAAAATTACTTTTTATTAAATTTGTGATTTGTAATAATTTTTTAAAGTTAAAAGAAAAGTACCTATACATAAGCAGGAGGTTGTAATCATATTCTCTAATTAATTATTATTCTTATGGTTAATTGATTAAACACTTTTTTCTCTCTGAAATTATTAAAAATTACAAATTTAATGAAAATAAAAAGTTAATCTTACAATTTTTCAAAAATAACAAAATAAAAAATTATTTTGTTGATTTTTACCAAAACAAAAAAAATGAATTGTAACAAATATTTGTAGTTCTCATTCTAGTGAGTAATTTAAAAATAAAAAAAAAAATAGAATTTGATTATCTTTATTATCTCCAGAGGATGTTACAATGGATAAATCTCCGTGGGACATCTGTATAATATACAAGTACATTAAACATATTATATAAATAAAGGATTTACGCAACAGAAAACAAAAACTAAATCCTTTAACTATTACTAAAGAGAAACGGTCATTTTGGAAACACCTATTAAAATGATTGAAACAAAGGTTGCAAGTTACAAACTGAGTTGTATAGTTGTATAGTAGTGGTAACTTGAATGAAAAATAGTGTATTTAATATTTAATGATTAATTGAATAATACTCGTTATGGATGTACAGTAAAATCGATTGTATTATCCCAATTATAATTGTTGACAAACATGAAAATATAACGAATAGTTCAGTTTTGGCCACTTCAAAAAAACCAAAAAAAATACAAAATCACTCTTCTCGAATAACGTTTTATTGGTTGTTTGTTGGAAATTTATAATATTTTTTATGCACAAATTCTAAATGTCGTTTTAAGCCTTCATTTCTAGTAAATCGTTTACGACAAATTTCACACGAGAACTTTGGCACCACGCCACACTCCAGTTTTAAATGTTTTTGTAAACTACATTTTCGTTTTTGTCCGCTATAATATCGACCGCATTTATTAAAACACCAGATCGGGTCAGGTAAATTGTTCGTACTATTCTTCAATATATCTGTGAAAGTATAATCAAAATGAATATTAACAAACGGTTAAATTAAAGCCAATTCGTTCAGTAAGAATAACATAATAGAGCATGAGAATTATTAAAAAGTTGTACAGAATGATTCAATAAGCGTGCTAATCCCATTTTTTGGGTTAAATTTTGTATATAGTCAAATTATGATTTTTGGACTTTTGGCTGATATTTTCGAGCACTAATAAAACGTCACGCGCCATGTCACCACACAAATAATACTCCACAACCCTCTCTTTACCTAAACTAAAAGTTGAATATCTTGGCAACAGATTGATGGAAATGAAATATGTAAACACTAAAGTGTATTTAAACTAATGCTCCATCTACGTATGTATTTTTTAATATAGGTTCACATTTAAAAAATTAATACTGTCACAAGATACTCGATAATTGTTGTGAAAAATCTAAGTATTCGAAAATATCGACTTTAACTACACTTAAAAATTCCAAAAATAAAAATTTGTATATATGCAAAATTTAAAAAAAAAAATATGGTGAACACGCCTAGTGAATAATTCTGTGTGTAATTTATAAACAATAAACACGAAATCTGTTAAACAGCAGCGTATCTAAGCTGTTTGGAATATTTTTTAAAACGTATTTCCACAATATGCATACAAAATACACGAATGGTTATAAATTACATAGGTGTTGGCAATTATTGATTAGATAGTACTTTAACAAACTAAAAACAAAGAATAATTAATTTAGTATAATATACATAGTTAATACAAGTAGTATACATTCATTTCAAAAAAAATTTGTTACAAAATTTCATAATTCACTAAATCTTAAATCATTTAATTAAATTAATAATAGACCACTAGTATAATTTTATTAACTTTTAAGAGAAAGCCAGATTCACATATTATACTGTCCGCCTTATAAACGTACGACAGCGAATTTGTGTTACGCACGGCTAATTTTAAGTTATTCATTTTAATATTGAAGTAAATTGACCTATTAAGAGACTCGAAGACAAGAAAATCATTTATACAACTACAAAAATTGTTTATGGAAATTTAAATTTTTAAGCCAAACAATGTAATCATTTTTAAATTTTGATATTTTACACATTCATAGTTAGCTTAAAATGAGCCAAGTGCTTGATCTTATCTTTTAATCTAGTAATAAGTAAATTCACTGCAATAACAAAACTAATAGCACAAAATAATTAACCCTACTTAACCAAAATTTGTGTATGTCATGCATTTGTAAGACGAAAAAAGGTGTGGCGTTCTCGAAAAACTAATCGTTGTTATTGACAACAAATTTAAATCATTAATATACTCTGTTATTTAAAGTCCTATACACCAATATTAAATATTGTTTTACGCTTTCGTTTCTAATAAATCTTCTGGAACATATCGTATACGAGAACATGGGTGACACGCCACACTCCAGTTTCAAATGTTGTTTTAAACTACCTTTTCACCCAGGTCCACTATATTGACGATCGCAATCCGGGTACACGGCTGGATCAGATTTCAATATTTCAACTAAATTCGCCAAAATATCTGTAAATGTAATTAAATTGAATTTTAACACAAGTATAATGTCCTTAGGTAGATACTTTGAATAAAAAAGAAAAAATCGTAACGTACATTTTGATTTAATAGAGTTTAATACATGTTTAATACATATAAGTAAAATAATTACTAGGACTATGAATTTGTAGGAAAGTGTATTTTTTTAACCGATTGTGAAACGTAGCTTTCTAAGTACATAATTTGAATCATGGAACAACAAATTCATCTATAAAACTTTTAATTTGCAGTTTTTTACATTTTTTGACGGATTTAATGTTCAAGGTCATTTTTAGGACTTGAAGTCATATTTTCCCTTTTCATTTATTCGTCGGTACTTTTAATCAAATTTCGTCAATTAAAATATTTACACTCATTTGTTTTGTTTTACACAGTCTGTACATACGTCAAATTTATATTTTATTCAGTAATATCAAAATAAATATAAAAATTAAATGAAGAACCATTTTAAGTGAATTTCGAATTGCATTTTTGAGACTTTAAATGCATATTTTATTGTATTTTTAAAATTTTTCATTGCATTAAATTCACAGCCCTAGAAATTATATAGTCAAAAGATATTTGTTAGGTCCAATGTTTCATAAATCAGCAAAACGTAAAATTGGATTTAAACAATTCTGCCGGATTATAAAACAAACCGAAGTGCCTAGTAACAATTGTTAGATATATATATATTATCTCATGCACCAACGCTAAATGTCGTTTCAAGTTTTTGTTTCTGTTAAACTTTCTTAAACATATTGCACACGTGAACTTAGGCTCCACGCCACAATTGTATTTCATATGTCGGCTTAAAATATGTTTTTGCCACGGTCCATTATAAGGCTGAGTGCATCTTGGGCACATTACTACTTACAAGTTCGCCGATATATCTGTAAACATAATCAAATTGAAATTAGCATCTAATTGACAAGAGTTAAAGCATTTAGTCAAATAAAATACTCTAAAAAAAAACACTTTAAAAATAATTTAAGGTTGAATAAAACGGCATATTTTGCAAAATCGATTACAATAAAAATAAAACTGATTGAATTCGACATAAATATGAATTTTAAAATTTTTATACTGAAGTTTATACACAAATTATTGTAGGTGCATATACACTCGCTAAAAGCTAATAATAATTAATTATATTTTCCTAAATCAATAACCTAATTTACACTTTGTTATGATTTGCATTGCAGTTGAAAACCTGCAGGTTTTGGTTCTTTTGTTACTTTTATATTTTGTAAAACACGTAGATTTTATATTTATTTCGGTCATCTTAAAAATATATTTATATTAAAGCGACTGTTTATCAAATGCCTATGGAGCTGCCTCCATAGGCACTATGTAAACTCTTATTAATTGCAGCATCCCTTTTTAATTATCTATACTAGCAAAAAATATGTTTAAATAACAGTTAATAAAACAGTTAAATAAATAATTTAATTTATTCTAAATACTCAAATATCATATATTATGCACTAATTCAATAATTTCGTTGTTTTATCAATATTTTCAAGTTTTACAAATTGTATTTAGAGAAGAGTACTCTATATCAACATTTGTTTTTTCCATCTCTGCCTCACGTATAATATAGTAACAAAGGCATTCCCCGCATTTCTATCTCAATTGCGACTATCTGATTGAGGTTAGAGGCAAAAAGACCTATATCTATTATGCTTTTAAATAAAAAGATTATTTATTATGTCTGATATACGTATAATTATTTTAATAAGTAATTAATAAGTAATAAGTAATAGTACGAATTCAGAGAAATTAAGTAAAATTAAAACACGCATACCTATCTAAATAACAATAATAATAATAAAAACAACAACAACAATAATAAAATGATTGGTATCCTAAGTAAATATTCTTCTTTATAAAATGTATAGTATAATATGTCCATTTGTCCTAAACTTAACCAAAGAATCGCAATCGTAGAAGTCTGGAATGTTTTTGTTGTTATGCTTTACGAGAGAGATAGACAGGAAAAACAGATGTTAGTTTTAATACTCCTAATACCATAAAATATAATATATTTTCAATAAACTTTGGAAAATTAACATAAACAACATTCGTATAAAAATATTATAAAAAAACGAAAAATTGTATAATACAATTCGATAAATTTTACATTTCGTATTCTCTTTCTATTACCTACTTTCGTTATCTACAACTTTAAATGATGTTCTTGAAAAAAAAATAACAATAATAATGTATATAAATCGCTAAAACATGATATATAATAAATAATAATAGCATAATAATGTTAACTCAAGATTCACTTATAATTCACTTATATTCTACTTTTTGAAAACGTCACTGAAAAACATAATTTTTGTAACAATTTACATCGTTGTTGGCCGGAACAAGGTATTTGTGTACATTGTTCAAGTGAAGTTTTAGTTGATACCTCCGGAAAAACCGTTTCTTACAGGCGTAACACGGAAATCTCGGCAGGACGCCGCACTCGAATACGTGTCGACGGAGATTTATTTTACGATGCTGACCTTTGTAAAATCTGCCGCATTTGTTCGGACAATATGCCGGGTCGCAAGTTATGGCCTGGTCCACAAGTCGTAGTAATATATTATTTTCATCTGTAATCACAATACGTGTTAATTGAAACAATAACCTTTTTTTTAAGCCAAACGAACGCTCGCCCTGCGGAAATCGAACTCAAATGTTTTGAGAAACAAAATATTTATAAAAAAAAAAAACGTACATACAAATTTAAAACTCTGTTTTTATAAATATTATAAATAATCTTTTAATACGAGTATTAGACGTCACACAATTCGCTTATTAGTATAAAATATACTCACTAAATTTCTGCGTCAGGGTACCCTCGAAATGGGATATTATAACGTGTAAATTATATATACATATATATATATATATATATATATTTTTATTAAATGTAGCTCTACATCTACAAAGAAAAGGTTGAGAACTTTTAAAAATAAAATACGTGGATTGGTGAAGAAGGTTCATCGGAGAGCTGTATGATATGAACAACATGTTTTGTTAGTAGGCTACATACATACATATATAGACAAAGAATACAATGGTTGATGAGGATGCAGAGATGGTAGACGATTTAAAGAGTTGCAAACTGAAAAGAGACAATTCTGTAAGATATAAATTGGTAGTGAATTATACAAACAATGACAGAAAAACTTTTTTTGAGAGTATAGGTGTACCTATAGAAGAACAGTATAACTAAATGTATTGCATAGATTATAGACCTAACTGGATACAATGAGAAGTTGAAAAATACAAATTTCTGAAACTTGTCAAATTATTAAACTTTTTTTCTACCATTTTATGCGTATAGTTTATACAATTATGTTTTATTCAAGTAAAACTTGTACATCGAACTATAATATGATAATATACATATTATATATATGGTTATAAATAATAATCGCTATTAGATTTATACTAATTTAACTACATAAACAACATTTTATTTAACTTCATAATATTATATGGGTTAAAAAGGAGAGTATAGATAAACATCATTTTTTAAGCTTGCGATATTTTTGTTCGTTTTTATTCGCGTCATCGTTCAAAATCACACGACAAATTCGAAAAAAGGATGCGTTATTTTTTGAAATTATTTTTCAATAGAATACTTAATGTTGTAATCCGGCTATAATCGGAAAATCTACATAAAATAATGTATACGGTAACTATGGTAACAACGAAACCGTTAATATCATAAAAAAATTCAATTTTATACAAGGTGATCAACATAACATAAGACACCGATTATCTCAGAAAGTATTAACTTTTTTTTAAATCAGTTTTTTACAAAATTTAAGAAGCGAGCTAATAAAGTTTATTATTATTATTTATTTATTTATTTTTTTTTTTTTGGGGAGGGGGAGGGGGGTGAAATCACACAAATTTTTTATGAATATTAAAAATTCCAAAAATATATAAAATTGTAGTTTGAAGATATTTTCATGTTGAAATTTCTAATTTCCGTTAATCCGTTGACGAGTATTCCACTAAGAAGTTTACGATAGGAAGATAGTAGTGGAGAATAATTTGTATAGCCGCCATTGTATCGCTACTCTCCCCTACTCATACTTGAAAGTGGATTATCTCGTTAAATGGAATTTTTAATATAGATTGTTAATTGAAATTCAAAAGTGGGTAATGGTTTTAGAGATGCTTGCTTCTAAAATTGTTTTAAAAACAAATTACGAAAAAAGTTAACACTTTCTGAGTCTCTACGTTATGTTGATCACCTTGTATTATAATATTATCGCATGACGTTACTTATAATGTAGAATAATATTATTGAGTTTAATTTCTATACTAGTAAGTGTCGGGGTAATGGTAATAATTATACATATTTCATCCCTATATATTTTATAAAATTAATATATATTATATTCAAAAAATAATACGAGATTATAACAATATTTTATACGAAACAATAATCGAGTTACACAAATTAATAATATTTTGCTCTTTTTAATACACATACACATATTAAATATTCGAAAATAAAATTATGAAAACAATATAACATAAAACATTGGTAATAGGTATAAAAGAATGACGCCAAAAATTGGTGAAGTAACTACACGCAGATTATATAATACCATATTGACGAAACCGTTTTAGGCGCCACCGGGATAAACAGAACACTACATATATATATATATATATATATATTTATATGGCACTATAGACTAAAAACGTGAACATTTTGTGATTATAATGTACATTTTAGAATGCGAACATATAATGTGACAAACGCGTTTATTATAACGGGGTAGAGCCCAATATTATTTTATGAACGACTAGCATGTGCATTTTTAAATTAGCTTTTAACGAGAAACTTTTCGAACACGCCAAGCATTTGAATTGCGGTGCCACACCGCACTCGTATTTTAAATGTTTTTGCAAGTTGTATTTGCGCCACATGCCCTTGTAACATCGGCCGCAGTTTTTCGGACAGTACACCGGATTGTCTTTGCACGCCCACATGTCGGTTCTTTTTAACATAAAATCTGAAAATAAACATAACGTAAAAACAGATATTAATAATAATAAAAAAAAAAAAAAAATAATAATAATATAACATAATATAGGTAAGTACATAATTATTATTATAAACAACCCCATTCAAATAAAAATTGTAATGTAAAGCCAGTTTAGATGTTGTTAATATTTTTCAATCGAGAGCTTTATTGTAATAAGTATATTACTGAGGGAAGTGCTAAAATTAATTTGTAAAAAAAAAAATGATAATATAATGCTTTATTACTGCCTGCAGACGGTAATTTTCTTATTTCAGAACTCCGATTAAAATCCAAAACAATAAATAATTATTTTTAATAATTATCACTATCAATATTTTAACTATAGGTACCATGAAAAAACATTTTTTTTTTTAAATATACAATATACGTAGACATTTGTTGATTTTAAGGTTCTGCGGTTATTTTATGCAAATAGTACAAGTAAAAAAACTATTGACTGATAAAAAGTTTATTTACCTCTAATGAATTGTTAGATTTATAATGTGCATATTAATTATATAAATTATAAATACAATTTTAAAATATTATAAATATGCAACAATTGAAATATCTTCATAAACAAATACATTTTAAGTTTTATTTTTTTTTTTTTAAAGTAGTGTTACATCTATTCCATTATTGTTATTTTATTTATTTAAAAATATGTATACAAACTTTAAATAGGTATAAAAGGTAAGTAATAAAACTTATTTACTATGTAATTATTAACAAAATATTTAGTGACTATACTGTAACTACAGTGATTCTCAACTTGTGTGTCACGTATTACTGTGTTGAGTATCGTCAAAAAAGTTGTTTATTTGTACGTAAATAAGTTTCCTCAGTCATTATCATCGTGTTGTGAGCATTGTATGTGTCATTTCTATGGATCTAAATATGGGTGTTGTCATACAAAAAAGATCGAGAACCACTGCAGTGTAACAGATTAAAATCAATACAGTATAAAAGTGTAATAAAATTGTAATAACAATGTCAGTTTTCAAAATTATGATAGTACAATTTTATGAACTGATCCCAAGTGGTATTTCAAATTTGATTCTTTCACAAATGTTTTCGTACATATTGGACAATTGAAAATTTTGCCACAATGTTTAATCAAGTGATATTTAAGATTAGCTTTCCGATTTTGACCTCCAAATTTACGACCGCAACGTCCAGGGCAAACGGATGGGTCCGATTTTACAGCTTCGTTCAATTTTTCCAGCCAAAACAACGTCGTCGTTCTATCTGTATAATAATAGATAGACGAACAAAATTAGTTAGTTTACATAAAAAAACACGACATTACGGTGAAGTGTACATTTAATAATGCATTACATTTATATAATATAGCATTAAGATGATGCCACACCAACTGTAATTCGATTGTAAAAACTATTTTATGCTAGACAATATTTTTCTTACCCCATATTTATAGATCTATTTAAATTGCACAACACGTAAAGAAGAACTTCGTTTGCGTCGTACTATGCTTATTTGTTTCCTTGAGATAAATATTATTATTAAATCCAGATTTGTAAACATTCAGTTTTGTTTTTTGTTTTTTATATTTTCAATGACTGATTAAAAATCAATGGGTAAAATTTGTTAATGCTATTAACGAAAATAAGCATGCTACAATATAAACAAAGTTCTTCCCTATATGTTCTGAAATTTTGGTAGCACTTCTATAAATTCAGAAAGAGTAAGAAGTTATCCCACACGTAATGGTTTTCCTATAAGCATTCTACCTTATTCCACGATTACAAAATAAACAATATTCTGATAATAATATAGTGGATCACTTTTAAATTTGTTTAAATATATAACTTAATAAATTTAAAAATTAATTATTACATTTTTGAGTTGAGAAATTTTCATTCTTTCTTAATTTCAGTTAAAATTGTCTACCTATTCTTCAAATATTGGTCGTGTGACATCTTATTAAGGGTTTATGTTTAGACGCTGCTTTAAGATATACAGTAATATAGTACAACAAATTAATTAAAGTATTAAAAAGAAAATTAAGGTTAATACAAAAGATATGACTACATAAAATTATATAGTTGAGTAATATTTAATATTATGGTCTGAATATATTATTATAATTTCAGATACAAGTTTAAATAGTTACTATAATATGTGATATTATAAATATTTTAATTTTGTGCGTGAAAATATTAACAGTAATTAAATACTAATGATAATATAATATAATACATTATAAGATATATAGCTAAAATCAACTAAAAAATAAAAAATAATAATAATAATTAGAAAAATTCCAGCAAAATATCAAAAATTGAGTAAATATTTAGTAGACATAATAATTATAAAGCCATTATGATTAGGAATATGTATCATAAATTAAAAATACAAATTATTATGAAACAATTTAAACAACATAGTCTTGATTATGTTATGTGTAATTAATAACAATAATAATAATTTTTCATTATCTATAATATAGAATCTATTTTGTTGAGATGGACTGTAGTAAAATTGCAGGTTTTGCAAAAGATTTATGTAAGAATTAATATTATTATATTTCCTAGTCATTTTTGTTAATGCCTATAACAATAAGTTACTAAAACATACGTTTAAAAATAATATACAATATATAAATGTTTTATAGTCAAAATTGACAAAATGGTCAAAAAGTTTTTATTGATAAATAAATATTAATTGCTGAAGGTATAATATCAACTGCAGTAAGGGCAGTTTTTCAGTTGAATGTTCTTAAAATTATTACAAAAAAAAAAAGACATTCAAGTAAGCAACACATTTAATTATGAATTACTAACATAATTTATTTTTAAATTATAAACAAATTCAATAAGTACTAGACACAACTTTTATATTTAGTTAAACCGTTTAAGATAAGGTTTTATCAAATTAAAAAAAACTTCCTTTTTTAATAACCAAGACAACTAACTTAACTACTTCTAAAACAAAGGAACTATACTTTAGCTAAATGTCTGATGTAAATAAACCATTTTAATTCTACGCAATAACTATATGTAAGATGTACAAGCAAACCAATAATGAATAATGAGTGATGAATAAAATTATGAAAAAAGTCAAACTATAAGTAGGTACTATACTAAATGTGTTAATTATAATTATATCAAACATGTCAGTTAAAAATTGGTTATATTTATTTATTTAATAGTATTATAAGTTTCAGATATAATATCCATGTCTTAGTTGAAATAAAAATAAAAGGATAAACACTTTCAATGCGAAGACGTGGAATATCATAATTTTAATAGGTACAGTTATTTTGTTTGTCATTTAGTCAAAAACCAAATGTGTGTTTCTCAAATGAGTTCTGAGACCACGATTATGGTTGAATCTTTTATAACAAATTGTGCATTCAAAGATGTTTGATTTAACACATTTTTTTACGTGTTCTTCATACATATGTTCAGCGTCTGGTCCAGTAATCAAATTTTTACACACTTTACAACGAAAACATTTTTTCTTTTTTAAAGATTGTACAATTTTCCTTTCGATGTCTTTTGCTTCCTCTTTCCTTGCTTCTTTCAGTACCAGCGGATGATAGGAGGGAAGAGATGCAGAAATTACTGAACCAGGATTTATTGTTGGTACTGGAACAATTACTGGTGAAGTTTGAGGGGCATTTACTGATGGAATAACTGTTGAAGCTGCTGAAGGAGCAGTTACTGGAACAGTTGCAAATGGAGTTACTGCAGGAATAGTTGTAAGTGGAGTCGCTAGAAGTGTTGCAAGTTGGGGTACTGTAGAAGCAGTTGCACATGGAGTTGTTGCAGAAACAGCAGCACGTGTAGTTGCTCCAGGAACAGTTGCACGTGAATATGTTGCACGTGGGATTGCTGGACGTAGAGTTGTTGCACGTGGAGTTTCTGCAGGAACCGTTTCATGTGCAGTTGTTGCAGAAACAGTTGTGCATGTAGTTTTTGCAGGTAACTGTTGGTTTTGGGAGTTAATTGGCTTAGAAATCAACATCCTTAGAATTCCTAAGACATATTAAAAAAAATTATATCAGATATTTGTAAAACAAATACACAAATATAAAAGATATTTTCATAGTAAACAATTATAGCCATAAAAAGCACAACAGTAAATGTATTCAAATTAAGGGTTCTAATATTTATTAATTACGCTGCACACTAATTTGCTCATAGTTCAAAATACTAAATAATTTGAAATATTTTTTAACTCGTACGAGTGTTTTACTCGCAAGTTAAAATTATATATATTTAAGAAAAAAAAAAAATGTATTTTGAAGATAATGTAGGTTTATAATCTTGAAAATAGATTTTAAATTTTTCTAAGGGTCAACATCGGAGAGAGAGACATTAAGGATGATAATATTGCTAATAATAAATCAAAACGTTTTAAAAATAATCACAAGTCGATATGAAGTATCGCTTAAAAAGATATTTATATTATAAAGTAATACGCTTTTTAAAAAAACAACGTCTACATTTTTTAACTTTCTATAGATGTAATAAATTGACCAGATATAACATAGTAAGGCATTTTGATTATAACAATGTTTACGTATGCATAAAACACCGAAGTCAGAATAATATTAGTATTTATCTTTTTGAAGTAGCATATTACCGAATACCTTACATATTTTTATTAGTATATCTTTAATTTCTTTCAAGTATACGTTAAAAAAAACCAACATTTGATAAAAAATAAATAATATTAATCTATAATATTCTGTACAATTAAATTAAATAGTTACAATATTAATTTAATAGGTAATCATGTATAGGTAATGACGTAATTATCTAATAAAACATGTGGAACAACACCGGTCGAGGGGATAGGGAAAATATTAAAATACATCGCTGAGTCCAACTCAGTCCGTATGCATATAGTTGTGTACGGTTATCATGTGTTTCTTGAGATTATACTTTTGGGCACAAGTCTTGTTGCAAAAGGAACATTTGAACTGCGGTTCGACGCCACATTCGTACGTCACGTGCCTGTTCATGGAGTCTTTTCGAGTATAACGACGACCGCAATTTTTTGGACAACAAAACATCGGCGGCGATAAGGTGACAGTAGAACCTAGGAAAAAAAAAACTTTATCAGATTTGAAAATAAACGCCAAAAAACAGTTCAGAAACAATATAACAATTTTACAAAACAATAGTCATTTATATTATATATTATTATTATTGTCTTTATTAGCGATTCAGTTTTATTAAATTATATTATATCATGTTTAATCGAATTAAAATCAAGCAAAATATGATAATATAAAATTAAATATATATATATATATATATATACAAACGTTTTTCGCCAAAGATAAATACTTACAATAATGCACCTAATCATTTATCAGTTTGGTAATTTATAGTGTAATTCAATAAAAAATATAAACAACACAACTAAAATAATAATATAAGCATAAATCAAATACACATATATTTGTTTAATTTTATTGAATGTAAAAATGATTGCAGCAAACGGAAATGATTGAAGGAGTCACAGGTATAATAAATAATTTAATATACAGCAGCATATCTCGGTTCGACAGGAACCATCATCCGCAATCTGAAAATATTATTCTTCCAAAATCCTACTAAAACCATAAATAAAATTTGTATGAAAAATTGGGGAATCGATTAATATATAGTAGTAGCAAAGAAAACAATTAAAACTATCGTAAACTTCAAAAATGTGTAGATAATTTATTTTTCATCATTGGTAAACGTATCAACAAATTTTTTTTCATAATATATGTTTATAAAAATATGGTTATCTGCCTATCTTTGACTTCATAAAATCATTTTTTTTTTAAACATTTAAATCTTTTATTTTAAATATAAAATAAATAATAAAAAATATAAAATAAAAGAAATCATAGCGCAAGGCTTTAGAAATTACAACAAGAAAAAAAACATTTTAAATATTGAACAAAACGAAAATTATTTCAGGTTTCAGATCGTTTTTGTGTTACAGATTAAGTATATTTAAAAAAAAGATAATGTGCAACAGGGTTCGGAGTAGAACCTACAAAATAAAAACATTTTTGTTTAGAATTTCCAAATTTCAAGTATAAAAATATAATATCAATATAAAATTAAAATAATCGATTAATCTATTGAGTTTTGTTAGACGTGTTCTTGTTTTTTTAAGACCAGTCCTTCGAACATATTCCCTCCATATTATATTCCAAACCTTTGTTGCAACTCATTGTTGTATACTAGGTTCATAATTGTATACGAGTAAAATACACAATTTACAATAAATATGTAAGAATTAAAATTAAAATAAATTTTAATGTTTTGTAAGAAAAAACTCGACAGTGATTATTTTAGAAACAAGGTATATATTATTTATGTTCTGATCATTCAACAAGTAATTTTTTTTAGATGTTCTGCAACGAGTTTTCCCCGCTGACTGACTGACCAATCTCCTGATAATATTATTTATACCGTCTTGTCGCCTAAAATCACCAAATATCATGTACCTAAACAAATTGATAAATTTAGTAAATTATTAATCATATACCTTATACAAATAATTATGTAATATTTTTTTTTTTTCCATGTGGACATAGAATTTCACTCTTGACTTTGTCTACAATAATAAATATATAATATATTTTTTGTGTCTTATTGTTTTATAATATATTTTAATCATTGGCAAATAATTTGTCTACGATTTGGCATTAAATATGCAAAACATAGACGAAAAATATTTATAATATTAATATTAACAAATAATTTGTTTCGTCAGTCGTATAAACCAATCAAAAAGTTAATTAAACTATACATGTTTTCTTTAAGAATAATAAAACATTTGATTATTAATATAGTATTCAATAGTATCCGTAAAAATAATATTAGTTATATCAACAGTATTTTACATAATAAGCCAGTCTTAATATAATATAATACAACATTAGGGTTATTCTAGGCTTTCCCCCCGAAAAAAGAAGATATCAAATCTCCGCCAATGATTATGAATAATATGTATTATTAACTATATTATTATGATAGTTAACGATTAAATGCGATACCCTATAATGTATTAAAATTGTCAAAGGATCCGGTACAAAAATAGTATTATTTAACAATGAGATATTAACTCAGTGCTTGAATTAGAAAAACATTAGACGGAGGGAGGACGGAAAATATAGACAAAATTATGTGAATCTGAAGATTAAAATGTTTTTATGTTTATTGTGTTCACAATATTCACAATGTCCATTATGAAAAATTTGACAGGGGGGGGGGAGATATTTTAAAAAAAATGAGAAGTCCTCCGACCCACTTGTATCTCACACACCTCAATTCAAGCACTGAATAATTGTATAAATAAAATTACGTTTTTCTAATAATAATTATAATTTTAAATATGAAACAAAACAAAGAACAAAAATTTGTTTTGGTGGTTAATACTCGAAAAATAAATTATAAATTAAAATATAATACTGGTATATTAAATATTAATAAAATAAATTATATATATATATATAAAAAAAAAAAACAAAAAAACTAGTATTTCCATTTATGACCGGTTTCGATTTCAAAAATCATCATCGGATAATGTAGGAACAATTAGTTTTTTTTTCCAATAATATTGTTTGTCGGGTAGATACGTATACTATAGTAGCGCAAAAAGTTCAGATACAAATAAATATCGTGAGACAGAATAATATATGCGATGTAATTTATAATGTTAGTTGGGTAAGTATACATAATATAAGGTATTTTTGATTAAACAATTTTTCAAGAACATTTAGAGCACTCGCGTTTAAAATTAGAAAGGGGAGGGGGGTGGGAGATGAAATACCAATCAAATAGAATCATCTATATTATTATATATACATCATTATTATTCACGTCTTCGTTACACACAAACTCGCACACGTATACTATATACCGTGAATAATTTTGTACAAAACACGACGGAAAATGAACTATTTCCAAACTACGTGTACATATATATACATATATATAACATATATATATGTATATATTTATAAAACCCTGTTTACTCGTATAAATCTTCTTATGACTCTACCCTTCCCCATCCTAAGATTAGGTCAGAGCAGGTACGGGGTTAGGATGGCCCGACTTTAACGAATAATTTCGTGTGGACCTAACTGCAATGTTCTTCGGCTTTCGGTCGTCCTGCCACGCACGCCTAGGGTTGCGCGATTATTTCTATTAATCGATTATTTTAAATTCGTTAAAAATAACCGTCCATTTTCTTATATTCGATTAATCGATTATAATCGAATACTATTATAATAATCGATTATTGCGGGAAAAAAAATAATCGCGCAGCCCTACGCACGACACCATCATCGCCATCACGGTCTGGTCGTCATCATCTCCTTGTGCACGAGGCCCATGTGCTTCTTCATACTGAAGTTGTACACGAACTTGCGCTGGCACACGTGACACTTGTACTTGGGCTCGACACCACACTCGTACGATATGTGTCGCTTGAGGTGTTCCATCCGTTTGTAACTGCGGCCGCACAGGTTCGGGCACACGATCCGTGGCTCAATGACATCCCGATCGTTGCTTCTGCCACCGCTGTAACTGAAGTATTCGTCCGGCGGTTGCAAAGGTACCGCGAAAACTGCGTGCCGAGGACATAGAAAAAAAAAAATAGATATTTTAATTTTAATCGTACCCGAGTGGATGACACCTACGAATAAAGATAGTTGTTTATGGATGCCAAACGAAACCTATGAAAAAGTGACCGCTATACTGACTCTTATCACCGCTCTGGGCATACTCTCATTTGGATTAATCTCTAATCAATTACGTCATGAAATAAAGAGTAACTTACTACGCACAGCATAAAATATTTATTATGCGTATATTGTAAATAAATGTATATTTTAAACTCTGTTCTACAGTTTGGATTAAAGTTTTAATACTTAGGGTGCTGGTTTCGTTTTACAAATTTTTACATAGATATATCTACTGATTTAAAGAGTCACTTTTACGTTTAAATCGATAGCAAATAGCTCGTTGGGAATCCATAATACTATCTTAATTCGTGATGACAACTAACTGCAGCCAGGATTGGCGGCAGCTTAAATCAGCAGCATTCGCGTGTGTAGGTTATCATAACCGCGATTACGGTAAGTAAAAATACACACGTAGAAAAATAAAATAAAACTGTAGCGTACAAAATTATTGATTATTACTAAGTCTACGTGTTAAACCAAACAATATAATAATAAAAATAATAATATAATGATTTTTTTTTTTTTATTTATTGTTTATTGCAAAAAAAAAGTATATTATAGTATATATTTAGTATATAAGCGTGGCGAAACTATAAAGGCGAACAAAGTTGCATTACATAAATTATAGGTATAATTATAGGTAAGAAAATGTATTTGTTGTTTTTTTTTTTATTATTTGTTTGTACATGGATATTTATAGGTAAATCATCGGTATAATAATAAAAAAACAAACAAATTGTGCGTGTTGTGTATTTTAAAAAAACCATCGTGTTTGTAGGTTGTTCGTAGTGTTTTGCTCATTATAATAAACATTTTCTTTTTCTTATATCTTAATAAATTAAATAAACCGTATACAACGTTTGCGAAGTGTGAATTCCAGTCGCAACGACGATAACATTTATAAAGTAATCTGATGCACCAAAACGACGTGTTTCTTCAAATTTTCTTTTAACGAGCACTTTTTATTGCAGTACGGACACTTGAACATTGGAGCAACGCCGCACTCGTACGACAAGTGTCGTTTCAGATGTTTTAGGCGCTTGTAGCTACGGCCACACTGTTTCGGACACTCAATCCGCGAATTGGTAGCCACGTCATCGTCATCATCAGTAACGTATCGTTGATAAGATCCCCGAGTTGTCCCGTATACTATATATAATAATATACAGGGTAGATGTGGCCGAGAACAGAAAACGAGAACGAGATTTTAATATCAAAGTTGAAAACATGTAACTGAAAAAAAATAGAGCATATGTAGATGTGTGGGATTAGTATATTATGTACATAATAATAATAATATGCACCTATAAGTCCTATATATTTGTATTGTAGTAAACTAAAATGCAAGTATAAATAGTGCGAGTAAACGGTTACGCGAAATTACGGCGTAAAAAAGTCAATGATTGTCCAAACATAAGGTCGTTTAAAAAAAAAAAAAAAAAATAATAACTTAAATTAACTTACATAATATTTGATATTCATCATTTTACATTTATTTCTAATTTATTATTACAATATTGTTATTATTAACAGTATATAATACATAGAAACTATACAATATGTAAAATTAGTATGTATATTATTCTAGAGTTAGCGGAGTGACAACGATTTATTTATACGTATTTATGATGAACTCCAATCGCGTGTTTCCTCAATTCGTCTTTTAACGTGTAATTTTTTTCGCAGAACGGACAATCTAACGTTGGCGTGACTCCTCCCTCACACATGCCGTCTCATTTTTCTTAAATTCAAGTAGATGCGACCACACTGTTTCGGGCAGACAAACCGCGGCTCGATATCGTCATTATCGACATTGAAGAAATGTAGATAAGGTTGTCAACGTACATAAACTCTACAATACGAGAACGTAACTTTATTATGAAATTCAAGAATGAGATGAATAAAAAACTGCAACGCGAAGGTAACATGTGCGGGTTAGCATTATAGGTATAGGTACAATATTAGTTTTAGTGCGATGGACAGGTGAACAAAATTTTTTTTTTTCTGTAATAAACTTAACTCAACATAACTTTGGACGACTGTTATAAATATAATACAATAGCTCCCCCGTCCGGCGTTACCCGGGCCAATTTCTTTGTTTTTTTTTATTTCATCCGTATCACCAAGCTAACCCATGAATAAACAAAACTAAATAAACAATACGATATTCGTACTAAAAATACCTTATAACACCCATTTAACCCTCCCCCCCATTATAGGTTAAATTTTCAAAAATCCTTTCTTAGTGGATGCCTATATAATAATAGCTATCTACAATCTGCATGCCAAATTTCAGCCCAATTTGTCAGTGATTTGGGTTGTGCGATGAATCAGTCAGGATATGTTATTTTATATATAATAAAGATTATCCTAACACATTAAATATATTTGATACTTTATAGCATAGGCACAAATTCGGAGAAGAGGGAGGGAGGCTGAGATTAGCGATTCCCAAAAATTAATAAATTCACTACAAATACACTGAAATATATAATAAGAGCAAAAAAAAAAAAAAGAAAAGGTCATTAGCCTCCCAAATATCAAATACAATTTGTGCCTATGCTCCAGAGATATATAATGCGAAATAAATAATACAAAAACAATTTACTACCTATTATTAATATTACTATTTATTTTAAGTATTATTTTTAACAGTATATAGGAATGACAGTGAACATATTATTTATGTTTTTGTTGAATTAGGTATATTCTAGTGTCCGCAGTTCTAGTAGAGGCATAAATTGATCTGTGCAAAGTTTATAACATTTGCACCACCAAATTGAGGCCAATTTACACCATTAATTCACGGAGTTCAGTCGTTTTATTTTTAAGATGACGCGATGCACTATAATGGCATGTTTCTTCAAATTGGATTTATGAGAGAATTTTCTTTTACAGTACGGACACTCGAACATTGGCGCGACCCCGCACTCGTAAGATAAGTGATCTTTCAGGTGTTTTACATGCTTGTAGGCACGGCCGCACAGGTTTGGGCACTCGATCCGCGAACTGGTAATTGTACCACTGATAACACGATGTCGGTTAGGAGACTGTTGTGCCATGAACACTATATGTATGAATGAAAACAAAAAACGAGAACATCTTTATTTAATATCAGATTCGTGAATGAGTTGACTGAAAATCAATACCAACATGGCAACAGCATGTATTGCATGTATGGGTCGGTGTATAGTTCTAGATAAAATTTCAGCATAAAAATGGCATAATTTTTTGAAGTTAAAGGTTGTTTATTATTTTATTTTATTTTTTTAAATAATAAACTTTATTTTAATAATATATATACATTATACGTATATACATATATAATAATAAATTAATTATAACTACGTTAAATATGTGATATTCCAGCGACATTCAGTATTAGTACACATTGTATAGTACTCATTGTACACAACGTGTCAAAAGGAGTTAGTTAACAAATTTCTATAGCTTTTAGTTTTATTTGAATACCTACAGGCTGTCCAATGAAGATATACCCTTTGAATATCTTAGTGGGACAGCATGTATATGTTATTATTTTCAAAAATATTGAAACACTCTAAGTTTAACGTTCTACCAATAACAATAAACAGTTAATATTTTTTATAAGAAATTGTGTAATGCACAATAACGGGTATCTCTTCTGATTGGATTTTAACGGACATTTTCTTTTATAGTACGGACATTCAAAGATTTATATTATATAAATGAGAACAACTTTATTTAACTCGAGAATAAGTAAACTGAAAACCAGCAACTGCGGCGTTTGCGTGTATTATAGTTTTAGTGTAGATAAAAAGATTATGAGTATAGACACAAAATGGGTACCTACAGTTAAAACAAAAAATATACACCCACACACACACACACACACACACACTAAATATAGGTTAAATAAATTAGTACAAAATCAACCATTGATACACACATTGTTTCATTAATGGAACATCTTATAATAATTTTACATAAACTAATGTAGAATTAATATATACGTACGATATATGTTCATTGAAAGTACTAATTATTACTATTATGTTTTAGTTTATATGTCCGATATTAATATATAATCGATGCTAAGAAAACCGATGAAAGAGCAGATCTAATAAGCATGGGTAAGTTATTTCGTCAGTATATCGATTGCAATTCGTAAGCGAAATAAAATAATTGAAATGGAGTTGAAGTGGAGAAGTTCAACTAACTAGTTCAAGTATTTTTTGGTAGGTAAAGTGGTATAAGAGAATGGAGGAATACTAAAGACTATAGAAATAATTTAGCTAGTAGAAGAATTAAACGTTACTGGATGGAATTGAGAGATTATTATTGTGTGATAAAAAAAAAAAACAATCATTCAATATAAAGGAGAAACAAAAAATAAAAACTGATCAAGCAATTTGAGCGTGAGGCATTAAGCAAATAGTAGCAGAAATGATAATGACAAGGTCGTTGATACGTGGTGTTATCAAGGATTAGAAATTAATAAATAACTATGAGATAAATAGCATAATATTGCAAAGCTTGATAATTTTGTTTCTCTTTAATATATATCGTAATAAATCTTGAAGTTTCTTTTAGTTGCACTGTTAAATTATGTTATTTATAAATAATTATAGCATTTGTATCAATAGAATATATTCTGCAATATTGTATTTTCTGCAGAATATTAGATGTTATACAGCCGTGGTTCCCAAAATGTACACTTCACATTCGGTAATTATTTATAATATTTAGGTATAGTAAGATTTTTTAAATTCTTGTTGATTTCAAATTGAATCGTATGAAAAAAAATCTATTTCATAATATCCATAATCAGTATAATAACAGATATTCAAATTATAAAAACTAATTACCGATGAAAATGAGTGTAGATTTTGTATGTGGTATTCATGGTATTCACGGCTGGACACCGTGGCTGAATTTAGTTCGAAAAAGGACACCGTCGAAATAAAAGTTTGGGAACCGCTGTTAAATACAAGTAGTACGCATATATGAGAATGAAATGAAATTTTTTAATTTATTAAATGGTAAATAATTATATAAAATATGTTCAATTAGGTATTACAGTATAATAGGTAAGTTATTTATTTAAATATCACAGGCACCGCTAAGGTCAAAATATTAGGAAGGTTAAAGCAGAAACAAATTGTATAGAGCTATTCATGGTGTTGAAGGGAGCTAAACAATCTAGCCCCATAACTGCGCCTACAGTAAGTACTCTGACTATACGTAAATTCTGTATTCATAAAATACGATTCGTTGAATTCGTCGTTGTCTTCGGTAGATAAATCGGATTCGCTCACTTGCGTAATGCGATGCATATCAAAAATATGTTTATTCATATTACATTTTAACGAACACTTATGCGTACAATACAGACATTTGTGCATCGGCGGTTTACCGCATTCGTAACGCAAGTGACGGTTGAGAGTGCATTTTCGTTTATAAATTCTGCTACAACTATCGTTCGGGCACGGATATGATGGCCGTTTAAATAAATCTAAAAAAAAACAAAACAAAACCATATTAGATGAAAACGAATCAATCAGAGTTTAGAACATAAATTTAAAAATAAATGTGTTCACATTCAACATTTATTATTTTTTTCAAAAATAATGCATTCATATTCATCAAAGAAATGAATGTATTTACAATCACATAGACAAATTAAACAAATATAAAAAATGATTAAATTAAATAATTTTTTATCATGCCTAAGTGGCTAACCAGTTTATAACATACAATCTATATGGTATCGATTAACACAAAGTGAAACTAATCGTATTTTATATAGTATATCGGATACACTATTTCAGACTCTCCTAATAGTTTTTGCAGTCTATTATTGGATCGATATTTACATTGGTGTTGCCACTGTTGCATGCCCTTTAACGCAAAAAACTCGTGCATACATATAATAAAAACTCGAATTAATTTTAAGTTCGAACGTGTTGTATTTTATATAGGCTAGTATAGCTATACATATACATATCGTCGTTATTTGTATACGTTCGAATGATCATTTTTTAAAAAAATTATTTATCATTATTTTATTATATTGTACGTTCAAATAGCTCGGTTTAATTTTATATTAATACATTTATCAACTAGTATAGGTACGTATTGATGGTAATAATAGTGGTTTGTGAAATTTTAGAATGTGTTTTTCTAAATAATCGGTATCTCTCAGCATCACAGGACAAAAAGGACACAAACTGTTCAATTCGAGAATATTATCGTCTGCACTATCGAAAGGCAGCCCGCCGCCACAGTTGCGATCTTCCTGTTTGAAAATTAATTCAAAGTTTTTCCGACCATCTGCAATTAATATAATAAATAACTTAACACAGATATATTTGATAAAAAAATGACATTATTTTACAAGCGTTATACATAGTTTAATGTGATTATTTCGTATTATTATCACAGCAATGTGTTTTGATCATACATACAATATACATACACAGATAGCATAATAAATACCTGCTTTTGGAGTAGTACTACTAGGTTATCAGAAAAGGAATCAGGGAAAGCAGCTTGAAGTAATACGAATGCCGAACAAAAATAATTCCTTGCGACCAAACCTTCAATTTTAGTGTCTCCTAAGCGAAAACTTAAAATCTTTAGTCAGCTCGTAATTATTGTAAGACTATAAGTATTGGGTTTTTCACTCATTTATTTGGGGCAGTATCAAATTTCGGGATGGAGTGGATTTTTTTTCTTAAACGTTGGTGCTGCTGCAAGCTTCTGCAACTACAATTCCCTAATCACTTTTCTGACAACTATAGGTATACATAACCCAGACTACTAAAAACAAATATATATATTATAATAATCAAAAATTATTATTACAAAATATAAAATAATTAAGCAAAAGATTAAATAACGATACCTACTAAAAGCGAGGCACATTAACCGTCGTACTTCAGTTAAAACAACAAAATAATAATAAAAAAAAATATAATAATAATAATAATAATAATAATAATAATAAACAAATATTTCAACTGCTTAAGAAACCTAAAACTGGGAAAAAAATTTTTTATTTTAAAATAATAAAAATTATACTACTAAGAACAAATAAATAAAAACATAAAAAGTAAACAACGTTTTGAATAGGTATTAATATATTTTTACACATCTTCCGAAGATGAATGCGGATAACCGTGAGACGAGGGTGACAACTTGTGAACGAGTCTGAGGTGCTTGGTCAAATTCGATTTCTGGTGGAACGATTTACGACAAATCGGACACTGGTACTCCGGCGGTTTGCCGCACTCGTATTTCAAATGAAAACTTAGTGAACCTTTGTTCTTATAGCTTCGACTGCAATGCGAATTGGGACAGCCGTACCGCAATGAAGACACGTCTAAACAAATTGTATCGCTATATGATAATATTAAAAAAAAAAATATTAAAAATTAAAACGAGATGAGGATTCGCAAATCTTGCACTGAATGGCCTGCACTAATGCTAAGCAATATTTGACGAATCCCGATTACAATTACATAATTCGGATTTCGGATCAATCCGTTTTATCCGGATTTTAGATTCAATCGGTTCGTCTGTCTAAAATGGGCTGGAACCTACTCTAGTGAAAACTAGATAGTAGATACCATTGTAAATTAAATAATTGATTTATATTATAGTCCAAATTGATACCCTAAATCCGAATTAAATTACGAATTGTAACGTTTGTTTCAATCCGGATTTTGTGCTCAGCAATAGTGCATACGTCCAAAGCCAAGCTGGGCGAGTTACTCGATTTAAATAGTTACAGCGAGTAAATTAGTTTACTTTAACTTTTTTTTTTTTATAATACGTAAGTTAAATTAAGTTTTTCACAAAGAAATAAATGACTAGGTGTTTTAATGTCACATTCATAGGTATACTCGTGTATAAAATTATAATTTATATAAAGTTACTTTTTTTTCCATATGATATTATTGTTTATATTTTATACATAAGAAGTGTAAATTTAAATAAAATATGTTAACTATATTATTCCTGATCGATATATGGGCATATGATAATAATTTTAATAGCACCAAACAAATTATATTAAGTATTAAATAGCATTCCGCTTGATACAATACACGATAATATAATGTATTATATATTTGATCCCAAAGGAAAGAACGGCTTAAATCAATTTTTTGTAGTTTCCAATAAAACCAAATTTAATTTTGAAAATACAAACACTTGTTCATACACCAATACACTACACTTCGATATACTTTTTTGAAATCCATAACTGCGATAACAATAGATAAAATTATCAAATTTGTTTTACGTACTAAACATATTATATTATAATATAATATTAGGAAAACAATATTCTACGAGTATATATTATGTCCAAAGAAATTTGTAACATTATTAAAAAAAACAAAACAAAACGAAACAAAATCTTCAAAAAGGTTTTTTCACGTCAAACCGGAAGAACATAATATAATATAAACAAAAAAAAATATATTGTATTTCAATTAAAAATATAATTAAAGCAACTTGCGACTAAAAAAACTATTGGTAAACAGCGGTATACACGATTGGTAATTCGTAAACATATAAATATAATATAGAGGAACTACACAAATTTAATTTTAAAAAAAATAATAATAAATGTCAAAGTTTAGCTTAATTTCAGTATAAAAAAATACTATCACTCTAATCAAACATCATATGATAATCGCACCGGGTAATTTATTATTTATACGTTTTGTTTTTTTAATTGTTAAAAATAATAAAAACAAAACGTATAAATAATAAATTGTTAAAGATGATATTACATTTGTTTATAAATAATTTTCAAATTGTTTCCGTGTTATTCGACCAACATTTTTTTCGTAAAACTAAACAAATATAACAAAATAAAAATATATTCGACTTAAGTATAGGTAACAATTTTCCGATATTACTTTCAAATTCATGTAAAATCTCCGACGAGTTAAGGTTTTGGAAATTAAGAAAATATAGAGACGTACATCTATTTAAACATTTTATAAAAATATTAAACTTAAAAATAGAATTTCGATTATTATCGAATAATAAAAAATGAATTGAGTCTTAGAGGATTATAAACGGGTATTTTCTGAAGATAATATATTTTATCGTGAGATTATTAAACTTAGAAAAATTATACAATTTCACTGAGATAATTATATAAATTATAAAAGTGTGTATAATATACTTCCTTTTTCTTAGTAATAAAATATGTATGTTTTATAAATATGAAAACCGAAATATTTATCACCTACCTATTAATCGCCACTAGAAAAAGAGTTTACAACTCTTAAAGGTTTAAAAAAATTATATATTTTTTTTTTATGTTAAATAATCTCAGGATAAAATATATTATTTTCGCAAAATATCCGTTTCCGATCCTCTACGACTTCACCATTAGAATAACTATTAAATATATATATGAAAAAACTATTCGTCAGTTCTGTAGTCAGAAGGCCAAGTACTTGGGGCACGTACTCTCCTCCCCTTATAATTATTATTTTTTGATTGTTTAAAGTAATTTGGTAAATGTTATCATTCTAAAAAATAGTAGGTGATAATAAAAATGATTAATGTAACCCCCGAAATGTTTTTCTGGTCACTGTACTGGTATGCGTTTGTGTACGACGTGGATATTTTGGAAATCGGATTTTGCGACGGAAATTAGGGGGCGATGTATTTATGCACTGTGAACATATGTTTCTTCATATTTGAATTTCTCGAGAACATTCTCTGACAAAAGTCGCATTGGTATAGTGGTTGTTTTCCACATTCGTACTTCATGTGGTAGGTCAAATGAAATTTGTTCTTATACTTCCGACTGCAGTGATTGTTGACACAACGCCAAATTCTAGTACCTGAAATGCGTCATATTAGGCAGATCGTTTATGTTGATTGATATTATTTTCAGAGCGAAGCATTTGTACAAAAAGCCGTATGTGTATATATATATAAGTTTTTTTTTTCGATAAACTAGTATATTTTTACGAGGGGAAAACACTAAAAAGCACATTCCGTTGTTATAGGTTTTTGTCAACACACCGAGGAAAATCTAAAAACGTCAATATTGTTATATTATTAGGAAAATGGTGTAAAAAAGAAATCAAAACAAATTCAATAAAAAAACAAAATAATAATAATAATAATAATTAAAACTTTTGCAGTGATTGAAACACATTGTTTAAATGGTATTATATTATATTACTTGAAAATGCCGCCGTTATTCTGTATTCAAGAAGACGATAACGCTGATAACAATATTATTTTAAAATATCAAATCATATGAACAAATAGAAACGATGTAATATTCGTATTAGAAAAAAAAAAATCAGAAAGAACCCATGTACCGCGTGACCTTTCTAACTTCAAAAATTATTAAATTTGACAATACTGACTGCTGTTTTACGTGTTAAAACTGTTAGTAAAGATTACCGTTTGATTACATATACAATAACAATCGTCGTTTTCGATTAGTTGTACCAACAATTAAGAAAATGTCAAATTTTTTCATAATTTAAATAGTAATTTTCGAAACAGAAAAAAATTAAAAAGAATCACTAAATTACTATCCGACACCCATTAAAGGGGTGGACGTAAAGCCACTTTATGGACAAATATGATGACTTCACGGGTAAATAGGGATAACTCATTATCAATGCAATATATTTGTATACCGTTTATTTTTTTAGTTGATAACATTCTAACCTCTATCTCTATGTCAATTCTAAACATTTTTATTTCATTTATAAAACGATGGTATAAGTTCGTAAGAAGCCTTTCTCTTTCAGACAAAAAACCAATTTTCAAGATCGAACCGTTCCATTTAACTGTAGTCGGACCATTTTGAGCGTTGGTACCAAGCCCCTTAAATACGAATATACTTGTATTTGGCAGTGGTCAAATTGATATATTGATATTCATCTTATACATAAATATTATATTATATTATATTATATATATATATATATACACCGGGGATTTCTTTATCGTTAAACACTTATTATTTCGAAAAATATTTTTGATATTTTTGAAATGGCAATCTATATTAAAAATTCCAAAAATACTCCATTTATTTAAGGCATTTTCATTATAGGTCGCTATTTGAAAATCAAAATTAAATAGTCGTTTCACCCCCAAAAATTATGGCACGACAAAAAATAAAGTGAATAGAAAATTGTAGAGCTGCGTGTTTCTTAAAATGACTATAAAGTAGATTCCGAAAAAATGTAATACTTTCCGAGATAATATGTGTTTAATGATAAAAGAATCATCCGGTATATATGTACATGAGTAAAAATATAAAAATCGAAATCAAACCATAATTATATATTATAATATTATATAATTACACACGTTTAAACATAATGTACATAAATTATAATTTTTTTGGTTAAAAAAAAAAAAAGTTCACACAATATTAATAGTTATTATATAATATGTAGTAATAAGGTTTTAATTTTAAACTATACAAAATACTGAATTGCAGGGGACTAGATTTAAAAAAATATGTTTATCTGATATTATAACATATTATATGTTATCTAATTAAAAACTTGGAATTTTTCTCGAAATATAACTCTATAAACTAAAAGTATAATAAATATAATAAAGTTTTCTCCAATTATACATGGCAGAATAAATAATAAAATACTATAATATACTACTTATGCTATAGTATTATATATATACACAGTATACATAGATATGGAATATAATATTGAAAATCTTCGTGTCCCGTCATAGTCGTATATTATAGGTAAGTAGGTGGTATGTAAAAAAAAAAAAAATTATTTATACACATTATTGAATTTACTGTGTACGGACGCCATATGAATTTTCAACACGTTCTTATACGCGAAACATTTCGTACACACCGAGCAAGAGAATTTTGGCTTTACGCCGCATTCGTAACGCAAATGCTGTCGGACGCCGTGTAACGCTTTGTAAGTACGCCCGCACGCGTTAGGACACTGATATCGATCATCGATCATCACAAAGTCGTGTTTATTATTCGACGACCTCCAGTACGCCATCACTGAACGGCCGCTGATCACTATAATAATAAATACGAAATTCACAGCGATTATTATTAGTTTTTTTTTTTATTATTATTATTGCTATTATTATTATTGTACGAGTCGTTAAAATTATCCAAGTATAATAAGTAGGTAGGTAGGTAATGTATAATTCCGTTTGATATTTAATATTTATTTTGTTTTTGAAATTTATAGATACAGTACTTTTGTATATATCCTTATATATGTATCTGGCGGAGAGTACATCTAAACTTCTAAAGGCAAATTATCGTAATGACGAATCGTAGTCGAAAAACATATAGAGGCGAAATTCCGCTTCTGGAAACTATACACCGCGATTGTCGGAATATTGATACGGTCCATAGAATTTATAACAAACGAAATAAAAACACGGAATACTGGTACTCTTCAAAATTTATATTTCAGGGGATCCTAAAATATTTACAATGTTTATATAGTTTTTAATAAATCACCATCGTGAACAAGTTAAATTTAAATAATACGTTAAAAACAAAAAAAATAATGTTAACAATCAAAATGAGCAAAAAACACAAATAAATACATACAAAGTAGTAGGTAAGTAAAATAAACATACAATATACAATATATATACTATATAATTTATGAACAATAATAACTATTTCATACACTTTGCTGTATTATTTAAAAATTGTCCTTTTTTAATTTCTTTATTTAAGTAGCTCTCACATTTGTTGTGTAGTTTGTCTTCCATAGTATTTTTTTTCTGAACTTTTAGGCTGTATACTTTTGTGTTGTGTAAATTGTATTCTAAGTGGGTACTTTCAATCCGCGTTGTCGCTTCATCTTGTTGGATACACTTAATTATTAACCAAAATGATGGATTATTTGTTCCTACAGGTTTATTGAAATAGCTATTCCACCCTTTACAAAAATGAATTATTTCATATTGAGAGGTATTTAATCGTTAAGTATAGCAATAACTTTCACTCGCAGTCACTCATGGTTTCCCATCGATTGTCCGTAAAATAAAATGAAAATAAATCGTTCATATTTTATTCTTTTTTTTTTCATAAAAGTTTGAGAAACTTTGACTATTAAGGATCGTATCAGTTTTCCACGTTTATAAAGACCGTACCAGTTTTCCGTTTACCATACACCGTGACGCCACGAGTGACCTCCCCCACCAATAACGATTTGCGGTTCGCTCATCAGAAATTAAATTTTTTTTTACTCCGAACATTACGCCTTTCCCAGGTCCAATTATCGAAATTATACTACAATATGCTCTTCGGAGTTTTGGTTTGCTAGCTCTCTGAGTGACTCGAAGAATAGATAATGATGACGAACACGGGTAGCAAAACACGATGTTAGATTTAGTGTGGATCGCCTGCTGAGCGTTGTGATAGGTGCCGTGATGGGTACATTAATAGATCCGCTGCTGGATTGCATGATAAAGCATATTGTACTATTTCCTCGCTCGATTCCTCGATGGATTTGAACGTAAGCCAATCCGAGAATATGGATCTTGTCACGTAACCCTTTTAGTGATTTTTAGATATCTATGATTGTGTTGAGTAGAAAACCAGCCGGGCAACAATCAACGTGTGATGGCAACGCGATCACGCAAGCAAATTATCTCGGTTTTCGTCATTGCTTCTAGCTGACGTCCCAGCAGAAAAACAAGCACCGTGTGCGCCGGGCCCCAGGTATCTCGTCACTGAGATGAGCAAACGATGAGAAAACAATTACGGCAACCAGATGCGCCCCAAAACACGTACGATAAACAAAAAACAACCAGCCGGTTAGAATAGCACTTGTTACGAAATACTTTTGTTTAACGATAAGATAATATTATCCGACTGATAGTATACTTATTAGAATATTATTATATAAAAAAAAATAATCAACAAATACAAGACATTTTTATAAAATATATGTGTATTTTTTTTTTAATTTTGATCTTTTGGTTATTAACAAAACGGTCCTCTTATAATATTTATACAATTAAAAAATTTACAATCAATGTAGGTGGGTACTTAAACGTAGATAATATATATATATATATATATATATATATATATATATGTGTGTGTATCAATTAATCATTAATATTATTATTATATTTTTACGCATATAAAATGTTTTAAAACATAATATAAACAAATAAAAACCGTTAAATACGAATTAATCAGATGGTACCTTTAAAATAAATAAATAATAAATTGATACGCTATCTATTTTTTTTCTCTTTGTTCAGAACACAATATAATATTTATATATCACGGTGGCAGTGTTGGAGATGGGTGTTTTTTATAAGTTCAGCGAATGAGCCAATCTCTGGTGTTTTTTTACGGAATCCGATCTAGAATAAGTTTTACCGCAATATTCGCATTCGAAGTCTACGCCGCAAAATTTGAAATGTTTAGCGAAACTCGGTCGTTTGTCGTAAGAACGGCCACATTTGGTACAAGTGTATGTTTCCGAAGCGCCTAAAGACGGAAAATAAAAACAAATTCGTGAAAAACATTTTTTTTTTTTTTTTTAGTAATAGTCTATGTAAAAAAAGAAAATGAAGAACCGCATAGATAGATGTAACTTATAGATTTCATCATGTTATGTTATTAGTTGTTATTATGAATAATATGCGACATCTTCAAAGGGTTTACAATATTATAGAAATAAAATTATTTGTCCTATATAATACCAGGTGTATGGGTTTTTAACCCCGGGAGAAACGTGCATTAAAAAATAAAAGAATAAAAATAAACAAACAAAAATTATATAAGGGGAAATATATAATAAACCGTGTACGATCTTAAAAATAACAAGTTTCCCAAAGTTTTCATCAGGACTATATTTTTTTAAATAAGCGGGAGTTTGCATAATACGCTTTAAAAAGCCGTTATAAGAGACCCGCCTTGTGCGATTAAATGATTAGTATGAACAACGATATTAGTTATAGATATACCTACTATTGAATCCAAAATACAAATTAATCATTCTAAATCAATCAGGCAATCGTTCAAATTATCATTTAGTTTAATTTATCTGAACTAATTCAATAAATTAAAGTAGGCAAGCAATTACACGAGTTTAGTATAATGAACTAAATTTTGGATTAGTTTGAGATATTATATTTCGAGTAGAAAAAAAAGTGACAACCATTGGATATATAAAACACTAGATAGTCACGTGTATTGATAAAATATTTATTTAGTTCACAAACTATGCCATGAATAATTTGTGCTTGATTTGTATTATATTACCTATCAAATAATCCATAGCATAAACAAATATTTCATGGATTAATCAACAAAATTTGTCCTCTCAGTATATAGCTGCTGAGCTTCTAATTTAATCATAAAATAGGCTATCTAGTTGTTTTAATTATCTGTGGTCACGAATTAATTATCTCTGGTCTCCCCTACACCCATTATTGTCCTTAACAACAATTTGAAGCTTTTAACTTAATAAATTGTTTTTATATTTTAGCTATAAGCTTTGAAGCAATAAGCAATACATACATACATGTACATATTAATTTTTTACGCTATGATAGGTATGAATGAATATAATATTAAGAAATCATTATATATTAATATTAATTAACAAAAAAAAAGTTATTTAACAATTGAAATCTGTAAGGAAAATAAAATAATATTTCAATAAACAGTGTTGAACAAACACGGATTTCGAACACGGTTTACCGAATCATAAAGTTTAAAAACTTAGCATATCCATATACTAAATAAATCTCGTAAAGTACAACTTTAGGAATTTTCTTTTAAATTTAAAACTTCAATGAGTTTTAGACAGACGCCATGCACATTGTACATCCAGTTGCGGCAGAAATCACAGAAAACAGATGACGGGAACTACCGCAGTATTTCCACACTATATATTAATTATCTTCCATCATTGCAAACACGTCATTAAATCAATATTAATTTTTATAAAAATCACAAATGACCACATTACGAGACCAATAAATAATAATTTCACGTTCAAGAAGCATACACACGAACCAACTTTCATATTCGTACAGACCCCGGACGTAGGTACACTTCTTTAAATAATTAAATTATCAGTAGAAAAACATCATAACATAATTTAACTGATTTATATGATTGAGAAAACTATCTTTGTCAATTCTTAAAAGTTTATTTAAAAGCTCAAAAGCTGAAGGAATTAGTTGAAATAACTTATTCAACGTATAGATAGTAACATTGCGGAGTGAATTTCCAAAATCGTGACAGTTTTGAGAAAATATTATATATTATAATATATAATGTCATATACGTAGAAAATAGCACAAATACAGAATGATTCTTTTATCACGATCCAATGATTTTCTCGTAATTTAAGTACTTACATTTGATTTTTTTTTCAATCATTATGGAATCCTTTAAGCTTTCATTAAACACTATTTTCAAATTCATTCCCACTAAATACCGATTAATTTTTGTTTTTCATCTCCATGCCCTCATTTCAACACAGATTCGAAAAATAATATATAGCCCAACATTTTGATATGCGTAAATTAATATTGGATTTTTAATTTTTACAAGTCATCAAACAGTTTAAGACTTAGAACAGAGGAGTAGGTAATTATGGGTAATACGTTGATTATAATAGGAACATATACAATGGATCATTACAAAAGAATCACTTTGTATATTTAGGTGGTCGATATCAAATTATTAATTTTGTTTAAAAAATAACAGTTTTATAAGTGATATACCTATAAATTAATATTTTACTGAAAATAAACTAAATTCAGTTTTAGAACGAAAACGACTTAATTACCTATAAGTACAGATTCCGTTGTTGGTTAGATTTTGTAGCAGGTTACCGTGTAGTACCTAACTATCATTATTTTCATAAAAGTTTAGAAAAAACCATAAAATAATATTTTTTTATCAATATACCACGTAAATAAAATATAAGCAACGAAAGAAATACAAATAATATCTATAAGATGTATACACTACACATAAACATTAATTTTTATTTTTAAAAAAACGCACTAACACACACACACACATACACGCGCGCACGCAAACAAAAAATTTAGTTCAGCTAATTTTTAAATTTGTTAAGAAAACAAACAATACTATTTCAACCGTATTTATTATGAAAATACACATTTTTTTGTTGACTTGTATAGTTGTTCCGGCATTCCATAAGCTATTGGACATCATTCTAATGTGTCCAAATAAAAATTGATTCTAGGAAATCCATTTGTACTCGAACTTTTTATCACAGACCCAATCTGCGATCAGAACTTTTTATCTAAACAGCATACAAACGTTGTATGATTCCATAAGCTCTGCAGTTGTTTGTATTTCTTATCACACGTAGGGTACGTTCAACAATAATTATCACCTAAAATATTAAATCATAATGTTAGAATTTTATAAGAGTATTTTAAAGAATTTTTTTTACAAATTATTGCAGGTACATTCATATATAATGGTATGATTTTTAATAGAATTTTATAATTATTTTTTTAAAAACAAAATATAAATTATCTACATTTATTTCGAGTTTATACGCTTTGGTGAAAAGAATACTGCTATAAGAAACTTAAATATTGACACACCGATTACAAATGATATATTTTAATATATTAGAATTATTAACCTCAAATCTTGTATATGGACAAAATTATACACGAAAAAAACAAAAACACTTGCGGATATTCTAACCTTACAAGGAACCTCATCAAAATTTAAAAAATAAATACCACCATATAATTATCTTAGATTTGATAAAAATTATAGCAAAGTATACATTTTCTGATGCGATCTCGTCACTAACATTTATTTTCTCGGTCTGTCTCACATGCACAATATAACAACAAAGGCATTACGCGTTTCCACAATCAAAACTCTGGTTGAGTTTAGCGTACAGTATGGTAATGCACATTTTTTAAAAAGAGAAATTTACTCATATAAATCGTATGAATGATTTGTTCAATTGTTTTATTTCTAAATAAATATTATTAATGATTCAAATTAAGAGAAAATTGAAACACGCATAACTTAATAAAACATTAAAATAATATAAAAATAGTTTTTAGGATCCATAGTAAGTATTCTGGTTTATATAATGTACAATAGGTAAAGTTTCTCTTCCTCAGTCAGAAAGTAGCCATCCTGGAAATGCGGAATGCTTTTGTTGCTGCAGTATTACGTGCAAGACAGACAGAGATTATAAATGTGAGAGACGAAGCCCCTTAATGTAGTATATCGACAACGGGTGTATAAAATGTTTTTATAATGCATTTTTAGTGTTTAAACATTGGAAATTATATAATATTATAATTATAATTGTGTGAACTTACCAAATGATATATTTTAAAGGGCGGCTTGCGACTTGCTACTAGCATCCCTTATTATCTTGTAGGTAAGACGATAAACCTTTTTATAAACATAAATGTATTTTAAAATATTTATAACCTGAAAAACCTCCCATGATGTTGTGTATATTATACAGAGTAATCAATCTATCGTAAACACTCAATATTTCAGAAAATATTAACTTTTTCGGAATTTGTTTTATAGAACATTTAAGAAACGAGCAGCTCTACATTTTTATATTTATGTTATCTTTTGTCACCCTTATTTTTGGTGGTAAAATCATTACCTACTTTTGATTTTCAAATAGCAACCAATATTAAAAATTCTATAAATAAATAGAGTATTACGTCAAAAGATAGACGAAAATCAAAAATGTCAAAACCAACATTTTTCTTAACAATACTCCATCTATTTCCAGATTTTTAATATAGGTTGTCATTTGAAAATTAAAAGTAGATATTGAGTTTGGGAGGAGGGGACACACCCTTAAAATATTTAAAAGAAATAAAGTACATGTAAAATTATAGAGCTGCTTATTTCTTAAATATTCTAAAAAACAAATTCCGAAAAAGTTAATACTTTCTAAGATAATAAATATCTTATGGTAGATTGATTACTCTGTATAGCATCTCATTTATATTTTTGAGAATTATTACGTACATTATAGAAGCATCATTAAAATAGAATATCATTATATGAAGTATCATGAGATATTTTGAAAGGAAAGCTTATAAATAGTATATATAAAAGTATATAATTTTTAAAATAAAATTATATAAAATGAAATGTAATATGTATTTGTCATAGTACTCAATATTATATAATGATGACTTGCGAATCTCTTCTCGTTTCTTCTATGCTATTAGTATGATTCCAATATTCATCGACAATATTATCCGTTTAACAATCCCTCCCACTCTAAATAAATACTGTTTACTAAAACGGGCATACGCAACCACCTAGGTAAACATAGATTTATAAAAAAGATATGAATTTTATGAGTTGAATCGAAATTTAATAATTTTTATTTAATTCATATAAAAAAAAAAAAAAAAACGTTAACATTTAGAATGTTCAGTATAAAATTAGTAGATGGTAAAAGTACATTTTATAAAAAATATTTAACATCGCAGTCGTTATATAATATAGACAATTTTTAATTTTTAACAATATAAAACAATGACATACATTTTTGACTTAAAACACATGATTTCTATAAGTAGGTTACTTTACATAGCATAAATACAAACATGTAGGTTTTTTAAACAATAATATTATTTTTATAATACAAAAATAAAATTATATAAAATCGAATTTCATATAGTTATAATAAAATACGGTGTATACTATATAAAATTAATCAATGAACGGCGATACATTTAGATACATATTCCTAATATAATATTTTATAATAAATAAACTAAAATTAAAAATACGTTTTCGTATTTAATATATTATTATTATACAGAGCTAAAACCAAATAAAAAAACACCTTGTAATATTAGTAATAAGTAACTATATAAAAGTACATACTATACGATTTATACTTCAAAGGCATAAAGACTTGTGAACCATTATGTAGTGGCGTTTCAGATTTTGTTTTTGTGTAAACGGTCGATTACACATTGTACATCTAAACTTAGGTTCTACACCACACTCGTATTTTAAATGAGACACTAAGTTAGAACGATATTTGTATTGTTTTTCGCATTTGGGGCAATCGAAATTAAACAAACCATCTGCAAAAAATTCACATGATTACCCGAATTGTTTAAATACAATCATACATACATACATGCATACATACATACATACATACATACATACATACATACATACATACATACATACATACATACATACATACGTACGTACGTACGAGTACACATTTAATATAATATATTATGATATTCAATGGCGTGCCCAGGAATTTGCAATAGTATAAATCATAATTCACGAATAAACTGTAGAATCGTTTTAGAATCTATTAGGTTAGATTAAACCGACAAAGAATTTAAAAGCCCGATTCAAAAGAATTATTTTGTATTCAATAAATCAAGCTTTTATTTTTCCTTGTAACTTGGCTGAAATATATAATTTCGAAATAAAATTACTAACAATATGTTCTCAAAGTGTTTTACCGATCGGGGATATCACCTCTAATATTCCACTACGCATACCACTGATAACAATGTCATAAATATTTAAATAAGAACGAATGTAAATGTACTTTTTTCCCGCGTGTAATATACTCGTAATAAGAGTAATATTCAACTTGATCATACTTCAATAAAAAAAAAAGTCAATAGTAAGTATTGCAAAATTAAATGAAAATTCGCGCAATCACAAATTAATTTAAATATATTTCAAGGTTATTAAAACAAATGTTCAACGACTACGACAGAAAAATAGACGCGCAAATTTTTTTAAATTTTGAATTAAGGTTGATAGATACACACATAGATATAATTATTAGAAATGAAAATATTAAAAATATGATAATTTAATTTTTTTTTTTTTGAATAAGAAGTGTAACAGATTTGTTTAGAGTGCAAAATATATTTTCGGTTAAACTTGTTTAGCAATGAATTAATATATACGATTTTAATTTAAGTATGAACTTTAAACGTGTAAATAAAACAGCAACGTCGTCCGAATTACCTCTTCTATAATACCGCCACCGTCACCACCACCGCTCCCACACACGTAACCATCGCTGGTACTGTATACGGCCACCTATAATTTACCTCCTCTTTACCAACACCTCACCAACCGCTATAACATACACTATCACATTTTGGGAATACATTATCGGTTTTATCTATAATACTACAATAATTCTGTTACATTCTACCCAGCATTCATTATATTGGGAAGATAATTAGAGTAGCTGTAACGAAAACAGCCATTAGACGAGTGACATGGCGGCCCATCATTCGCTAAACGCTGGCCGTGGACTTTTATTTTAACGCAAAAATCAAACAATCCGTTTTTCATGGTTTTCCATTGATGCATCAATTGATGATGATGATGATGATTCAATTAATTAAGGAATTAAGTCTTATATTAGCGTTACGGCATTATGTTTTATGGGTCAATCAATGCTATAAATGATAAATAAGAAGTATTTCCGGTTTTCTTCCACGCATATACTCCTTTTTACAGATATCTGTAGATATTGTCTGATCAATTTGTGCTTAACTCACTCAAGTCTACTACAGTAGTTAATGGGTCTACGAGAGTTGAGCACACAGATAGAAATGTATGTAAATTATAGGTAACACCGATGATGATTATAAAACCACGACACTACGATACGAACATCTTAATGGAAAAAAAATAGGAATTTAAGTACGCAATTCCCTTCAATCTCTCCTCTGTCCTAAAAATCAACTCTAGTTTGGTTGTTACTATTATCATTTCATTTATTCAGGAGGCTGACTTTGTCATATTAACTTTTCTTTTTCTTCTCTTTAATTACATATAATTCACTTCCACTATTATTATGTTTGTTTTTGTTTTTTATTATTGATCTATTGATGGAATGTAATTTTTGAGCTAAAATAAATAAAAAAAATACGCAGTTTCAAATTTCGTTTTCTTTTTGTTTTAGTCATATTTCCATTGCACTATAACTAAATAGTATATAAGTAATAAATCACATGTTTGAATATAAAAATATACAAATACTATAATATAATATTACACAGATAACTACGAGTACAAGAGTAATCTTAATTACTAATTTATTGCCGTACAAAATATTATAGTTTGTGTAATATAATGTTTGTTATTTATATTTTTAATATTATTAAAATGGTCCACTATAAATTATTCAACAACTTGTGCACGTTAACCATGTGCCGTTTAAGGTGCTGTTTCCACGTAAAACGTCTACCACATTCGGCACACCGAAATTGCGGGTCGACGCCGCACACGAGTTTCAAATGGCTGTTCAAACTAGCTCTGTGCTTGTACATCCGGTTGCATTTTGTACACGGGAATTGGTCGCCATAATCTACAAACCATAAATAAGAGAAACGGTTACAAAAAAACGTCGACTGAATATTTTAGTAGATAAATTTGAACATAGAATTATTATTATATAACGTAAAAATGTCATCTATGGTGGTAAAAAAAAATTTTTTAAAAAAAAAGCAAGAGAGCAAATTATTATAAGAAGGTGTAAAGTAACAAATAAATTTTAAATCAACAATACTATACATAAAGTTAAAAGAGTCGTATAATCGTCGAATATGTATATTTTATCCAACTAGCGTTGGACATTAAATCCGAATTACTAAATTCAATTACGTATTTATAAAAAAAAAAAAAAAAAAAATGATAATTCAACAGAAAAATAATTTTAAATACATATTAAAATAATATTATGTTTTATTCGCATTTGTTATTTACAACCGACGACAGTTATTCAGGTTACTCGAGTATTTCGGCAAAAACTAAAAACAAAACTAAAATAATAATAGTATATTATACTCATAATATGCTCGATTTTCTGTTACATCGCGGACTTTTCTCATCGTTTTTGGCGTGATTTATGAATACCTGCGTCCATTATTGATGAATAAGTAGAATCGACTTGCAACATTAATAATATTATGTATGTACCTGTCGTAATCATGTCAAATGTATATCGAAATCAAAAAAAAAAAAAAAACACAAATGTATTAGAAAAGTAAACGTTTTATTTTGATAATATTTTGCGTATTAACCCTAAGTGCAGTTTAAGATTTAATTTATGGCTGAATTTTCGACGACAAATCTTACACTGAAATATTAGGTCAACACCGCACTCAAATTGTTCGTGTTTTTGTTCATATGATTTACCGCAATTTGTACATAGATATTGCTGCAAATATAGGAATGCTGTTAAAAAATATAATACATACTATTTTAATACAAGATAAAAACAAATAACGAAACAAAATACAATATCATATTATAATTTATCATAATACATATACGTGTAATATGATTTTTTAAAACTTGAATTTAATTAAATACATTTGGATACAATATCATGTATACATTATACAAATAATTTCAATAAAATACGTATTGGATGTCGGAAGAAGAATAGTTTTAAAATATTTAATCGAATACGGGTTCTATTATATTAGAATGCTAATTTATTACCCCTCTTCCTCCCTAAAAAAATGCATTTAAATTGTTTTATTGGTTAGTTGATATTTTTTAAAGTAAATTATAAACTAAAAAAGTTAATTTTGAATGTTAAATAACTGATTCGAATAGTTTATGCTTAAGACCTATTAACTCGTGGACTGTACCTTCTACAACCTATAACGCAAAAAACACGATGAACATTTAATAATCAAAAAGAAGTATCCGGGAAGAAGACATTTCTCATGATTTTTCCATTGATTTATGATAAATCAACGATTTTCATGAAAAAGTCAGAACGTGTAATTTTTCTTCTTGGATTCCTTTTTTAGCTTATCAGATGTTGTCTAAATAATTTTTACTCAAGACACAGTCCGTCTATAGTTAATAGGTATGGTTTATACAATACATTATAAACTAATTATTATTAGGTACTGCACAAAATTAACATAATATAACTACCATAAATTCAACCAATATTAATTGCATCTGTAGATGTTATACTTACAGATGATATACATTTAAAAGTTTACCCTATAAGCATTGATATTAACTTCTATATTGACATATGTTATCGTTGAAAACTGAACCAATATTAAAATTAATATAAGTATACTTTTTTAATTTTAAACTTCAAATAAATAAATCTAAAAGCTCAATATTGTAATTGAATACGCCGATATATATATATTATTTTTTATCAACTAATAACAGTACTCATTTAAATATAATTATTTGTATATTATTCATATCATTAGTAAATTAGTAATTTGCACACGTATATACACTAATATAAATTATAGACATTGAATAAATATACTGTATTTTCCATCCCCCTAGTCTATCATAATTTCTAGCCAACATCACGTCACATGGAAAAATACATTTTTCATTTTCAATTCAAAAAAACCGGAATATTTTAAAAATATTTTAATCTACAAAATATTGTTATAAATATTTAAACAACAATAATTTCATGTCAATAAAATGCCCATACCTAATTGTTGAATAATTGACAATCTATTTTTATTGTCATTGGCATAATGCTCATATCTCCCTTATCAACTTGGATATATTTTTTCTCTCTCTTAATGCAGTTCGTTTATTATTAAGACTATGATATAGATAATTTATTAATTTTAAATTAAATACTTAAGAGGACGTGACACACTTGATGTTTTTAAGGAAAATTGGGCAATTTTTATGTTATATGAAAAATTATCAACTCAAAAAACGGAATTCTTACCTACATACGTGGAACGTGTTTTTTCAAACAATTTATGAGCATGCAACGTCTTATAACAATAAAATTCAGTTATCATAATATTTTGTGAACAGTAATCAAATGATTCCGTAGATGTGATCTGTGGGCGAATTTTCTAAAACATAAATCGCAACTAAATTTCGGTTCGACTCCACATTCGTATTTCTTGTGAGCGAATAAATTACGTTTATATTTATAACTTCGGCCGCAAATGTTGCACATAAAATAGTTTACAGGCATCGCTAAAATCACATATAACATCGTTTGCTAAGTAAATAATCTATTTTTGCCAAAATTGTTAACTCTTATATATTATATTATTATTATTATGTTTTTAAACAAGAGTTATCATCAAGAATGTATGCATGCACATATAATAATTAAGCATAGTATAAGAAAATAAAGTACATTACGTGCACCATTTTTTTCGTTTAATACCTATAATAGTATAATATTCTAATGAAGGAGATTGAAAGCGGTGATTTTTGTACCGATTGATTTAGTGAAATCATAAAAATGCTGCTATTTCCACAAATAAACAAAACAAATCGAGAATTTCAAAATTCGATCTCGAATACCAAAAAACATGACGTTAAATTCAAATCTATTATCAGATATCTAATCACTATAAATCAATCGGTACATTGGAAATGCAAAACACATCTACATAAATATCCTTATATTGCGCATGTGTATTGCCATTTCCAATTCCCTCAAATGAGAGTAAAGGAAAAAATACATTTTTCTTAATATTAGGTATAATAAACAAATTAATTATTAACATTGATAAAAAACTCTATACATGTTATGCTATAACGTACACAAATTAACACGTTTTCTTACAATAAGCTATATAATTACAATAATATACTTAAAATAATAAATTAAATTAAATACGAGCGGGTTATTTAAAATCTCTTTATATATATATATATTATATTTAAATATAATGGTATAACAAATAAAAGATATTCAAACGTTTTCATTAAAATAAATACCTATTGTAAATGTTTAATCATTTAAAAGAAAAAAGCTAATTTTTGATACACAGAATATAGTGACGATCATTGTGCCCCGTTCATAGATACTTAAATTTACGGATTCGCCATCGTCATCTGTTCGTTAAGATCTTCTACGTCGTCCGGATAAGGAACATACTCAACAAACTCAACTTTACATGACGATACTATGCTGTTACGAGTCGAATCGTTGTATCCATGCACCAATCGCATGTGTTTTTTTAAATTATCCGGTCGTTTAGCCAATTTATCGCAAAACAAACACTTGAACTGCGGTTGTTGATTACATTCGTATTTCATATGTTTTTTCAGACTAGAAACTGTTTTGTAACTTTTACCACATCTTTGAGGACACGTAAGGGAATCATCCACAGCATTGTACAGTGATACGGGATCTACAATTTCTATTTCAACGACTTCTAAAAAACAAAAGAACATTATCTTATTAACCTCAATTTTGTCTCATAAAGGTTATAGGTACCTATATATTTGCAGGACGAATAACTAAATAGGTATAATGATTAATTAAGCTACTACTTTTCAAGCACGTGACAAATTAAATATTTCGTAATAGTTACGCCAAAAACAAAAAGAAAAAGGCTTAATATATTTTGATATTAGTTTTGTTGTTGTTTTTTTTTTTTTTTTTTTAATTAATACACATCTACATTCAAATACAAATATTACACCAAAAATGTTTTGCGTCCGTCAACTTGTCGAAATGTAAAAGCAAAAAAGGTTTTCCTTTTACAGATCGAGGTTATATGTTAAAAAAAAAATACAATTCACAATCAAATAATTTGCGTATAATAAACATTATATTATATACCTTGTATAATAACAGTGCGCTTATTATTTCATTGTGAACTATTAATGAATTCATTTTTTTTTTACAGCAAAGGTATCAGCGTATTAGTAAAAGTAATATACTACTCCGGGACTCCGACCATAATTTTTAACCGTATAAGTATTCTATTTTCAAATCAGAGTTTAAAAATATGACGATTCGTTATTTGAAAACCAATAGTTGTATTAGATTTTGTTTTTAATGCATTTACGGAGTAGGGGAACCATTGCAGTATAGATAATTCATTGGTTGATGATAAATAATCTCTAATTTATAAGATAAAAATAGGTATATAGGATAAGCGGATATAAAGAGACTGTAGATGGACGATAAACAATAACTTAAGTAACAATTGTATTCGAAATAATAGGATTTATTTTTTTTTGTAGCGAAACAAATTATAGTTAATGTAATGCAATTATATTTAAACACACTATGCAATATCTTACCCGCTTTATGCTTTCATAAACACTCTCCTTAGCCAAAAAATATATACGAGTTCGGTAAATGGTTCTAATAAGCGAAATGCAGAATTAAAATATTATGATGCTCACGCACAAGAAAATAAAAAATATATAAATGCATTGTGTAATACATAAAATGTTATGTAACTTCGCGAGTAGATTATTTTATACGAGTAAAAGAAAAATTAATTATTTTGAATTTAGACAAAACAGTTGAAATTTAAAAACCTATTTTTTATTTTCGTATTAAGAAAAGTATTTTAAATAAAATTAACTTTTATGTACCTAATAATATAAATATATATTTTGTTTGCAATTTTTTAACCCATATTTTATTACCTACCATTGAAAAAAAAATGTCAAGTAAATCAATATCAAATACGGTATTTTATTAGTATAAAATAAATATTGTACAAACATAGGTGATATATCAATTTTAGATTCTGAGCAGAGTAAAAATGCCATTACGACATTAACATATGGAGTGCGCGACAGGTAGACAGATATCATGAGATACGAATTGTGGATAGCCTATTAGTGGGAAATCTTACGAAATAATAAATGTTATATATATGTTGAATGAGTTATGTCATGAATATATATAATTAGTTATAGATAAAATACCGTGCTTTTATTTTTTTGTCCATGATCCATCTAGTTTCATTAAGGCCAACACGAAAACAGTTTAAACGACGTCCACATGTTATTGTTTCCATAGAGATTTATGATTACAACGATATACCAAGATATTTTTCAACAAAATTTCATCTAGCCCTTGCAATGTTTGAGTATAGATAATTTAATTGGGTATAGAACATTTAGTCTTAAGATGATGTCAAACCTGCATTTTTGCCTTCTCTGTCACCTATCTAGCGGCCAATAAGCAAAAAATGCGTTTTAGTAGGTAATATCAATAATTAGTAACTACTATCAAACCTCGTTAGTCATACAAACTTGATTTTGGTATCAAAATGAATATGATTAATTCTACTAAATCTCTACAGGGGTTTTTATACTTTTCTTTTTTTTTTATAAAAAAAAAAACCGTAATCTACTACTTTTATTGATAATTTGAAAAAAAAATGTTCTATAGAAATTTTTAAAGTCAGGACCGTGCCTAGAGGGGTGAAGTACAGGATTCTATGACCATAGTAGCGGTATTTAAAACCATTATTAAAGTTCTGTAATTGAATAATTTTACAATAAATCTATGAACATACGTACAACGGACTTTTAGTGTTTTTTTTTTTTTTATTTATTTATTGGTTAATTTTTCTGGCACTAGGTACCGATTTTGTTAAGCACGACACTATTTATCGTAAAACTGTGGATGTTTATTTTGGCACTAAAAATCAAATTAATTCGACCAACCGTGTCGCAATAATATTGGAAATACAAAAATACATTTTTGCTACACAGTCTGATAGAAAGGTAGAGACAACAAAAGCAGGTTCGATGTTTTCTTAAGTTTAAGTTAACTTTCATTTGTTTTCACTGTAGTATTTCACGCGTAATATAGCAACAAATGTGTTCCATACTTCAACGATTGTAACTCTCTAGAGAGTTTAGATTAGGACAAAGAGTAGATAAAGTATTTAACAGTATTTATGCATTGACCTTATGATTCATTTTTAACATTTTTATTTCTTAATACGTTTATAATAGTTAAAATTAAGAGACATTGAGTTAAATTAGAGCAGACATTTTGCACGAATGTATTAGAAACAAAAAATCCAGTCAAGGCATAGTAAATATTCTTCTTTATAAAGTATATAATAGGCTTCTATATCCTAAACTTAATCAGAGAATCGCAATTGTTAAAGTGAAATGTCGTGAGGCAGACAGAAAAAACGAATTTTGTGTAAAAGTCCCTTAAAAGAAATACCTATATATACTATATTAATTCGATATTCTCGAAGAATTTCGTTTAACTAAATAAAACAAAAAACAATCTCTACTCAGAATAATGTTTTAAATCGTTTTAAAAAAAAAATAGCAAACACATAATATAAACATCTCTAAAATACACACTAAATAACATTATTGACAAATATAATAACAATTTCAACATAACGAAACTTAAATTGAATAAATATAAGTTAACTTTTTTTTTTTTTTTAATAACATACCTATATTAAAATTCCGTGGCACAATTCGAATATTTTTGTAAAAAAATATTATAATAGTTGATGTTTAACAGTATAGATTAGGTACCCAGTAAAATAACTATATACCCTAATACATATAAATTTGGATTTTTTTTTTCTACTTTCTCTACATTCTACGAGTACAAAACGCAATTGTGTATTCTGATCATGTGTATCTTGTGGTTGATGCGTTGCTTGAAAGGCTTGTTGCATATAACACATTGAAACTTGGGTTTCACGCCGCATTCGTACTTCAGGTGTCTAGCCACGCTACCTTTGTGCTTATACTTACGACCGCATCCGTTTGGGCAATGTATGTCTTCGTAGCCATCGAACGAACCGTCACCTATAGTCGCCGTAAGAAAAAAAAACAACGTCTAATCAACTATCCTCAACTAGATATGAATAAGAAGAAGTTTTTTTTTGTTTGTTTTTTTTTTTTTCACTGACGGCGAAAAGCAACGATAAGCTCCCGTGTAAACGCCCAACAAAAAAAAAAAAACAAAACAAAACAAAACAATCAAAAAAATAAATTAAAAAGCTCTGCAATTATTATACAGTTGTTTAGTTTTTGGAATCGTTTATTTTGGAACTAAGCATATTATTATTAGTTTATTTACACATTATTATTAAATAGGTACCTATATAATGTATTTAAAAATACATACAATGTTAAGTTTTTTGGTGTACAAGGGTATGCTTCAACTCATTCAAAATTGTATGCACCATACACAATATTCAATAAAATGTTAACATTTTTTTTTATCTATCTGTAGACTCACTAATAAGGTATGTTGAAAATATATAATAAAAATCATAACAATTTTAAATATGAAAATTTGTACAACCGATATATTTTAAATTAATTTAAATTTTTTACTGTGATATTCACCGTTCAAATTTAAATTCAAACTGTAATGTAATATTGATATAAACCATTAAACAAAAATCTAAAAATATCTTAACTTAAATATTTCATCACTGCCAATTTTCACACGTTGATGAAAACACATTCTAACTATAATAATATAGTCAAATTATATTATTACTTTTTACTGTATTTACTGTACTGGTACTATTGAACACCATTCGTTTGCATTTGAAGTAATTTTTGGTAATTATCGATCTAAAAGTATAACACAATTAATAATTAATATACAATGAAAAATATATATTATAAAATAATGGTAAATTGTTTACTTTTATTAAGAAATTATAGAAATTATAAACTACTAGTTTTGGCCTAAGCCATCCCCGAGTACATAAATCAAAAATAATTCTCCTTTATTATTATTATATTATGTTGTTATACTTTTTGGCTTAAATTAATAATTCTATAATTTCTTTATACCGGGTGATACTTTTATCATTAAACAGTTATTATTTCGAAAAGCATTGACTATTTTTGAATTTTTTTTTGTTTTAAAAACTTAAGAAAAAAAAGTTTTAAAATATTACATCGTTTTTTTTTTTTTTTTTTGTCACCTTTATTTTTGAGAGTGAAACGACTAAATTTGTATTGAAGGAGAATAGTGGTGCATTATTAAAACACCACTGCATCATTTGTATGTGCTCCACTACTCTCCCCCGACCCAAACTTAAAAGTGGAATATCTCGTCAACAGAAAACGGAAATTAAAAATTTTACTAAAATTTATTTTAGCTAATACTCCATATATTTATGGGATTTTTACTATAGGTTGATATTTAAAAATTAAAAGTAGATAGTCGTTTCACCCCTAAAAATTAGAGTTATAAAAAATAAAGTAAATGTAAAACTATAGAGCTACTTGTTTCTTAAATTTTCTATCAAACGGATTCCGAAAAAAGTTAATAATTTATGAGATAATGAATGTTTAACAATAAAAAAATCACTCGATATATAATATATGTTTTATAATAGTATATTGACTATATTCTGTATTATTAATTAGATCAATTTTTAATAATTACTTAAAATATTAAATTGTTATCTCCCTTTACCATAGACATTCCCCAATTTTATTAACTTTTGTTAAACCAGTAATCAATTTTACTATAGGTACCTAACTCTAACTAAATATACCAATACATAAATTAAGTCTGTGTAGAACACCTTTAAAATATTTACCAGGAACTCCACTAAGTACATAACAAACATATGGTACAATATTTGACATTAACATATCTAAATTTACAAAAATACTTAATCTTCATTAGAATTTTATTTTAATGTAAACATGAATATTTTTAACTCATTAGGTACAACAATGGGAAGGAAATATTTTAAAAATGTCAAAAATGTAAACATCATAATATTAGAGGTTTAATATTTTATTAATGTGTATACACCTCAAGTTAAATGGATTTTCTGTACTTACCAACATTTTGTACCACTTTTATTTATACATTTCTATATGCACGCCAAAGTGTATTAATTATTTTATCGTGATGCGTGCTCTTGGGAAATAAGAAAATATACTTAAAAAAAAAATTATTTATTTGATATAATCTTTAAAATATATTATATTAAATACAGCCATAAAAGTCCAATAAAATAATATAATTCAATAAAAACTGTATGTTTTATATTGTCACATGTAAAATAAGTAGATAGTATTCTATAAAATATAGCGTTCTACATAACAAAAATATTATAATAAATAAAAAGAAATAATTGCATACAATATTACTGATTTTAAGATACTAATTTATAATTCGCCACATAGATATATACCACAAATACAAATTAGTTATACTTAAAATACAACATCACTAAAAATATACTTCAATAATAACAGAATCATAGAAAATTAATTAGATAAATTTGTTTCGAACTTTGGACTTAATGTAATAACCTAGTATACATTAGATTATATTTTAACACAGAAATAATAATACAAAATACAAATACAACAATATGCATGTCCCGATATATATGAGTATACAAATGTTAACCTACATAAAAATACAAACATAATAGTTCATTAATTTAAATACTAAAATTAACTTAACATTTTAATAAGAAGTAAATGCAATACATGAAATACATGTTTTAAATTAGAATACAATAAAATGTGCTCCGTAATTAGCGTATTACTTTATTATTCTATAACAAAAGTTTAAAAATCTTAATCTTATAAATAATTTTGAAAATCATTGACATAAGTTAAATTTGGGTGCAATTCATAGAATAAATAATATTCCGGAAATACAATAACGCCAAATAATAAGTATTCTTATAATAAATAAATCTATATAAAAATTATTATTACTTTAAACCGTATAATATATACAAATGTATACCAAGTTTAATTCTATGCATTTAAAATTAGGGCTACAGCAAAAATGTATTAAGACATATTTGGCCAAAACAAAATCCATTAATCAGTATATGAAAATGACCAATATAGTTACAAGATTTTAAAAGCAAATGAGACAAGAATAGCAAGCACATATAAATCAATAACTCAGAATGGCACAAAATAGATCACTAAAGAAAAGGGATCATAAAAAGGATCAATACAGAAAGATGAGTGGACAAAATTGTGCGAGTAATTTGAAAATGCTAAGTTAGATTAGGTACACAGACCAGTAATGTGAAGCTGTCAGAGATAGAAAAAAAATTGATAAATGTAATGCTTGCAGTGAATAGATCTAAATAGGAAAGTCTAAACCTTACACACAATATATTTTAGCAACCGTTTATGATACATCTATAATAATAAAAAGTAGTAAATATTTTATTGAAATTAAATTATTTTAAACAAAAATATTTGTTTCACTTATCTAATACATAATTAAAAAATAAAAACTGATTGAAATATTTACTACAATCCTATCAATACATGAAGACATTTTATTTTATTTTATTTCATTTTACAGACTTAGCCCTTTGACAAAAAGTTTTAATTACATAACATGATTACTAAAATATAAGTTAAAAAAAAAAGAATTTTACTACATTAAACAATACAAACTTTGTTTAATTTTAGTCATAATTTCAAGACATAAGGAATTGGCCTTAAAGTTATGACAATGAATAATAATTGTATAATTCTATTATTACTGGATATTCCATAATATTATATAAACAAAAAAAATTAATGAAATATAATCTACTAAAAAAACTATAAAACAATTTAAACTAAAATATCTATCAGTTGATATGTTATGTTTAAATCAAAAAAATTGTATGGCCAACATTAATAATAACTGTAAACAACTTTAAATGTTTCTTAAAGGCCATGCAAGTTACATAAATTATATCTTTTTTTTTTGTGTTTTAATTTATAATAGGTATATAGGAAGTCCTATATTTTGTCCACATACATATTCAAGGGAATTAATAATGATAATAATATAATAAATTCAATACCTCATTGGCATATTTAAGAAATTTGTATGTTATTTATGATTATTAACCTTCAAATAAACAATTATTAGCCTCTATTAATTTGTATTTATTTTTGGACCTCTCGCGCTTCTATCAATGCCATGTATTGTCATCAAATGCAACTTAAAAGTTTCTGGTTGTTTATAAGTTTTATAACATATAGGGCACTTGAATTGTGGCTCAATACCACATTCGTACTTCAAGTGACGAACTAAACCTTTTTTGTATTTGTACTTTCGTCCACATTCTCTCGGACAGTAAAAATTGCCATCATACTCTCGTTCTACATTCATTCCAACAACCATTCCTGAAACATTTAATTTTTTTACATGCATAATTTAAGATTCACAGTATAATATGTAAAATCAAGCAACTGTTTAAGCTGTAACTAATGAATAAAAGCACATTTAGATTTAACACAAAATTACACTATACAATATCAACAAACTATGATACATACATTATATAAATACATTAAATTTGTGTTGTATATAAATATTTGCATACTTATACAAATAACATTTAATAAACCAAAAGTGAAATATCCTGATAATACATTATTTATTTTAATATGATTTGGGATAATAATTTTGAATACAAATAATTTGATTTGAACTTAAAATGTAATTAATATAGGTATAAATATACTAACAATAACATTATATAATACATTCAAATATTTCCGCATTTTAAAATGTCATTGAACACTTTACAAACAATATTAGAATAGTTTAATAAAATAAAATATTTAAATTATCTAACATAATAAAATATACAATAAAACGTAATGTACGACATAAGCGACATACAACTAATTTTAAATATTAAACTAAGACTACATTAACGATTAAATTAACTGTAATATATACATAAAAGATATACAATTTACAAATTTTATATATCATTAAAATTAAGTATTTAAATACTGATCAAATTTTCGTCTTAACATTTAAAACAATTTTTAATTCATGTAAATTTTATGATAAATATTTTTTATTAAGAGATTTGTACTTCAAGTGAAGTTATGTCTAGGTACTTAGTTAATAATAAATTATAATAATAATAAATTATACAACTGAGTTTTGATGTTTAAATCTTCCATATTAGGAAAAAAAAAAATTGTAATTATGAGTTATGAGGTCGACGAGTGTAGGGATCAGAGAGCACAGCCCTCTAGTAAAAATATAATGTATTCAATAATTAAAAATAATAATTAATTAATCATGGTGTTACCTTAAGTTTTGATGTCTTCTTTAATATTTGTATGGTTATTGTTATCATTAGCATACTTGTAAATAGATAAATTCTAAAATAGAAAAAAAATTAAGATGTTTACATGGTGTACTAAAATATAAATTTAAAAAAGTAACTACTTACCTTATTTTTTTACAGTTTAATTTCTGCGGAATCAAAAAAACTGTAACCACGCAGAGAAAATATCATAAATAAATTGAACATAAATAAATAATTCACAATAACTTTAAATAATCACACTTTAGAAATTTCACAAATTCAATAGGTAACCAAAGATAAACTGTTTATAAATAAATATGTATGCAATTTAATATTGATTCAAATCAAAATTAAATAATTGATTTTAGTTAATTCAGTTATTTATTTCAATTATTCATTTAACTCAATAATAAATATGTATTCCAATGGAAATACATTAGGTACAAAAAAAAATAATTAAAATTCAGTAATAGCTCCATATCATCCATCAGAAACTTAAATTAGAAGTACAGAAAATAATTACTTGCGTAAACATATTTATATACTATGTATGTATAATTATACAAGTCAAGTTATCAGTTATTTTAATTGATACATATTTTCTTGTCTCTCGACTTACCTTTACGACCACATGACTTTAATAATTCAGTTTTATTCCTGTAAATATTCTACTCTATTATACTAAAATTCTTATATAAATAAAACTAAAATGTATATAAACATGAATGCATATTACATAGTATCTATATATTTAACAAAAATTAAAACTGTATATTAATATACAATTTTAATAATAAGAAAAATAAATCGTTAAAAATGCAGGTATGTAGTGACGATAGTAGCCACTACTCAAATCACACTCCACCACTTTCCCCAACCTAAACTTAAAAGTGGAATATTTTGTCAACTGGTTAATGGAAAGTAACAATTCCACCACCAAAATGTATTTATACTAAAATTGCATATATTTATGGAATTTTTAATATGAATTAGTATTTAAAAATTAAAAGTAGGTAGTGGGGTTTCGCCCCAAATAGAGAAAAAATAAAGATAATGTAGAATTTTAAAATATACATATTGATTCCAAAAATTGTTCACATAGGTAATTTTTGTAAAAATAAATAGTTCATGAAACATTTAACTGTAACAGGAAATTTAGAAGTCATTGATTATTTAGCAGATTTAATTAATTCTAATTTAATTTCATTTATAGAAATTTAATATTTAACATGGTTAAATCTTAATATTTGGTTTTAGGACTTATTTTTAGAAATATTGAAAATAATTATGGATAAATAAATCTTGAGAGAAATAGCACTGAAAAAATAGCTACTATACATTTTTGACAAATATTAAGAATCATCTAAGTTTATACCTAGTTTAGTTTTTGATTAATGTAGTAGGGAAACTTATGAGTTTTGAATTAAGTACTCCGACTATAAAAATTTATTTTAATAAATTAAAACAAAAATTCAAACAATATTATAGTAAAGCAGCAAAAAAAAAAAAAAAACTCCTCATAAATAATGGTGATTTCATCCACCTCAATATCTTGTTTTTCCATCATTCACCACATATTCTTATTGTATTAATATAATGTATAACATTTTAAAATTTAAAAAAAAGATATTTTAATTTCTATAATTAAAATCAAACACAAACAGTTAATTATTTGGTTAATATAAATCAAAAAAAATATTTTCTTATTTATAATTATTTGTTCAGATAAAAAAAATAATAATAGCAGCATTTACCATTTATGGATGTGTAGAGAAATAATGTTAATATAGTAGAAACTATTTATTATAACATCGGTTATAGTAACAAACTGGGTGTAATGGCGTTAAATTTTAGGTAATGGCCAAACTTCTATATTGTACATACTAATTTGTATTGGTTATTTTGACGTCTACATAATGAGTAATCATTATACAGATTTTTAGGTAATATTGGACAAATAATTTATCAGTAATGACTGTATTACATATATCAAAAATTAAAAATAATTAAAAGGGTAATCAATAATATAAAAACAAATTTACTGATTTTTTTTTAACCTTAGAAAAGTTTTAGAGTACAAATCAAAACTTTTTTCATCATACTGGTTTCAATAATGCAATTCAAAAAGGGGTTTACAAATGCGGATAGTTATGTTAACTTTGACATTATGATATACTAATTTCTGAGCAATTAATTGATCGAAAAATTATTTCTTTATTAAATAACCAACTCAAGAAAGATGACAACAGTGAAAAAGAAGATACTCCTCCCAATGAAGATTTACTAATTTCTTCATTGCCCAATGCAATAAAATAAATATTAAATTATGACTTGGAATAATGTTAGTTCAAAAAAAAATTTTTAAAAATAAAATGATATTAGCATACCAAAAATAAAAGTAATACAACTAAGATGACAAATTATTTTAATATGTACCTATTAATTTTAATGCAAATACTTGTATTATTATATTACATAATATCAAGTTTTTGAATTGGTTTAACATTCAGGTTATAACAACTATTGATTATTATGACAAATTTTTACTGATCCCTTGAAAATTTTTATGAACAGTTTTTACTCACATGTTTAAATATGTTTTAAATCATACATTAGGGAAATCACTATTCAAAATTAACTTTTAGAGATACGAATAAATTGTTTCAAATTTAACATCTAAACATGTTTTAGATTCTGAGTGGAGTGAAGAAGCTAATGGTTTTACAAAGATGTTAATTTTTTTTTCTGTGGACAACTTTTCTACTAGCAATTTTGCTCCAACTTTTAATGATAGAAATATTTCTGAAAGGAAATTTTATTGGGGAGGTACTTTAAAGAGATGTGTTTTTATATTTTCCCCAGAGTTTTCTCAGAAAATGTGAAAAACTGGGGAAATTGATACAACATTTAACAAATAATATTAAAGAAAATAAATAGAGCCTATTTAATTATTTTACTATAATATGACATATATATCATTGACAAAGCATTACTAACAACTAAACTCCGTTTAGAATCGTTTTTTTGTAAGCAATGGTTTATATTGTTGCATATAGGTATACATTAAATTACCTTCATCAGTGACTGCAACCGTCCCCCCACTATCCTAAGATGTCACATATTTTCTAAAATTAACTGTTTGTTTAGTTTGATATAATCTATGTTTGTATGGACCAACTATGAAGAAAAAATTATAATTTACCTCTTATGGTTGTTGAATGTTGATCTTGAAATCTTCTGAGAGACAAGAAAATAAACTCATTTATTAAATCATTTAAAATTAATTATATTAAGTGTTTTCTATTAACTATACACTCAATATAATATAATAATAGGTGAGAACTAAGTATCATATAACACATGTATTGTATATTAATTTTTTAATTAAAACTATATAATATACATATTAAATAGGAATTTGTCAAATAAATATAATAAAATAATAAGTATTATGATACATAGTAATTACCTATTTCAGTATTATATATATATACATAAAACGAGTACAAAATATACAAGTATCTACTTAATAATATTAATAAGTACTTCAGCATAAGTACACCACTGACCTATCAGTTTCCTTAATTTTAGCCACTTACCTTATTTGTAACTGTACAATAACTGGGTTTTAGAACATCACCTGAAAAAAAAATATATGTATATAAGTAAGTTAGTTAATTTTTGTATTTTTTAAATATTATACCTACATAAATGGTACTAGAACCAAACAATTATAAATAGGTACATGCCAATTTATCAAAATTATTTAATAATTTCCCTTGACATTTTCTTTGTGCACCCACTTAAATGTTAGATTTTAAATATATTCCAAAATTATTGAATTTTGTACTGCTTTTTGGTTTCCTTGGTAAACTTAGGGTTTACAAATAATAGCAAAGATAACCAAATAGGTCTAAAAATGTAACTCCAACAAAATTTGTATTAAGTTTCCAAGTTTTGAAAAATAATCATAGCATATTTGTTTTATTATAACTAAATTTGTAATAAAAAGAAATATAAAACATTCAATCAAGTAGATAATATTAATTATGGTTTAGATATATTATATAAATACCCATCTAAGCAATGAAGTAGGTATACGGAAATAAATTCAAAAACAATATTTAATATAAATATATTCTAGACAATTATCAATATCCCTAGGTACACACACAATTCATGAGGATATTCTATAAGTCTATGTCTTTTTATAATCAGACTGTATAGTTTAAAAATACAGGAAAAAAATTATAAAAGTATATAATATTATATGTTGTATACATATTTTAACAATCAGTTTCACTATTCTCGGTATTAGATACTCACTGAGACAAATTCTATTGATATTTATGCAAGATCTGCTGTACGATAACAGAAATGTATATCATATTAAATTTGTCCAATGTTGGTACTTTTCTTAAAATTGTAATTTAACATAAACCCTACCCAGAAGATAGATCACTAACGCCAATTAGTGTACACATTTTTTATTATCATAGAATTTTACTCCAGCAATAAAGACCTAAAACTTTTAACAAATTTCAACTGTGCAGTATTGTGTATTTTATTTTGTACAATTTAATAAAAGCAGTTATCACCACTGTGATGATTGTTCTTGGCTTCTTAAGAAAATAGGATGGCCAAAATATAAATATTATTGTAAAACTATCTATTTCACTACACTTAGGATCTAAAGCAAAAGTTAACTAATGTATTTTATAATTCGAACAACCAACACAAATTATTTTAAACATTTATGGGGAAAAAACCATTAGATAGTATAATTAAACAGCAATTCAGCTTTTACTGGATACCTACAATAAATTAATTTATAATTCAAAAAGACTTATCAGGAAATAAAATTAAGACATCAAATTTAACGTTTTTTGAATATAGATTATTTAATTAAAATAACACTATTTTATGAATTTGCTTTTTAACTAGTAAAATAACTAGTCTCGGTTAATTAGATAAACAGAATATTTTTCTAATTTTTTGTCTCATTTTGAGAAGTGCTGTAACCTGTAAGAAATTTATTGAATACAAATTTAAAACGTGAGATTAATTTGAAATTAATATTATTTTTCATAATAATGGTACAAACCATGGTCTCAGAAGATAAGACTAAGATCAGTGGTACTAATAGTTGATAACATAAATTAATTTTCGGTTTTAATATTTTGGCGTTTAGTACAACTGGTCAAAAATCTATTGATAAAAAATTATTATCAGTGATCATTTGTTTTTATTCGGTTATCATTTAGCTATTATAAACAAATTTTTATTTTCAAAATTGAAGTTCTGTGGAAATTTCATAATTATATATTTTTCTACAATAATTTAAATCAAGTTAACAACTTTAAGGTATCTCTGCAAATGAAATGAATTGTTTAACATGTTATTATTATGAACATAAAAATGTATATGCATTATTTTGTCGTGGAATTAGTTTGATATTACACCTGGGGTTACTTTAAAAAACTACAAATTCTAAACATTATATTATTATATAGCATTGGATTATGTATTAAGTATATTATATATTACCGCATACATTTGATAATGTTTAAATAAACTGAGATTATGTTACCAAATTCCGACAAACAAAAATTAAACTAATAAAGAATGCTTTTCTGTTGTTTTAATTCTATTTTTTAATCTTATGTCTATTTAATAATCACCTAATTAAATTAATATATTAATTTCAATAAATTTTGATTGAAATTCTATCAAAAAATGTACACTGATATAGTTGTCTATTATATTGTTAAATTAAATAAATCATAATTTATTTGTTAATTTACTCTAACTTATTTGTTTATTTAATAATTTTTACTTATTTAATTACATAATTAGATAGGTATTTACCAATCTAAATTAAATCTTTCATTCAGTAATTTTGTTTTTGACAGCATTGATAGTTCAGGGGATAAACCATATGATTTAATTAAAAATAAGGGGGTATATAGCAAATCAATCCCGTATATAATCTAACGTGTAAAGCTACAATTAGCTTCAAAAATAATGTATTAAAATTATCAAAAATAAATTTTTTCTACTGATTATTGTAGACAAATTAGATGTAGAGCAATTAAAAAATAATATTTCTTCACCATACTGTTAGTAAAATGAAAACTACAATAAAACACCATTGGAAAATTATCAAAATAACCCCTTATTATAGTATTTTATATTATAAATAGTTTAAAATACCATTACATAAACACATTAATCTCATTAGTACTATGGAACACTAGATCACGGGTAGTAAATTACCAAACAAGAAGTCGCTTGAAAGTTTTAATATATAATATTAGAATTCAACATTGAAACACTTCAATAGTTATAGATGAGTGTTTAATATTTTAGAGAAAAACCCTGATTCCAACTCAAGAACTACATAAGTGTAGAGAAAAATTTTAAATGCTGTATGCAAAATTTAAGATTTTTATCTAAACAATACACAAAAAAAAAAAAGGAAAATGTTTTCATTGATAAGATGAATAATTTATTTGACTTGGTTGAGACTTTGAGCACCAACATGCATTAGAGTAAACTAAAATTTAGGATCAGACTATTTTTTTTCAACAAATACAATTTAAAAAAACACAAGGAACACAGTTATACCGAGAATAAATCACTAAAGGAAATCAGAGTAAAAATGTTTCATTATCATGGAAATCATTGGTAATTTTACAGAAAATTATAGTTATCATTGGGTATATCATAATATTCTGAAATATGAGGTACATAATATTAATTAGTAATTTACTCCTCCATATATATATATAAATCAATAATTATGATTTGATACTTAAATATTTTTTCCAGAATTTTTTTCTCATTTCCTTGAATTTTCATAACAAATTTAAAATTCTCTGATACCTATTTTCAGAATTAACATATAGCATAGGAACCATGCATTGCTCATTGTTTTGTTTGTTGATTCTTATTTCTAAATTAGATTGAAAATTATAAAGAATTCCAAATTTTAAATGTTAAACACCTGATAACATAAACGAGCTCAGAAACTTAAATTACTTACTTATTACTAATACAACACTTGAAGACGCCAAAGAAACAGAAAAAAAGACTGAACTCCAAATGAACTAATTAAAAGGACATGGGTGCAGCCACCTTTGTTAGTGAATAGTTGGGAACGTAGGATTAGAAGGGAAATTAATTTGTATCTATAAGCAACAATAAACCATTGATTACTAAAAAAGATTCTGAGGGGAATTCAGTTGATAGTGATGCTTTATCAACATTATCCACAATTTTATATTTGTGTTATTTTTTGTAACCCTTTCTGGAGGTAAAACAGCTACCTACTTTTGATTTTCAAATGGTAATCTATATTAAAAAGTCCATAAATAGATTAAGTATAAGTTAATTTAAATTTTAGTGTTGAATTTTTTTATTTCTGCCAAGCCGTTGACAAGATATACCACTTTTAATTTTGTGTTGGAGGAGAGTAGTGGTGCATTATTAACACGCTGTGGGTCGTACCGCCACACTAATGAATATCTTGTCAACGGATCAACAGAAATAAAAAATGTCAACACTAAAATTTATTTTAACCAATACTCAATCTATTTATGGACTTTAATATAGATTGCCATTTGAAAATAAAAAGTAGATAGTTGTTTTACTCTTAAAAATATTGGTGACAAAAAATAACAAATATAAAATTGTGGAGCAAATTGTTTCTTAAATGTTCTAGAAAGCAAATTCCAGAAAAAGTTAATACTTTCCGAGATAATGAATGTACCTACTTAAATGAATAACCTGGTACATTGTATACATTGGAATAAAATTTCTGGTAGAAAATGTTCACATAAAGAAAAAAATTAATATTTTTGTTAAACTAATACATTTTTCGCTATACTCAGAGTCTAAGTCATAAATTTAAACTTATTGGGGATGTCTCAAAAAATGTTTAAAATATTTAAAATAAAAGGAAGAATTATATCAAAAATAATTAAAGATGAAGAACTTAGTTTTAATTTGTATTACAAGTAAATATCAAGGATATCACAAATACCTACCTACTAATTTAATGAAATAATTTTATCTAATCGTTTAGTTTAAATTATGTTGTTTTATGTTCCAGACCATACAAAATTATCGTTAAAAATATCTTAAACCAACATTAAACATTCTTGAAAAAAAACAAAACTGTAATGATCTGTTTAATTATGTTAATTTTATTATTATAAAACAACTATACAATTCGCCCCCTATTTATTTTACCAGTTTGGAAATGTATTTTCTTTAATTTAACAAGAAAGAGGATATTTTGAAAAAAAATATTAGTTATAAATATTTTTCAGTAATATAGTACAATAATAACTATTTTTGTTTTTCTAATTTCAGAAGATTTTTGCAAAAAACTAAAACTAAGAATTTTTCAAAAATAAGCAATATATAAGCTATACATATTTTTTTCTTCATTTCTCAAGAATGGGTTCAATTGATACAAATTTTTAGTTGGCATTACTTAAATTGTTCAACTTCAAACATAACTAGCACCCTAATGTATATTTTCATAATATATATCCACGTATTCAACTAATTTATTAAAATATATACTACCGAAAAATTCTGAACTCTCAGCTAAAATTATACAATTATACCTTATAATGGTTTTTCTTAGAGGTTTTAAATAACTTGTTATTTAATCAGACACAGAAATTCCAAAGTTGTTGTACAAGATAATCTATAAGATGAAATTGAATTTAAGGGTAAAACAATATTTAATTTGTTTAGTTGTACAAAATAAAGTACACAATATTACATGATTGAAATTATGAGTATTGAGTATTTTGTAAGGTTGGTGCCAAGGTAATGCACCAAACATTATATCATGGCATAATGGGAAGAATGAAACGAATGAATGCATTAAGGATGAAAGTTATGTAAAATAATTATTTACCAATATATACCAGTATGTATTTACCAATATATACCAGTATGTATTTACCTAATTTAATTTATAATATATTTAAATAATAATTAATGTCTTCGGTATATTTTAAAATAATGTTTTCAATTTTAATCTTTTTGTAATAGATACTATTTTCACTGTATTAAAATATCTTAAATAAGTATAATACCTAATAATTTACTTTTCAATTTTTAAATATAAATAGTATATCTTACCAGTTAAGTTACAAAAGTAGGTAATCCATTTAATCACTGTCAGCATATTATGTACGTCCAATTGATTACGTTGAATAAAACAATTCACAATTCACTCAAGTAATTTAAAAATATTTTAACTAGGTAATTTAGTAGATCCATTTAACATATTATTGAATAAAATAATTTTAACATTTTCAGCTTAATACATTGGTATGTATATAAAATGTTTCTGAACCTACCGGAATCACTATTAAGAACCTATTAATATTTATGAACAATATTATAAACTTCAAAATTACAACAGTACTAGGTACTTAAATCAAAACTGAATTATTACAAAAATATTGTGACCAATCACAAGGCAATACAAATGCACATTTATTAAAATTTAAGAAAAAAGGTTTGTAAACAATTTCAATGGGAAGGTAGTGCGCATGTAAAATGTTCAACTAAAAGAAATTATTAAAAATACATTTAAAAAAACTACAATACCTACAATAGGTACCTATGTATACAAATTAAATGGAATTAATTTTGAATCACTTAGTAGTTAACCTATATTATTTAAATATTAACAAAATTACAATTAGTTTGAATATTAGATATTTTGAAAAAATTTTAAATTTTATTTCTTCTGATAAAAAAAAATGGATCACATGTTTTAACATTGTTTGATTTTACTTAAGCGTAAAGAGTTTTAACGACGATTAACTCAGTTAACAATGTTCACATGTCGTATAAATCGATTCACAAAACACAAAAAAAAATTTTAAAAACGATGCAATCAATCACTTCAGTCGTTATTAAAACTATTAGTTTTAATGTATTTGGCGCGCACTAAACGAATTATCGATTTTGTTTCAATTGAAAAGGCAAAACGAACGGTATTAACACAAATCACGCACATTTTTGTTATAGAATTTAATGAATAAACAAATTTGTGTACCGAAATCGAAAATGCAGTATAGAAACTTAAACATAATGATAACAACGGAATACGGATTACCATACATTCGCATTCGCATAACAATACGAAATGATAATTCACCGGTGAGGTTATGTTATTATCTCCAACCTCTTAGAAATGGCGCCAAAATGATTATGATTTCTAAACTGATGTAGATAGTCCATAATTAATTTTATTGTTAGTAGGTACACGGTCATAAACAATATAAGAATAATTAGGCATATTATGTATTTATCTATGTACAGTGTACACGCTACATAATATGTAAACCAGTGTCCCAATGTAAAATTGTTGGCTGAACTAGTATTTGAAAAAAATAAAACGAGAAGCGCACTCTTATGTATAAAGAGCAATATTATAATGTAGGACTACAGAACATCATCACAGAATATATTATAATTGTTATTATCTGTGATAAGACAATATCACAATATCACAGATAGATTTTACCCTCGAGCCACCATTACTATCAACTGTACTTCACTCAGAATTGCAATGGTTTATCATTACTTACAGGTATACATTAAATTATCTATAACAGTGTGCACTCGTTCTCATTATCCTAAGACGTCTTTTTATCATGCTTTGTTGATCCAAACAGGTCAATTTTCTCATTGTAGCTCAAAGAATCGAAAATATTATGTTCGATGCTGATAACTATGTTTTGATTATTTTCAAGCCAATAACAATGTGTTTAGCTTTGTATAATTGGTATCACCTTGATTTTCGTTGATAACAACCCGTGTCCAAAGAAAACCCCATGGTTACACAGGTCGGAATTCGCGTACTATTAAGACAATATTATCATGATTATTTATTGAAAAAGTGATGTTCGGAATATATAATTTGCGAGGCCCCACGCTTGTGCGGCCGCACCGCGTGTCCCTCCTAGTGCCGGCACTGGCTGTACATATAGTTTTACTTCACTATAAACGATTTATTTATTATTTTAATTGTAATTATTTAATAAAACACAACAAAGAAACATGAACATATATTTTACTATACAATAATTAGAATTATAGGTATATAGGTATTACTACGGCGTGATCGCCGCAGTAATAAGTAATACTATTAAGTAACCGAACTCCGCTCAGAATCATCTTTCGTCAGCAATTGTTTACCAATAGTTGCAGACATAAATAATTAATTTACCTTTTTATGTATACCGCCTTCCCAACTTTCAACCCACAACACTGGTCGTACACGTCACTGACAGAACCAGTATCTTACCTTTAATTGTACTTTTTAAAAATGACAATAACCCTCAAACATTGAAGATATTTGAGTTTCTTTAAAATATCTAATTAGTTATTAACAAATAAGTAAAAAACCTCTTTTTTTACCAAACATCATATACAAATAATATACACATAATACAAAATATTTTAAATGTGTATAATAAATAACATTGACGGTATGTAGGTACTTGAGTTTTTTTTAAAATATCTAAATAGTTATTAACAAAAAAGTAAATATCCTTTTTTTTTACCAAATATATTCAAATAATATAACACATAATAAAAATATAAAATTGTTTATAAGGTATTTTATGTACTGAAAAATATTAGTACAAAATATCATTGTAAATCCGAGCAAAATTTATGGTAGAAAAGTTATTCACAGGAAAAAAGACCGTTATATTTTTAACTAATACTTATATTTTTTACATTTTCCCGTTTTTTTTCATTTTTTGAGAAAACTCCTGGGAAAATCGAAAAATATAGAGACTATAATTTAGAGAGTATAAGTAGTTTAATTTATGTACATAAACAACGATAAATTATTGCTAACGAAAAGCGATTCTGATCGAAGTTCGGTTAAATGTGTTTTAAAATTCCGCGATTTTTACCATTTTAAAGATTTGTAGACAAAAATCATGGTCATATATATAATTTTCAGAATTAGTTGTATTATTAATAATGTAAGTTATTTTTTTTAATCACTATGCAATATATACATATATCACCAAGAGTCCAAATAGATATATAATTGTATACCTAGGTACCCCTAAATATTTTTTAACTCAAGTTTTAACGATTCCAATGAGGCATTTTATTATTATGATATTAATTTTCTAAAGTTTTACGTTTTATATTTTTTATCTTTCCCAATATTTTCAATATTAAAAACAAGCAATTATAAGAATCTAATTTGGATTTCTTGACTCTGCGAGTCGAAGATTAAACGCCCCCCCCCCAAAAAAAAAATGTATTTGTTAATGAAATATCCACGATTCTTATATAACCTAGGAGTAATTTTGCATCGTGAATGAAATTATTTAACCCACCCATCCACACACAAATTTATTCACAAAATCACTACGTTCTCTCCTTGTATTTATAAAGTTATTACTTTATTAGGTATTAAGTTAATCGTCTTTTGCAAAAACCATTAATAATTATATCGCAAAACTTACCGGTGTTATTTTCTTAATAATTTTGAAGGTGACAAAATATAAATTCCATAAAAATATGTATTCTTTAATTTTGTAACTTTTAGTTGTATATTAAATATTAATATATTATTATATATTACATAAAATTAATTGCAAAATTACAATTATTTATAATACCTATGGTAAATATGGTTACACAGAGACCAACAATGTGTAAAGTGTTGGGTTTTAATTAAAAATATGGAACACTACTATACCGATTATTAAAGTATTAAAATTAAGTGTTCGGTATTAAATATAATTTTGAAAAATATTTAATGTGCATTACAAAGAAATTCTCATATAGGTAGATATCTATTATACCTTTATACCTATGTAAAAACGCTACGAGTCCAAAAAAATGAGAAAATCCTTAAATTCAGATCTTTTAGATCAATGAATCAATAGATCAATGTATGTTCAAAATATTGCCTCACAAAAAGATCCTACGGAAAAAATGCATTTTTACTAAGTAAAAACGCTGTAAACCCTAGCTAAACCAGCGTTTCTCAACCGCGAGGTGTATTAGGGAGTTCGCGGGAAAATAAGCGTAATAACGAGAAAAGTGAAATATTATATTGTAATTGATTAATTTATTACTTATTTGTGAAATATTGTAAACATTGGAAATTGGTTTTTTACAATATATAATATAAGTCTATACTTAATAGGTATAATAAATGTATACATATATCATTATATAACGTAACCTAAACTCTTTTTCTTTTTTTTTTTATAGGTGGCGGCACGTGACACGTGTATACTAGATTTTATCTGATCTGATAGCGTAGGAGGTCGGTAAAGCAGTGGTGAGAGATCAGGGGGTACGTCGTAAATTAATGAAAATAAGTAGGTTGAGAAACGAGCTTAACAAAAACGTTATGTTATATTATATTGATGAAGATGGGTGTGATATTTTTATTATCGGTGTTAGCATGAAATGAAAACTAAAATAATGTTGACCAAACTCCGTTTCTGATAACGTCTCGAAATGAGTCGCACGATTACGCTGCGCCGCGTACGTTAGGGTTGCTACTTTAACCCGCACAGTATAGTGATTATTCGTGTTTTTAAGTTTTTTAGAAATTATATGCATTATTTGGAATTATAACCCATTATAAATATTGTACAGCTCGTAAAATTACGCACTCGTACACGTGCATATTATGTGTACCTATTTTTCATAAATATTTTTTTATACTACAATAATTTAGTCTACATGGCTATTATTGCTATATTTAACACAATATCTATGTTAAACTTATGATAATTAAGTCAAAATATTATTTAATTTAGTATCTATTATAATATATGTACATAATGGATATTAATAATTAGGTAACCCTACAATATGTGATTTTTTTTCAGTCTACAGTAGATACTATTAATAATTACTACCTATTACTAGGTAATAATATTATAAAGGTATTATAGATACACCGGAATTCAATGTACACGTACTCACGTAGTTGCGTGTGAACAACAACCGTATTTTATCGTTTTATAAATAAAATTAATGAAATATTTCTTAGTTATCTTAAACACAAGCAGTTTAAAAGCACTTATATCAATTCGATTTTATTTATTTTTGTATACAATAGACCTACATTAATAATCATAAATCGTAGGGAAATCCCCATTACGATGTCAAATTTCTACACACAGAGCCTTAAGTCATTGATAAGTCATTCAAGAACAAGGCGTTTTTAGTCCAGAAAATGTCTGCATAAGGTTCTTTCTTGCATACAACGTTGAATCTATTTCTTACATTGAAAATACGTGGTTAACATATTTTGGCCCGAAATGGAGTTAAGAACCGTTTTTGTATAAACCAAATCATTTATTAGATCATAATATGTACTATTTTCCCGTTAGACAAAATGTATAGTTTATATAAGAATAAAATGCAAAGGCTGCGCAGGAAGTGTTGAGTGTTGATGGTCGGTTAGGGTTCCCCGAAAATTCCGAATCGAAAAACTTGCATCTGAAACCATAAATAATATAATGCAAACGTAACAAGGTAACCCTTAAAATCACCTGTCGAAAATATTTTTTACTTACCTTATTTTAGTAGTTTTTTAAATCAATTTATTTCTTATTTGATATACTATGGGTTTGAGCCAGATGGATTAACAAATAGTCGCTTCGATTATATGCCTTCAAACAAACCGAACATTTGTGGTTGGGTTTTACTCCGCATTCCTCCCTTAAATGTCTTAACAAATTGCGTTTATACTTGTAACTCCGTCCGCATCCTTTCGAGCACTCGAACGCCGAAAATTTAAATTCATCGCCTAAAATATAGACATATATATAGATTATTAATAAACTCAAAGAAAATTAGTCTTAAATAATCTGTATAAACTAAAATTTTAGAAAAAGTACATTGATCACGAATAAGATAATATTATACAGAAAAGTTGCAAAATATAAGATATTTTTTTTTTTATATTAATTTTTAAATTAGTTACAAAACATAATTCTTAAATATAAATAATATTAACATAGTTAATTTAAAAATACAAAAAAAACTCATCTCTATACATTTGTCTCGATGCAGGATTATATATTTATTTGTACATTATAATGTGCATAACTATACTAATTGTTAAATATAATTCAAACAATTCAATTAAATATAAATAAAAAACAAAAAAATATAGGTAATTAGGTACCTACTAATAAGTAGTTAACTTAATCTGTTTAAAGCCATATAGTATAAACAGTTTAAGATTGGTATATCTATAAAAAAATAATAATAATAATAATAACAAAATGTATACAATTTGATTTTAGAACTTGTAATCGAACAAGAGTCTCTTGAATATGACTGTGTCGTACTTAATTAATGCACTGGAGCTATGAATTTAAAGCAGTAAAAAACATAAAAAAACAGCATATAAAATTCCACTGAAATTCATTTCAGTCCCTAAAAATTCAATGCATTTTTATTGTTAATAGATAACAAAAAATTGATGTTTCAAACTTAGTAGTACCTATAGTAGATTTATTCGTTTGAAACTTTTTTTTTTTTTGACGAGTAGGTAGTCAAATATTTTATAATCAAGAATTTGTATAATGAATTATGTAAAAGGTCTTTCTAAAATACATTAGAGAAAAAAAAAACTAATTACCACAAAAATTGAATTGTGTGCAATTTAGTAGATAATAATATGAAGGTATGCTCATTTAATCAGGGCACTGTACATCACAGTCACTGGGCATGATTTCGATAGGACACGGCCAATTTATTTCAGTAACATTGTGCTGCAGAGCCATATGTCTTTTGAGTACGTCTTTTCTCCTGTAATAGGTGTAACATATAGTACAGCAGAATTGGTTTTGTTGGCCACATTCATATAACAAGTGCCTTTTCAAGTGCTGACCTCTTTTATAACTTCGTCCACACGATTTCGGGCAACTAAATCTACTGATTTCCTCAGCAGCGTCGCCATCATGATGTCCAGCAGCTGAAACACATTTATTAAATAGGATTTCAATTTACACTTGGGTGATGATAGTATATCGAATAATATTGTATTACAAAACGAACATTTTAGATTTTTGATTTTGCTTTAATATTGTTTAAGCGAAAACTAGCAGTTACAGTTCATTACTACTTATACTAATATATAGGTAATGTATTATACTTCAATCGATTGAAGTACCTACAGTATATTTTGAATAATATAATTTATTATTCATTCTTAAGTTTTTAATTTATATTGATCATGCTTGTATATATTTTTCATATAAAATATTTTTAACATATTAATAGTGGTCTTAATGGTTTCAATTGGAAGCTCATGAGGTTTACAAATAATTTTATAAAATACATATTGTACGTATTGTTCCGTCTTCCCCTGACGGTAGGTTATGAAGATTGGATAGGATTTAATACAAGAAATAATACACGTAAATGTAATTGTACCAGGTGATCCATTTAAGTAGGTACACTTATTATCTTGGAAAGTATTAATTTTTTCCGGAATTTATTTTCTAGAATATTTAAGAAACAAGCAGCTCTACAATTGTATATTTATGTTATTTTTTGATACCCTTACTTTTTGGGGTAAAATCATCACGTACTTTTGATTTCTGAATAGCAACCTATATTGAAAATTCCATAAATAAATGGAGTATTGGTTTTACCCCCAAAAATAAGGGTCACAATAAATAACGTACATATAAAATTGTAGGGCTGCTTGTTTCTTAAATGTTTTAGAAAACAAATTCCAAAAAAAAAATGTATACTTTCCGAGATAATGAGATCCACTTCAATAGATCATCCGGTATAATGAAATGTTTTATTGAAAAAAAGTAAGTACATGGTTTATGGTCTGAGTGCTCTACGAGCTGGTAGTATGAGTGTGTAATGTGATATTGTAGTTACCTATGAGGTTACCAACCTTATCATTATCAACGACTTATCAATACAACACATCTCTCTCCTTAAGATTATCTTTCCTTAAGACTATACATTCTAAAATTTACAATCAACAGTATTATTTTAAAAAAGTTGAATATTAAAAAAAAAAACAAAAAAGTATATACATATTAACAAATCTTAATCATAAATTTAACATATAACTTAATTCAGTACAATTTAGAAAACTTATATAGTTATATTTATACATGATTAATAATTTAATTTTTTTTCTCAGTTATTTTTTTAATAGGAAATGAGTTCCTTCTATAAACTACTTTGTTTATTTCAACTAAATATAATCTTGGTGCTTTCAACTTTTTAACTATCACACCTTTAATTCATACTGACTTTTTAATATCTTTAACTAGAACCTGTTCATTTACCTTAAACTCACTTCTTTTTGCAGATTTATCAAAATTTACTTTTTTTCTCTTTTCCTTCTTTTTAGCATTCACTACTCTCAGTTTTAATGTAACTTGCTTAACTGGTAGTTTTGTGTTTAACACTCTAGACATCAATAATAGCACTGGGGAATATTAACAAGCTGATACTGGTGTGTTCCTATAATTCAGAAGAAGTTGTAAATCTTTTTTTCTCCATGGTACATTTTTTAATGATTTTTTAACAATTCATACATATTTCTCTGCCAACCCATTACTGCGGGGATAATGTGGACTAGATGTTATTATTTTTAATTTATACTCAATACTTAACTGTTTGAAGTTATAACTATCAAATGGCATATTGTCGGCTTTTAGTTCTAACAAGATACCAAATCTTGTAAAAATATTCTTGCAACATTTTATGAGTGTAGCCACTCTATTTAGGCCTTTAATCAGAATTATTTCCGACCATTTGAAAAAATATTCAACTATGACAAAATATTTTTTTCCTGCCCATTCTTTTATATTTGCTCCTAGCTTAAAAAATGGTATTGTAGGTATTTTATATTGAATGAGTTTTATGAACACCTAACACTTAGGTGTGTTTCATGTAGTAATTCTAACATCTCTTTCCTTCATATTTTATCTTATTATAGTGAATTAACTCTGCATTTTTTTCTGATTTACTAACACTTTTAGGTCATCCATTTGTATAATAATCAGGTACCTTTTTTAACGTTTCATATATATTTTGCTTAAACCCTTCAAATAATCTTTCACCATATTATCTTTTTTATAGTTTTGACTTAACAGATTAGAAATATACATGAACTTTCCAAATAAGTACACTAGGCCAAATTTATATAAAATTAATTTCAACTTTAATCTATTATTAAAATCTTTTGATTCTATTATTTTGTATTTTATTTAAAAATTTTTTAATTATACTCACCAATGGTTGATGATCAGTATATATTATTACATTATTGTTCCCATAATATATGTAATTATGGAGTTTTTAACAAGAAAAAGTTACTACTAAGAGTTCTTTATCTGTGCATAACCTATTTCAGTATCTGTTAAGGATCTTAATAGAAAACATACTGGTTTTTTGATTTTTGTTTCAACATCCAATTGCATCCTGTGATGTGTCACACCGTATTTCTACTTTTATATTGGGATCAAAATTAACCAATGTTGAAGTGTTACACATTACATGTTTCACTTCTTCTAATACTGCTGAATGATTTATTCCAATCCCAAATATATTTTTTTTAAGCAATAATCTTAGATAAGAAATTATCCTATTATTAAGAATTTTATCCTTATTAAATTTATTTTTTTTTTTCTTGCTACCTGAAGTACAGACTATGAACATAATGCTCACTCAATTATAATCAATTAAATAGGTAGGTATAGAGATCTAATTATATTTTATACAGATTTTTGGGGTAATAAATAAAACACTCCAATGTCAATAATAGTACCTACCTATATAATATAATAAGTAATAGTTGTTTATTATTAGTAGAGGTCATATTATATTTATTGTGTATTATATTAGTCGTCATTAAATCTAAAACAAATATTGTGAATACAATTTGAGTCTTATAGGTACAAGTATAGGTAGGTATAAGTAAGTATAATTACATATTATTATTTTTTTAGAGTAAAAAAAAATCATAACATTTTCATTGATAGGTAAGTAATATACAAATTTAACATATTAGTAATAACATGTTTAACTTATACGAAAATAAAACAAAAAAACATAAAGGAACTTATACTTAATTTATAGAGACTATTCATAGCTAGGAACTTACTATATTATATGTCAACCTGGAGAAGTAAATTATAATGAGATACATAATTACAAACTAAAAAAAAAATACGAAAACAAAACATTTTTTAACATAACATAATGCGAACTATAAGTGGATATTTTAATCTGTTAATATATTGTGGACTAATATCATGTGAGCTCTAAGTGACGATACGGGTGTACAAGATTTCCAACAAATTCTACATATGCGTAACTTCCAATACTGCTTTGGGCATCCGAAATCGTTATGAGAGAGTAAATGATGTCGATAATTGTAACTGCGGCCGCATTTGCAAGGGCACAGAAAAACTGCATTTGCGGACGAGTGTATCAACATTTTAGCTAAGTATTCTGTAATAAATATATTAACTAATTAATTAAGTAAATTATTGAGATAGAATAAATATAATACATCGTATATTAATGTTTAGTCTTACAAATCAATATTATCGATATTAATATAATGTACGGATAATTTAATAATTAGTGTAACGATGAGATTACTCAAATAATTGTTAACCGTTCACAAAAACAAACATTTACACATAACATAACATAGATTAAGTCTGGTTAGGTTAACTTTACAAACAGAAATTACGAAAATACACCCAATAACGTCATCATAATCGGCGTCTGAAAGAATGAAAAAAAAAAATTGTCAATAATGAATTACCTAGTAAACATATGAGAAATACAAATATTCAATTTTGTCACACTGAAAGAAATCCATGAGTAAAAACGAAAAAAAATATAGGTAGTTTTAATACTATCTTTGTCACTCCTGAGCCGACAAAGATATTGTTATAACTACATAGGAAACATCGTAAAAAATAACAATCTAAGAAAATAACCTAATTAAATAGGTACATTTGTAAACACAATATTTTGAATTTATTTAAGCCATAGGTATCATTATTATAATTTAAAAAATCGAACACTTCAGAATATTTGTTTGTGTTATTTTTATAAAAAAAACCCGTGCCGCTTAATCTTAAAAATTATCACAATAAATAGCAAAAAATAAACCATAAACAATTACGATGGATTTTGATTGAAGAAAATTGAAATTTCGTACTGAGGAGATCAATAGCTGTCGGTCGCCGAATTGCGGTTGCGATGATTGTCGGTTCGTGGACAGCCGTTGCTTGGCTCCATGGTCACAAGCTTGATAACATTTCTATTTTAACATACCAAAATAATACAAGCATTTTCGTTAAGTAAATCGGTCCCAAATTTGTAAATTATTTTTGATGTATTCAAATATATTTACTATGTACCCAAGTTTAAACAAGTATTTTTTATACCTAACATTATATTATAATAATATTTGTACGCATTTGTGTAACAAAAATATATAAGTATAACATTAGAAAATATATTTTTCGAAAAATACATCAACAACCACAATAAACATATTAAAGATGTACACTATCATAACAATTATAACGAACGTAAAAATACTCGTACAACAGTATTAAATGTTAAAATATTTAAAAATACAACAATAATAATCATAACAAATGCATTATAGATTGCAACGTTAACTAATATCTAATAAATAATTTGAACTAAGTTAAATTTGCACAACCTATCGTCGTGCTATAATATTACGAGTATAATGCCCGTCTTCGGTGAAACCGAATCACATTTTTTTGACGCGGAGTTCACCGCTATTAAACATCGTAATTTGTCGGAGTCGTTGGTCCAATTCTTTCATTCGAAATTCGTACATTAATCTCCTCGTTAAATTCGATTTATCGGGATTCGAATTTCTACCGTAGTTGCTCATCGGTAAGTTAATATTCGATAAAATTTGACCATTTTCTGAAAATGTACACACTATGATTCGTATAGATATTAAGTAGGTAAGTAGACGGAATAATAACATCAACAATAATAGTATTTCCGTAATTCTGTCGAAATAAGCTCGTTAAAAATATTAACGTACAATTTACAATGTTTAATAAAGTAACTATATGGACTATAATACATCATAGGTAATATTTTAACAATAAATAAAAAACAGAACAGTTAATTTTTCTATTTCTATATTCAAACAGACATACTACATAGGTACATTAAACGCTTTATAATATTATCATAATATAATGTTTATTATACAGTTCAGACTAAATATTTTTTTCTACAATGAAAATATTGACTTTGTTTATGTAGATATTAATGATATGTTCGTTGAATAATTTATTATACCTAGGTATAGTTTTGGTTTTTCCTGTGGCGAGTCACACGTATTACCTATAAAATATAAACAAACAGTTACTCTAAAATCGATACAAACATAGGTGTAAGTATATAGGTATTTTGTATTGATAATGTGTTATACTATGTAGATAGACATAATAATGATATCAGTATTCAGTATATTTAATACGTTTTTGAATTACCTAAACAGGATGATAAACATAAAGTAAGATATTCATTATTCAAAAGGTATTAACTTTTTCCAAAATTTGCTTTATAAGAAATCTATGAAACAATCAGCTTTAAAATTTTACATTTTTGCTAATTTTTGTTACCCTTATTATTGGATGATAAAATCATTACTCCTATTACTCATAGCGATCTATTTTAAAAATTCAAGAAATAGATAAAATATTAATTTAAATACATTTTGATGTTGATTTTTTAAATTTTTGTCAACCCATTGAAGAGATATTCCACTTTTAAGTTTAACGTTTTGTTAGTAGGAGGAGAGTAGTGAAGTACTATTAAAACGCCGCGTGCCTCACCGCCACACAAATCATTGTTCACTACTCTACTCCTATCAAAAAATTATTCAAACTTATTAAATAATTTGTATAGGAATATTAAATTATATATTGGAAAATTCCGCAGAGGATCTAACAAAAGTGTTTGATGATGGACACTTGAGAATAACTTCGAATGAATGACGAGAATAACGAGCTCATCAACTGCGTTTCAGTAACCAAGATTTAACTACTCCATTATTTTATTCCCGAGAATAGTGACATGTCAAATAGAACTCACTAAAGGGTAACCAATCCAAGGAATAAAAATGGGTAGATAATTTACTATAATTACTTCATTAAATAAAATTAAGTCAAGTACAAATAGCTTGGGAAATAAAAGATTTTGCATTAGAATAATAGGTACAATACTATTAACTAAGCATTACATTATATTTATAAATCAGCATTGCTTTTATGATATTATATTTGATAAATTAACGATTTTTGTTGTCTATATATAAGAGCCAGACACAATATTTTTACTTTTTGATTATTTAGTACCTAGGTAGGTAATAAAACTGGACGTATAATCCAAACACAAAGTAAATACTTACCTATTACGTGTTAACATATGAAATATCTGAAAAAAAAGAAACTCATCAATACCAAGTTGACCAATTTACCAATGACATATTTTTGAACTGTTTGTAAAACATTGATAACTATCTAATTTGGAGAGTTTTCATAATAAATGCAATTGCACATATTACATAAAAATAAATAAATAATACTAATTTGATGGGTAATAATGGTGTAGGGTTTGTTATACCAACTTAAAAACTATATATTATATTCTATTAGATTTTAGCAAAATATTTATTATACAACATCAGATTAGGCTATAAAAAATAAAAACAATTAAATTTCAATTAGGTATTAATAATCATATATAACTTTAGACCTTAAAGAATATATAGATAATAACAAAGAATTAGTTTTTCAACATGACTGTGATATATATACCTACATAAACTATTTATTATAAAGGTACAATAAATTACACAAATTAAATAATTTAAAGAGATATATAATATGTATAGATAGATATTTTATTTATAACTGCATGCAATATACATTATAATATAATAAACATTTACTAACGTTTACTTTTCAAACAATTCGACAAAACACATGCTCATCGCGTCTAAAATGTTTTTGTGTACAGCAATTTGATGTTTGTTGAGGTTGACTTTTTGGGCAAAAGTTCTCGGACAGTATTCGCATTTAAATTGCGGCGGTACACCGCACTCGTACTTTAGGTGCCTACGCAACGTTCCGCGGTGGTTATACGATCGGCCACAATCGTTTGGGCACGGCAGTTTTAAAGAATTGGACTTCTGGAAAAAACCTATTCGAACAAAATAAAAAACAAAACAAATCGATTTTCCATATTAGTGATCAAAATAAATTTAGACAATTTAGTGTTGACTGACGCGGGTTATGATAGTGTATAGGTATAGATACAATATTATAAAATATATTATTAGATACATCGTGTTAGTTTGCAGACCACAAGAAGAACGTTTCCAGGCTTGTTAGATTGGTTTGAACCGATTAGGCGACACGACGATGGTGACACTGCGTTAATAAATAATACATTTATAAGCTAATATAGGACGTATGTATATTATAATTGTTTATATTCATATAGATAATATGAGATTTTACCTTTAATCAAGATTACAAAATATATCGAATTTACTTCACACATTAGTCAAAATATATAATACGATAACACATAGTAATTTTTTATAAAATATGAAATAGATATTTTACATTTATGTATGAACAGTATAATATATCAAATTTCACCTGCTTAGAGTAAATCAAACAAATAATACAATTTATATGGTTTATATAGGTACTTTGTGGCGTAACCAAGATTCATTTCCGGGGTTGATGGGTTATGAATTTCAAAAATATTTCTGGACAGGTTTTTGGGATAATAAATTACTAAATACATGACGTGCACGAAGTATACATATTTAAAATTATATAAAAATGTCTGTAACTGAATTAAAAACTATGCAACTATACCTACGTAATAGGTAGGTACATAGAATTTGAAAATAAAATTTCAAATTTCGGATGAGGATTATAACCTACAACCCCTCCCTAGTTGCGCCACTGTAGATATTTACATTAATTTCAATATTTTACATATACTTTTGAATATAAGAATTAAGTAGAAAATCATTACATCTAGTAGTTATGGCAAGGCAAAAATTACTAAAAACGTGTGCAGACTTTATTTGTAAACAAATTATGTTCTGTTACCGTGTAGGTAGTTATACAATTTTTTTTTTCAAAATCGTCAAGTCTTCAAAAAATAATCTAAAACATAACATATTTTTTTATATTATTTAATTTTATCGTGCATCTTCTATTTATATAACATAATATTATCGTTTTAGCTTATTGTTAAAATTTTGTATTATAATATAAATATACCTGGGTATAGTTTTAATCAGTGGCGGATATCAGGTGGAAGGAGCAATTGATGAATCGCTTCCCCCAGTGCTATTACCAGGATTTTTTAAAGATGAGTGTCACATGTCTATATTAAAAAACATGGTTTTTAACACATTTATATTACTTAAACACGGATGTTCAGACACTCAAAATATCCCCTGGTTGCGTCACTGGCCTTCCCACTTGGGTTTTCGTTACTATTATTTATTATTACGTACGACTCAATAGGTACCTAAGAAATAATTGTATCCCACTACCCTACAGAATTTAGATATATCCGCCACTAGTTCCAATACACAGCATAGTACTACAAATGACATATACTACATTATAAATGTTATAATAAGAGTTTGTATTAATATTATGCCGATTACTAATAATATGTATATATATATATATAGATATATATATATAGAATCGTTTGTTATAAATAGTTTTTCACTTACTTTTGAAATTAAAAACAAAAAAAATGTAAATATTTAATGTAGGTATTCGGTATTGATGTTATTTTCTAATGCAATGCCTAGACATGTGAGATAATAAATGGTCGTTTCGTTTAAACGCCTTTGAACAAATTCTACATATGTGTTGGGGTTCGACACCGCATTCCTTTCTTATATGTCTACTTAAATCGTATTTATACTTATAACTTCGTCCGCATCCATTCCAACATAGCCATCTCAGACGAGGATCATTTATATCACCTAAGTATATAATATGAAAATATATAGTTAATACATAATAGTACATTATGCAAAATATCTTAAAGAATCTATAATAATAAGCCAACAGCAAATAACAAATTTTTCAATGTACTATTCACGAAAACGACACTGATGGAAACAGTGGTGTTTTTTTTGTTTTATTGAATACAATAAATATAAATACTTAGGTACAATAAATTATCACTTAAAACGACGCATTTTCTTAGATGCAAAATATAATAGTGTAATAATAATAATAATAATGTAACATTTTAGCATTGATTGTAAATACTAGTGTTGATAATCAATGATTATAGTAACATTAATGTAATCCATTACTAATACTATTTTATTATTCATTAATAAAAAAAATAAAATCAGGAAAAACAAAGATTACATTTCTAAGTCGTCCTAACTATCAAAATATAGGTAAATATAATTAATTATTCAACGTTTTTCATAATTTAACTTCAGTTTTTTCCAAAAAAGAATATTGAAATGCACAAATAACTGTTTATTTAAATACAAAAGAAAAATTATTATTATTACCTATTATACTAAACTGTGTAGTATGTAGTATAGATTGTCTATTGTCCACGAATAAAAAAAAATATATAATTTTTAAAATGTTTAAACCATGTCTAATACAATACCATCAAAAATGAAAAATCGAAAAAATTACAAGTATTTAAAATAATCATATTATGAATAGTAAAAGAATATTTTTATTGATTTTGATGATGAAAATTTAAATTAAAATAATCTTATTTAATAGATTTTATTTTTTTATAAAAAAATAAGATACTTATAAATTAAAAAAAAAAATAATAATAATTTTTTCATATGAAAACATTTTAAAAAAAAGGCATTTAACATTCGTTTAAAACTATTAATCGTATAAACTAATTGAATTTACGATTTTTTGCAAAAATTAAGATTAAAAATTAAAAAACAAACGGATATACTTCATACGATGAGTGGGCCACAGTTGTTAGGTAAACAATCGGGAAGGTAAGATTTAGAAAGAAGTTGTATATATATCTTTACGCAACGATTATTTATTGCTAGCAAAACACAATTCTAAACGGAGTTCGGTTATACATGTTTTGAACGGCCGTAATATTTACGATTTGAAAATAATATATTTCGTAAATTTTCCCATTTTTCCTACGTTTTTCCCCATTTATTATGAAAACTCCTCAGAAAATTAAAAAATTATCTTATTAAAGTACCACTTCGGTTTCTCTTTTCAGAAAACGTGTTACACTTTAAAATCGGAGCAAAATTTCTGGTAGAAAAGTTGTTCATAAAAAAAAAGTAACCATTATTGTAAAACCAATATATTCCTCCCTCCGGTCAGAATCTCAAAATGTAACAGGAGTATATTATACCAACTTGTACTATAAATCTCCCTTACAACAATAGTCTACATATATTGCGATGTATGTATAGATTTTTCTTTGTACTATGTATGAGTAGGTAAACACAATTACCTACATACAATTTATTTTCATTACAAACTTATTGATTTGTGTAATATATTTTATATGTGTTGGTTGTCTATATTTAAGATAGTTTAAAAATTAGCAGGTATCTTTTCACTTAATAAATTAAACTTTTCAAAAATTCACTAAATTAAAACAGGTTAGTAAATAAATGGGTACCTATACTATAGGTGGGTATGTGTTATAGCTAATAAGAATGCATAGTTGTAAAAGATAGATAGATACTCAAAGGCGAAGTCGAAACCAAATTCAGGTCGGGATATTCAAATGTATCATTCATACCTACCAAACAAAATTGCTCCCGCGTTTTAATTTGAATCAGTGACAAACGCTAGGATTTTGAATTGAGGGGAAATAAATACGGTTTTACTTGAAACATGAACAAAAATAAGAGGGGGTGGGGGAATTTCAACCCCGAAAAAAATTTAGAAAAGTGATTTCATCAATATACATTTAATTTGATAATTTAATTGAAAATGTATACAAAAAAAATTTAATAAGTATTGTCGAACCGAAATGAGAATATATTATATGTGTCTTTGCATAACTTTTTACTAAATTGTTAAATAATATAAGAAATTAAAATATTATATATAAATATCAGGTCACTGAGTCATAATTCGATCCAGGTTATCTAAAAAATCCCCATGTATAAACTGGCCACTCCGTCCCTGTAGGTACTAACTAAACGAAACATATTAATATTGTTATATCTTTAATCACATATATAGGAAAAAACCATATATATATATATATATATATTCAGAAAATGATACACAGGATATTAACATTCGGGAATGTTATTTGCATGATTCGATAAAAATCAATGCTTCCCAACATAATATGAGACTACAACTTGACTGCCAACCATGGATTAGGATAGATATACTTATGTATAAAATATATCTTAAGTCATTAATGGTGCGAACTCATGTCAGATTTTTAATCGAATATAAACCCTTAAGTTATTCTGTTGTTTCTGTGAATTATTTTTCAGTTTTCTATGTGTCCCCATGTATAAAACAAGAACATACTGGATTAATTATATCGGTATACAGTTATTAAAGTAGGAAATACTTCGAAAGAGAATTAAAACAAAAAAATTAAGTGACGTTTCCAAGAAATGCACCACGGAAACGAAACTTTCAAAATGTTTTCTCTCACACACATTCGAAAATACAAATGTTACACCAATATTGTTTAAAAATAAACTGCATCTCCCTCAAATATTATCCTACGCATGTATATTACCGAAATAAAAATAGTAAAACATAATCTGATTTTTTATAATTATATATATATATTCATATTTCGTATGGCGAATTATATATAATTTAATAGGTATTAAAGAATTTATTTTTAATAAAACTAATTCAAGTTTTTAAAATTGCTCAGTGACAATAACTAAAACGTTCATCAGGATTTCGAAGACTAAAAAGGTCTCACAGTTTTACATGAAATAAGAAAGGTGACCATGTTCTTTTTTTTAATCATTATTGGTATAATTATGTTATAGCTGTTATAAGTAAACTATATCTGAGATGAAAAAACACAGCAATGTATTCCATTGGGTTATCCCTGTGCTAATATCTCTCTTAATATTAAATTTTTATTTTAATTAGATTTTGTGTCAGGGGGCCTATATATAGAGAAAATTTAAATGTGTATTAATGAATTATTGAAAGGTTTGAGGCACAGTAACAACAAAATAAGTAGGTACCCTATGGCCTGTATACATTTGCAACTAATTATTTTTACACAAACCAGTGATAATAATAATAATAACAATAATATTAATAATAATAATAACAACAATAATAATAGGTAATTGAAATATACATACTCAGAAAATGTTCTAACATTGTTTAATAATAGTAAAATATTTTTATTAATTATTATTAAGGGGTCTTGGCACTAACATTTGTTTTTTCTGTCTGTTTAGTCTTTAATCCAATTGTGTTGCTATATTATGCGAAAGACATACAAAAAAAAAAAAAACAAATGTTAGTAATGAGATGCCTTCAGATGATGTCAGCATAGAAGTTTTTGAACGTAATCCTTAAATATTGTAAGGAATGTCATCATATCCTCTTAATTGCCTTTAAACAATCTCTGGTGAATCACTACCATATGCGACTTTAAGTGGTGAAAATGTTTGAACATTTTAAAGCAAACGTCACAACGATACTGAGGAGGAATACCACATTCTTTTCTTACATGACGTATCAAGTCACCTTTGTTTTTATAGCTTCTACCACAATTGTTCATACAGGGCCATCTGCCTTGGAAATCTGTGAATAAAGGCAATTCTGTTTAGTCATAATAATGATATTTTGGATAAAATTAAAAGCAAAAATTAGCATTTATATATGTAACTATATTAAAAAAAAAAAAAACCATGAAAAACTTAGTACATGGGTACTTTAGTTTTTAATAATAATAATACAACAGTTTTAATATATTATGTTAGTTTCCAGTTCAAACAAAACATAGAGTAAATAATAATAACATCGAAACATATTCAATTGTATTGTTTTAAAGTTAGTGAATATTAGATATAGGTATGAATATAATAGGACTTATTAAGAAACATTATTCCCAATAACATTTAAAAATACTTACTAAATCACATTATTATTCAAATGGATAAGTATTTAAGAACTAAGTACAATCTATTTATCTTTTTTATATATTATCAACAAGAAGATTTTTATAGATTTATTTTTACAATAAGGTTTTATATTAATTAAGTGGTACCCTACAAAAATATGTTAAACTTAAGTGCTTTAGTAATACAGTAACATAAAGTAGCTTTCTTTTAGTTACGTTAATGTTAATATATTTAATTTTTAATTTTATGATCATTATAAATTAACATTGGGTAAACGTACCTATACCAGGTACTTATAATATTAATATGTTTATAAGTAAGACATTGTAATTTTTGTCATGTTAAAATGTATTTAAAATTGAATATCCATATAAAACCATTCACCCAGTTTTTGTAATTACATGTCAGTTAAAAAAAAAAACTATATTTAGTTCTAGACAATATTTTATATTTTTATAATACGGCATTATTTAATGACAAAAGGTACTATGTCGTTTTCAAGAATATTACTTTTACTATTTAACTATAATAATAATTGTTTATAGTACACAAATAATATTCTTGATTTTATAATAAAAATTAATATGCTTTTAATCATAGGCGTGCGCAGACTTCATATTTACAGGTTATATAATTATACAAATAGAATTCCAAATTATTATAATAATAAATAATTGGGCCCTTCATAAAATATATTTAAAACATTGCATTCAGTTTAATTACGATAAATTATATTATAATGTAATGTAGTTTAAACAATATTAAAAACAATTGTAAAAATATTTAAGTTTAAGAATGTATATTGTACAATTATGTACGTTAAACGTTGTAGACTACACAGCGGAATACCCTGCATAATCCGCAGGCACGCCTATGGCTGATGATTAGAAAGAAAAAAATGATTTATTCTACCTCTAATTATCATCATATAATTATCTTAATTAGATGGTGGTTTGTTAAAAGAGCGTATACCACATTAAATACATGTATACTTTATGTACAAGGTTGATTACAAGGAGTAATTTTATTGTTTTCCATGGTAAATACCATTAAAAACTGTTTTGCTGTTCTTTTTATAAAATAGTTTTTTTTTTTTTTACTTCTTGAAAAAAAGTGATAGACCCCTTTTAACAAAATACCAATGTTATGAATGATTCCGAATTGTTTTAAAACTAATTGAACAATTGTATAAAAAGATTTTGCTACCTACAATTTAGTTTTAATAAAATCAATATTTTAACAATTAGAACAACAAATACGTTAAAATAACAAATTAGGAGGTAGATGTATATATTGTATATACAGTTACCTATTATTTAGTAAACTGTTCAATTACTTTATGAATTAATAAAATGTGTTTTTTCAAAGTATCTCTACACCTGAACATCCTATCACAGAATTTACATTTAAAACTAGGAGGAACATTGGTGCACGATAATATATGTCTAGTTAAATGAGCTTTATGCTTAAAAGCTTTTGAGCATCGATGGCATTTGTGTTGAGGAGCAACGCCACATTCCTTTCGCAAATGTCTAATAAGATTGTGTCTTTCTTTGTAACTTCGACCACATGAATTCGGGCATATATACCTTCCACTGAATGGACAAGCTGTAAAAATCAATACAAATAAGTCACAGCAAAAACGTATAAGCAGGTCTGTAAATAAAAGTTACAAGACAATTAAAACTTAAGAGAAATTAAGCAAAAAGCAGCCTGAAATAACATTATTCTATAGTGATATAGTTAATTATATAATAATAATTGTTATTTATACATATACAATATGCCTATAACATTATTATTAATTAAAACGGTTTATGTACGTTTAACTAAATATGATAATTAGGTATCTAATAAATTATAATGAAAATTATGTTCAAAAACGTTGTAAATTATAGGAAGAAAATTCAATTTAAAAAAATGTCTAAAATATAAAACAAGTTAAAATGTGTTGGTGGTGAGCATCTCAAGAGGATTTTTGGTAAGATAGGAGCTTTAGAAGATTCACTTTGAATTAGGTATTGACATTGTATAATGTGTTCATATTTACTGGAAATACTTAATATTTTTTTTGGACACCTTTAGATTTAAATTCTGTTTTCAAATTATGGGTCATGAAATCTACACTTTTAAAATTGTTAATTCTTTTGGTGTGCGAAAGCGCAATGAAAATTACTATGTTTGAATAGCAAATCTTATTTTTGACAATAGATTCGAATAGGTACCTAGTCCAATTTTTTTTAATCAACTTTTATTAATACAGTTTTTAACTCAAAAGTTATCTAAGATACAGTTAGTCTAAAAAGTTGGAAAAGATATAATTATTCAAGAAATTTATAATATGTGTTTTTATATATTTATTATTTTATTATTATCTTTCCAAAAAGTTTTTATCCATTAAACAATAATCAAATATCTTCCCTCTTCAAACCATGTAATTTAAATTTTTTTTAAATTTTGAATAATTATATTTTAAACCAACTTTAGATAGCTGTATACAGCTAAATTTTTAGTTGAAAGAAATTGTATTGATCAATTGCTTGAAAAAATAATCATCTCTATTGTGCATGCAAGTATTAAGAGTTAAAATATTGAAATTAATCATAAGATGTGTATTTCAGAATCCGCTATCATACTCAAAACAATGGAATTCATATCTAAGATTATCAGGCCAAAATATTTTGTGTTACCTGAAAACTCAAATCACTATATGTACATATGTTACGGCTAAATGAAAACTAGATAACATCAAATTTTTGTTCAGAAGTAGAATCGATTGTATTCTGTTATATTTAATATTAAATTGAATTGGCTAATTATCAAACTTAAAAGTAAAAATAAGAAAAGTAAAAAAAAGAACATAGAACAGGTTTTGTAAATACAAACAAAAACTGATGACATAAATATATATTATGTTTATTCTTAAAAATAATATTGATTTTTTTAAATAATTATTTTTTTTATGTATTTGATTTGATTTCTGTATTTTTTTTTTTTAAGAATTAACCTCCAAGACAATTATTTATTTTTTAATTATTACACGATGTTGACTGGTTCTCCATCCGACTCATTCCCCTTAAGGAACTGAAATTATAGGTGTAGGTATCAGCACAGTATCCTATTTTAAATTCCCGTATTTTACAAATTGATCTATAAATAAATTAAAATAATGTAACGATTAGGTAAATATATCTTATTAAATTATCAGTTATCATAATTTCTTGTTATTTTTTTTATCAGGTAATAATTTGTACAATTATAAAAGCTTAGATCATACAATATATATCTAAGCATAAAAGATAACAATTACCTACCTTAATAATTGATATGTTTACTATTTAAATAACACATAAGTTAATAGGTATTTAAGTATAGTAAGTTTAGTAAGTATCAATTTTCTAAGCGAAAATTTGTATGTTACTCATAATTATAATCACAAAGTACATAGTTTCGCAATATGGATATAAAAATCTATCTGAATGATACAATAAGTTCCAAAGAAAGTGTACTAGTTTTGCAGTTCCATTTCATGAAATTATTCAATATACCTATAACTATTATTAAAACATATTTTCAATAAATTGTTTAATAGGTATAATACCTATATACAGCATATAGTATTTTCTTTTTTTAGATATTAATGGTCGATAGAGAAAAAAAATGATTAAAGTTTCATCAAATAAAAATAAAACAAACTATTTTATTAGATAAATTAAATTGCCAATTAACTAAAAGCCATACAATCTTATGATTATTTTACTATAAAATATAAAACAAATTTAAATATTTATTTTATGAATATTTTTTTTTTTTATATATTCTTAACTATATTATAATTATTAGTACTATTAAGCCCGCCCATAACACTGTAATGGCAGGAAAAGACCTGCTCAGCACAAAAAGTATATTATCATTAGTGATAGATGATACAGTGCAATGTTAATATTAATATTAATAAGTAAATTTCTATACTGCTAAAAGAATAATATTATTATTATTATTATTATTATTATTATTATTATTATTGTTACTATAATTTATATTGTTATTATTATTATTAATATTATAATTATATTTTATGAACTATAACAAAATGTTTTTTTAGCGATTCTTTGCGTTTGAATGCCTTTGAACATATCACACAAACATACTGAGGTTCAACACCGCATTCTTGCTGTAAATGACGCTGTAGATGTCCTTTATTCTTGTAATGACGACCACAATTATTTGGACATTCCCATCTTATTCCTACGAAAAAAACCATAAAATAAAAAAGATATAGTAACTATAAAATAAAAAAATTAAAGATAACTGCTATTAATGTGAAGCGATTGGCAAATCAGTTAACTGCAAGTGTGTTATATACCATCCATAAAAGGAAAATATTTAATAACAGAAATAGTTAAATAAAACATTTCAATAGGTACCTACATATAAATAATTCAAATCAAACATTTTAGTAGGAAATCACACTACTACACTAATGTATGGCAACTGGACTTTTTAGAGTTTTATGTTGTAAATAAGTAGAATTATTGTGGATGAAGTTTTTAGGCAACCAGATAATGCAATAGGTGAATAAAAAGGTTAAATTAAATTATTAAACTTCTAGAATTATTCCTATATTAATAAAATGTACATTTAGTGAAATAATAATACTCTATAATGTAATTTGTAAGTTTGTAAGTTTTCAAATGTAAATAATGTAATATATATAAAATAGTTATAGTGTCACCAGACAATTATTTCAAAAATAAATAAGAGTTAATTTTAATATATCAAATACTAAAATAGGTAACATACTATTTATCAAATAATTTGAACATCTGATAGATAATAAAACAAGTATTTTATGTTTAAGAAAATAAGTAGTTGAACTATTATTATATATAAATATAGCTATACTAAATTTAATACAAAAAAAAAACTTCATTATAAGCTAATTTAAAATTTAAACAAACAATTATTATTATTCCGCCACAGAAAACGGAATTTNCATCAATCTATGAACTACAAAACAGTGCGATTTGAGAGAATCTTTGCGTTTAAACGCCTTTGAACATATTACACACAAATACTGAGGCTCAACTCCACACTCTTTTTTTAAATGACGCTGTAGGTGTCCTTTATTCTTGTAATGGCGACCACAACTATTTGGACATTCCCATCTTAATCCTACGGATAAGTCATAAAATAAAAATTATATACTCATAATACAAATTTAAAATAAAATTAATCAGTGGGTTGATATCGTGGATTTTGATTGGATTTGATTGTTTAACTATGTTATACTATATATAACACTTATACAATACAATCAATAACCATAAACAATTCAAATTAAATAATATAGTAGATTAATTAACATTTAATATGTTAAATATAGACATATATAGTTAATGTGAATAATACATTTGGATAGGTGATATTAAAATAAAAGAAATTCAACTTTATTAAAGTATATTAAACTTTTCTATTGCCCACGATTTATGTCAATAAATAAATTATTATTATGATTATGATTATAAATTACAAAAGCCAAAAAACGTCATACCATGGATAGGCCGCTGTTGTAGGTGAAAAGTTGGGAAAATATAAGAAATAAAAAAATCTAGTTTTTATGTAGAAAGTAATAATAAATCATCATAATAAAAAAAAAAGAAACGATATAAAGTTCGGTAAACTTGTAAGGTTCAATCTATTACACATGTTTTTAATTAATTCTCAAAATAACTAAAAAACATTTTGATAAGTCGTTGTTTGTAGTCACTTTATTTTGTTTTTAGAAATATTATTATGGGAGAACTTTGTGAGAGGTCATAGAAAGAGAATAGGATATGGTAGAAGAAAATCTCATGGAAGTAGGAGTTTGTAGAGAAATATGGGACGTTAGTTCAGGACAAAGTCAAACAGAAAGAGAAGAGATATTGTTGTAAATCTAGATAAAATATCTATAATAATAAAATGCCAATATTTGAACTAAGAACCACTGGGTGGAAAATTCGTATTTTTTTAAACATTTAAGATATAGTAGGAGAACATCGGAATTTTTTTACAAAAAAAAAAAAATGTATTTTCCGAGAAAAAAATACAAGAAACAAAACATATTATATATTTTAATTTTTGAATTATAAGTTAACAAGTTGTCTATGAACGAAAACTACATGTTCTTTGAGCGCTTCTTTGCGCTTAAACGCCTTTTTACATATTGCACACAAATATTGAGGTTTGACTCCGCATTCCGTTTTTAAATGCCGCTTCAAATGATATTTATGCTTGTAATGGCGACCACAATAGTTATTTGGACATTTCCATCTTAATCCTACAGACAAATTATAAAAAAAAATTATAGAGCAAACATAAAAAAAACCAAGTAGGTATTATAGGACATGATTGGCGAATTTGTTTATTGATCAAGAATACTATATCAAAATATTTAAAATGAAATATTTAATAACAATAATTTGACACAGAATTATGTATAACATAATATCTACATCAACAAATATTAACAAACACCACGTTTTTAAAAATTAATATTCAATATTTTAATAATAGTTATTGCAAATTATGAAAAAAAAAAAAAACACAAGAAATAAAGTTTAAATTATTTTATTTTCAAATCCCATGTATAGAGAAATTTTCTATTAACCAAGATGATAACATAAAATGATCTTTGAGAGTGTTATTGCGTTTAAATGCCTTTGAACATGTATCACACAAATACTTACCGTCGACTCAACACTATTTTTGTAAACGACGCTGTAGATTGAATTTATGTTTATAATGATGTCCACAATTATTTGGACATATCCATATTAATACTACGGATAAACCATAAAATAAAAATTGTTTGGCCATTATACAAGTCAAAGAAATAGTAGGTTATAATTTCAAGCGAACTGTTTAGCTGTTATTGGGTAATATTACAAATTTAAAAGTAAAAGATTTATTAACAATAATTTAACATAATATTATGTACATTATGTAAATTATGATATTATGCTCAGTGGCGGATTTACAGGGGGGGGGGATTTCAAACAAAATTTAAAAGTATTTGTCATTTTAAATAACAAAATAATACTTTATAATATAGGTACAAATTATTTTTCAGGACTCCTCTCTCCCAGACAAAATGTTAAAAATCTACCACTAAGGACTTTTAAATAAATATAAACAATTAAAATTAAACATATTAAGAGGGAATCATATTTATATAATATCTAGCATTTAGAGCACCAAGTTCTGTTCTCAATGTTATCCAATTTAATAAAGATACCTACCTATCTATCTTGCTTAAAAACAATAAAAACAATGACCTTTTGAGACATAATAAAATAGGTACAAGTACAATACACATTGGTTCACAACCCGGACGTCAGTTATTTAACAAGTACGAAGGTAAATGTTTGGAATAACAAAACGTTAAATTAATAACATTTATCCTAAAAATACTAAATTAGTGATTCAAATTTATCACTAACTCACTGTTCATTTCAAGAAACAGAAAATAATACGATGGTAAGTCTCTTTTAAAGGATATTAAATATAATAAACATTTAAGAAAAAAAAAATCATATTAATTATCTACCATTATATCTGAGGATTTGCGAAAACTTTTTGTAAAACATAAAATGGATTCAAATACAAGTTTTATTTTTTCGATTTCTGTATAGCCAAATTTAATTTGGCCAAGGCTGGGTGGCGACGATAGTTTTACACTTAACTATAAACATAATTAATATAGGCACTACTAGGGGGATGCTAGGGGCCCCTCCAAAAATATCCGATAAGGTTTTTTATAGTATAGATTAAATATTTTATCCATGTATTTTCCATAGTTAAATAGAAAAGCAAAATACATACAACACACGTCTATATAAAAAATAAAGTTAAACACGTTATAATATATATTCATATAAAAAATTGTAAATGAAACGTTAAATTTTTTATTATAAGTGTCATGTAAAGAGGATTGTGGGAGGATTGCCTTCATGGATCTGTGATGTGTCAATAATATTTTAATATTTCCAAAGTTTGGTGGTCTAGTTGCACCTTTGATAATTTATATAAATAATAATCAACAAAAATCATCTGATTAATTATTCCGTTATGGTAAATTGAACGTATATTAATCCCTGAACTATGATACAGCGCTATTTGAACGATTTTTTGCGTTAAAACGCCTTGGTCCATAAGACACACAAATACTGAGGCTCAACCCCACACTCTTTTTGTAAATGCCTGTTTAAATGTTTTTTTATTCTTGTAATGACGGCCACAATAATTTGGACATTCCTATCTCAATCCTACGAACAAATCATAACATAGATTTATATAGCTAATATTAAGTAGAAAAAAAAAACCGGAAGATAGGTAGGTATATTTAAGTATAATTGTGAGGCGATTGGCAAATTGTTTAACTTTAGGTGTGTTAAATATTGAATTTTTATTGGATTAATAATCCAACAAAAATTTAAATAACATAATAGCATTTATGTAACATTGCAATGAATGTAAACAATAACTCTAAAGTAATGCAATAAACAAATTAAACGGTTTTTATTATTTAAACTTCTATTTGTATTCTTACTAAAATCGAACTATACTTAACAAACCATGATCCATAACAAGGTAGGTATTATATAAAATTGGTTTAAAGATATAAGATTAATTAAATGAAATATGCTATTAGTTTATTCTAAAGTCAAAATATTTGAATACGTAGTTATAGCTGATGGTAAATAAAATACGTAACGTTACAAAAAATAAGTAGTTGTAAAACTATCAATACCTATTATACGTATATCGTAGCTATATTTAATAAGCATGCATATATATAATCATCTTAGGGATTACTCGGTCACAGGAAACAGAACATTAATATTATTTAAATGTTTTTTATTATTGTAATCACGACTACAATTATTTGGACATTCCAATTTTGATCATACTTTTAAACTATAAAATACAAATTATATACAATAATATCAACAAAATAAAAAAAAAAAACAGTAAACATTAATGTCGAACGATTGACAAATCGTTTACCCTCTGATGTATTGTTGGTAAATTGTCCATAATAACTAAATATGTAGTAGGTAAGTACATAATAATAATTTTATCATAATATTATCCATAGATATATTATTCTTGTGATACATTGCGTTCTTTAATTTTCATCGTAAATTATTTTACACTAAATAGTTTTCAATCTTAAGAAGGGTTTTTACCAAAGTTTTTAAGGTATTTAAGATACATTTATTATGAATGATAATTTAGGAGATACCTTATTTTTATTGAAATGTATATTAAAAGAAGTTAATATAAAACTTGAAACCATTTTCTATTTTAAATTGTTTAATACGCCTAC